AGCGAACTTTTTTAACTTTACTTAACTTTAATTAATTATAATATTATATTAAGGTAAATAAATTAATAAAAAGTTAGCATTAATTAATGTTAATTATATTTAATTCCTTATTTTTAATTAATTTTATTAATTTAAAAGCATTAATATAAATATAATATTAATTTAAATTAATTAATGCTAATTATATTATTAAAAATGTAATTTATTATAAATTAATAAAATAGCTATATTTATATTAATTAATGTTAATTAAGTTAAATTTACTATAATATAATTAAAATTTAATTAATTAAACCTTTCTTTATTTTTTTTATAAGTTTTTATATTATATTTAGTTTTATTATAATTATTATAATATTCTTTAATTAATTTATTATAAATTAACTTTTTTATTTTATTATTTATTTTATTAATTAGCTGCTTTATTTTTTATTTTTTTAAATAAAAGCTTAAAGTTTTTTAATTATAAGTATTTTTTTAAGCTATATTTAAGTTTTTTTAATCTTTTAATATTTAATAAATATTATATTAATATTTTAAAGTATATAAATTTACTTATTTATTATAATAAATAAATATATTATTACTTATATATTTTTTATTAATTAATTAATAATCTTTATAATTAATATAAAAAAGCTTTTTTAATAAATAAAAACTTTATTTTTAATAAAATTTAATTATTAAATAATTTATTAAGCATTTAATAATATTTAAAACTTTTATTTTTAAGAAAAAATAAAAAGAAATTATATAAAAGTTTATAAATAAATATTAAGCTTAAAAATTATAAAATTAAAGTTTTAAAAGAAATTTTAATTTTTTTAAATATAAATTTAATATTTTTTATTATAAAAGTTTTATTATAAATTATCTTAAATATAAGAAAAAACTTAAATTTAATAATATAATTAATAAAGGCTTAAATAAAAAGATTAATTTCATTATTATATATATATTTTAAAAATAAATATAATATAATATTTAATAATTAAAATAAATAAAATAATATAATAATATATTAATAATAATAATTTTATTATTTTTATAATATTAATTAAACTTAATTAATATATAATTTTTATAATTATTTATAATTAATATTTAATAATTAATATTTTCTTTTAATTTAATATATTTATTAAAGTATTAAATTTATTATTTATTTATTTATTAAAAATAAGCTTAATAACTTAATTATTTAAAAAACTTAATTTTATTATTTAATTTATAAAATAATAAGTATTTTAAATAATTATAAATAAAAGAATTTATAATTTATTTATATTAATATATTTAATAATATATTATTTATTTTTAATTATTAAATTAAATTAATTTAATTTTTTTTTATATTTATTATAAAGTTAATTTTATTAAAATTATAAAGATTGTTATTAATAATTTAATACTTAATTATTATATTATAAAGTAATTTAAATTAATTTTTAATAATCTTTAAAATTTTATAAAAAGCCTTTTAATAATTATAAAAATAATTAAACTTAATTTTAAAGTTAAATTATTAATTTATAAAGCATTAAGCTTAATACTTATTAATAAGTTTAATATTTTATAATATTAATAAGAAATTAATTATATTTTTTATATTAAAAAGTTATAAAGAAAATCTTGAAATATTTTAATTAATAATATATTAAATAAGCATTTACTTTTTAATTTAATTAAATTTATATATATTAATATATAATTCTTTATAAAAGCATTATTAATTTATTTTATAATAAAATATAATTTTAAAAATATTAAAAATTTATATAGCTTTATATAATTTAAAAATTTAATCCATTTTTTTTAAGAATTTTTAATTACTTAAATAATTAAAAATATTTTATTTTTTTAAAAAGTTTTAATATTATAATTATTAATTTTTAATGCATTAAATATTTAAATAAATAAATAAATAGGAAATTAATATAAAAAGCATTAATATAATTCTTATTAAAAAATAATCCTTTTATTAAAACTTAATTATTTTTACTTAAGTTATAATTACTTATATTATTTTAAATTAAATAAATTAATTAAAAATAAGGATTTAATTATAATTAATATTAAATTTAATTAAATTATTTATATTAAATAAGTATTAAAGTTAATTAAAGTTAATAAAAGTTATAAAAATATATTATTTATTAATATATGCTACTTATTAATAAATTATATTAATATTTATTATAAGCCTTTTTTAATAAGTTATTACTTAAAAATAAGGTTATAATAAAATTATTAAGTATATAAGAAAATATTAAAAAATAAAAAGAAAAAAAAGATATAGCAACTTTAAATTAAGAATTATAAAAATATTAATTTAAAGTTATATTAAATTTAAAATAAAGCTTATAAAGAAAATTATTTAATTAACTTAATATATTAAGTTAATATTATTATAAAAGTTTATAAAAATATACTTAAAAGAATTATAAAGAAAATATAATAAATACTTAATTATTTATTTTTAATTATATTAATAATTTTATTTAAATAAATAATAATAAAAGTTAAAAACTTTATATTAAAGGTTTTAAAAATATTATTATTATTTTTAATATAAATAAACTTATTATAAATTTAATATAAGTTATTAAAAAGATATAATTTATAATAAATATAATTAAGAAAAATATAATCTTTTATAACTTTATTATAAATCTTTTTAATAATATTAAAAACTTTTTAAAGGTTTAATTTATTAATACTTTTAAAAATTATAAAGGGTTTATAAATAATAACTTAAAATATTTTAATAATTATAAGCTTTATTTTATTAAATTTAAATTTATTAATTATATATAAATATTTATTATGGAAAAAATAATAATAATTATTTAATTATAAATATTAATTAAGATTATAAAGATAAAGCAAAGAATATTTATAAAGGTTATAATATTAATAATGTTATTAAAGCTTTTAATTTTAAAAGTTAAGCATAAAATATAAATAATATTAAAAAAAGTTATATTAATTTTAAAGGTAAAGGCTTTAATATAAATTTATAAAAAAGTTAATAATAAATTATAAAAAGATATTAAAGAAATTTTATAATAATATAACTTTCTTAATAATTTCTTTTATAATATTAATAATAACTTTTTGCTTTTCCTTTTATTTAAATAATTAATAATAAAATTATAAAAAAAATATAATAAAGTTATAAAGATATATTTATAACTTAAATATAAAAAGTTATAATAAAGTAATTATAATTAATATAACGCTTAATATAAATATAATAAAAATAAATATTATTTAAAATATAACTTTAAGTAATAATAATAATAAGAAAATAATTAAGGATTATAATAAACTTATTAAAAATTTACTTTAATATTTTAAAAGTTTAAATATAAGTAAAAATATAATTAAACTTAATTATATTTATAAATATTACTTTAAAGGCCTTAAAAAAGATTATAATAAAATTATTAATAATGCTTTTTATAATAATTAAGGTAATATTCTTAAAGCTAAATTTCTTAAAAGTTATAATATTAATATAATAATACTTTTAAGAAAATATTAAAACCTTTTAAAGATTATTATTATTATTATTAATTTTATTAAAAAACTTAATAAAGTTGCTAAAGATTATAAAATAAGGGTAAAAATATTAATTTAAAACCTTAATTATATTTTTAATATTATTTAATATAAAAAAAATTATAAATAAATTATAAAGATAATAATAAAAGTATAAGGTTAAGAAATATTAAAAAGAAGTTATAAAGAAATTATAATATTATTATAAAGTACTTAAATATTTTATAAAGTTATTAATAATTAAGAACTTATTTAAGGAATAATATATTATTAAAGAAAGAAGAAAGAAAAATAAGTAAGGGATTATAATTATTTATATTTCTTAGTTTAAATTTTATTACTTATATAAATAGTTTTTTATTGCCTTTTTATTTAAGAAATAATAAATAAATAAGTTAAGAACTTTATAAAAGAATTATAAGGTAAAAGGAAAAATTTCCCTTTTTAAGGATTTTTAAATATAAGTATAATGCTTATATTACTTAATATAATGTGGATAAGTAGCTGCGTTATTGCAAAGAGGTTATGACATAAGGGTTTTTTTTAATTATTTAATATAGTTTTTCCTTATGGGTAAATTAATAAAGGGATTGCATATTAAATAGTTTTTAGCTAGTAATAGTTTAAAATAGCGTGAATAAATTATTATTATTATTATTATTATTATTATTATTATTATTATTATTATTATTATTATTATTATTATTATTATTATATAATAAGGTATATATGGGCTTTTAAAACTTGATTAGGGAATTAAATGGGGTTATTAATAGCCAATTTAATTAAAGTATCTCGCAGAGTGTGTGTGTGTGTGTGAGAGAGAAGCTAATGCTAGGCGGGCTACGGAAGGTGTGGTGTATTAGAAGAGCGGGGAGTGCTCAGTCATCCCCCAACATTCTCGTGACTTGATGGGCGCAACCATTTGTTTTCGTCAACTGTCAGTCCACCAGGCGCTGGAACTTTCTCATTTCACTGGACATAGAAATTGGGGCAAGATCACTTGAGAACTTCCCTCGCAATCTACGAACCTTGGCCGATGGCGAGGCCGCCCGCTTGAATGAGGTCACGTTGGGGATGGCTACCATCAATCAAACGAACCACAAACATCCAATGACAAGCAGTTCCCCAAGAACTGAGTAACTGCTGACCAAATACAAGAGCCTCCTCACTTAATTAACTTGACAACACTTTTCTCGCCCCGCTCTTTACGCATGATCTGCCGCAGTGTTCCCAAAACAGCGTTAACCCGAATCACGGAGCTCAAGCCATCTAACTTTAGATGCATGCAAATGATATCCGAAGGTGTCCTGAGTGGGCAATTCATCCAGTCAAAATACTGAGACCATTATTTCTCTGTGCTTATACGCTTGGGTCGCAATTACGTCGAGCTGGGGCGTTGTGTGAGGGGATACCGATATGAACTCCAAACTAATATGAGGCAGCGTGCTGGTGTTTTCTGGTTCTACGCAAGCCTGCCAAGAAGGTGGCCAGCCATTAGGAAGAAAGGTATTAGACAAGTTATGTCTTAATTGAGCACTCCGCTTCTCGATCTGGCATTCTCGGCCCCTGTCGCATACAGCACCCATGGATCTACATTTGCAAGGTTGGGGCGGGTGCGAACAGCGGATCAACTCTGGATAGAGATTATCCGGAAATGATCCTGTAAACATTTTTGAGATTGTTGAACCACCATGATGGGCTAACATGATATAAGTCAACATCTCTCCTAGTGGGTAGTCTGTGTCCTTCTCAGTGACAATCTGCTGCGTCCTTCAAGTGTGTACAGTACACTAGCACGATTTTCAGCAGGACCTTGTTCAACATCATGATGCTTCCCACGACTGTATTGGTGGCGTTGGCCACAAGCTTGATGACACAGATGGTCTCAGCGCACCCCGAAGAGTTGTTTGATAAGCGGGCGCACTTGGAGGAGATGACGAGACATCATGTCGTCGCCGAGGTGAACTCACGAGCTTTGCAAGCGTGCTCAGACCAGCCCAGGGTGAAGGCACGCAGGGAGCAAGCTATTGCTCGCCGAGTAGCCACCTTTGAGCGACTCCGCCAGGAACGAAACCTGGCTAATGGCAAGTTATCAATATCTCTTCTGGGGAGGTCCAGACCGCTGACCGAGACATCGCAGCCCCTTTCTTGCACCGCCGTACTGGCGCCGACTTTCGCAAGTGGAGCGAAGTAGATCACAACAAGACCGGCCTCGTGTCGTACAATCCTTCGACTCCGGCCAAGGACATCTTCGGCGCAAACGCATCTTGCATTCTTGCCCCAGACAATGCGAACGGACCGTACTTTGTGTCACAAGAACTCAGTAAGTTGTCGCCCAGTCACCTCAAATTCCACCGAGCACGAACATGGGCAATGTGCACAGGATGTTGCTCCTTGTCTTGTTGTCCAATTGCGGAGCTGCAGCTCGCGAAGGTCATTGGGCTTGAGCTGCCTTGCTCGACACGTTATACTGCACCGGATTTATTTCTGAATTGCTTGAGAACTGATTAAGCATCCTCTAGTTCGGCAAAATGTCAGCGAAGGCATCCCTGGAGTCCCCATGCACCTAGAGCTGCAATTCATCGACATCAACACTTGTGAGCCGGCAGACGTGCTCATCGACATCTGGTCGTGCAATACGACGGGCAAGTACAGCGGCGTGAGCGCCCGCGGGCAGGGAGGGCTCCACACCACCTGGCTCCGCGGTGTGCAGAAGACCGACGCGGACGGCGTTGTCCGGTTCGACACCAACTTCCCGGGACACTACGACTTCCGCGCCACGCACCAGCACATTGTCGTCCACGTTGGCTCCCAGGTGCTGCCGAATGGGACGTACAGCGGCGGCAAGGTGGCACACCTGTCGCAGCTGTTCTTCGACCAGGACCTGAGGGACGCCGTCGAGGCGCTGCCGCCGTACAACACCAACCGGATCCGGGCAACGACGAACTTGGCCGACGGGTTCACTGGCTACTCGGCCTCATCGGCATACGACCCGTTAGTCAACTATGCCGTGCTGGGCACTGAGCTGACGTCTGGACTGTTCGCGTGGCACGAGCTGGGGATTAACACGAGCTCGAACTGGGACACGTATGCTACGTATGCTTCGATTTGGGCGGAGGGCGGAGGGCGTGACAATCCTGCTTTCAATTTCTCGGTGGTCGGGACGCCTCCACCTAGTTCTGGTGGATTGTAGTGCGAAATGGGAGAGTTGGTGCACTCCCGAGGTCGAGTTGCTCGCGGGTTCCTAGGCATAGGAAGCAATACAGACAGACCCATGTCGATTCCTATGTGTCGCCGCCAGAACCACCATGTTCGAGTACTGAATGATGGCAGTGCGTGATCGTGTGCACCGTGGAATGTTGACCCATCATGCCATCGTTTTACACAGTGCTCCGAGGTAAGCATGGAATAGGTAGAACGATGCGTTCTAGTCAAGCTAGAGGCTAACGCCCAGGAGTGAACGGGTGCCCTGTCATCTGTACCTGTGCAAGGAAAATGCAGGCGCTTGGGGGATGGGCACGGTTGTGTCCGTAGGGGCACCCTTATGTAATCGAGATGGGCGGGGAGCACGGGCCACAGTTGAAGCTCCCGTCGCGTCGAGCTTCAAGCTGGCGCGCTTCCAAAGTTTTCCCACTTCAGCCAGCGAGCCAGCGAGCCAGCCAACCATACCAGCCTGGTTCATGCCTGCAGCGACCACACCGAGGGACTGTCTTGGTCTTTGTTATTGTCCAGTCCCAACCTCGACATGACCCTTTGACCCATCCTCGTGATTGTGGAAGACCTTCCAGAGCTTGTTTCTGCGGGCGCCTCCCTCTGGCAACCATTCTTCCCTCCTTTAGTGTCCCTCGTCGCTACTCTCCCTGCCCCCCGGCCAGCCATAATAACAACAACGGACAACCCGCACGATGACCGCTCTCCTCAAGCCACGGGTGCGGCAGACTGCCCAAAATACACAATACACGTAGGGAGATCCCGCTGTCCCATCGGGAGCGACGTACCTGGCTGACCGTTCATGTCCCAGTTACTCCCTCAACCGACGAGTTCACGACGTCAAGACATACCCCGTCCTCTCCCCTCAAGGATCCACGGTCCTCGTCTACGGCCACGAGAATGGAGTCACAGTATTGTGGCGCGGTGGTCGCCGACTGAAGCCCACTAAGCCTCAATCTTCGAAGCCGGCCGCCGGCAGCAAAACGAATGGTGCTGGTGCATCCGCCGACGATGGCGTCATGATCATCGACTCAGACGACGACGACGACACTTCTGCACCAGCTGCCTTCGTTGACAAGCCAGAGTTCGAGGACGAGAATGTCGAAGACACCACCGGATACCCAGAGGTCATCCAGTCCTTGGATCTCGCATTTGGCACAGACATCCTTCACATCGCCGTCCCGCCCATCGCGCCGCGCATCCCGGGAGAGCAACTGAGCGAATCTGACGTCCTCGCCGAGACGATGGTATTTGCTGTGACGTCTGCGAAGGGTTCCATCTTCATGCTCACCCTGCCGTTGACGCCGCCCTCTCACGAAAGCATAGCAAGGGAGGACCTGCGATCCAACCTCTTGGCTGGCGCCGTGGGCCAGGGCAAGTGGGGCGAGACTCTGATCCAGCTTGGCGGCCAGAGCAAAAGCCCTGATGGGATCGCCATAACATTGCTACCTCGACGGGCGGGCAGTTCTGATCGAAACAAATCACCTGCTCGTCTGGGTGGTTCCGCCGGGCGTGCCGTCGTTGCTGTTCACGGCAAGGACGCCTCCGGCACGCTACGACTATGGGACATCCCTCTCAAAACTACCTCGGACAGCCCTGCCATCGAACCATTCCAGACCGAGTACCTGCCGAGTCCCCTTACAAGCATCGCCTTCAACCCTCTTCACTCAAGCCAACTCCTTGCCGTCGCATCTCCGCACGCGGTTCGCGTCTATGACTTCTCGACCCCTTCAATCCCTCAAGATGACATCTCAGAAGGCCCTTGGCCATCTCGTGGCTCGTGGCTGCTCTCTCTCTACCCGCCTTTCGCTCGTGCAACCACTTCTCCCTGTTCGAGAAAGCCCGTCGTTGGCGCTGAATGGATATCGCATGGTCGAGCGATCTTGGCTCTTCTGGCGGACGGGCAGTGGGGAATATGGGATGTTGAGGGAGCTGGGCCTCTTGGTAACGACGCAGGAGGGTCCATGTTCTCGAAACAAAATACGGGCGTGCGCGGAGCTGCTCTGACGGCATTCTGTGCTTCAGGACACCTTGAAGGGACGAGTCCATTGCGCAACCCAGGCTCGCAGAAAACTTCGTTGGGGGCTAATGATTTCAACTCAGTCGGACGGCGAGACTCCCTTGTGTCGATGATGAATGGCGGGCCAGAACGACTTGCTGCCGTCAAGGGCGGAGTCGAAGTCGTGCAACTGCCTAGCGCCCGAGGGTCGGTACCCACGGAGGAGAGTGCCGTTCTCTGGATGGGTGGTTCTGACAACATTGTTTGCGTCATTCCCGTCGTCGCCAAATTCTGGGATGCTCAAGTCCGCCGCAGCGCAGGTGGCGGCGTCAATCTATTCAGTGGAGCGCAGCCCTCGCGCATGGTCCGCTTGGTAGAGCTCAATGCTGGGTTGCTAGGCGAGCGGTGCTGTGGTGTCGTTGCGACTCCAAAAGCTCAGCGGCGGCAGTCTTCCCAAAACCTGGACGATCCAGACGCCACTGCGGAGGAGAGCACTGGTCTTCCAGTTGAGGTGATTGTGCGCGGCGAGAGCAGACTGGTCGTGGTTCACGACTTCCAAGACGTCGACACAGCACCACTTCGTTTCCCAGCCAAGAATCTGAAACGCCTCCTCCCTGCAAACGAAGCAGCAGAACCGGTTAATGCCATCATTGTACATCAAAACCCCGGCCGGAACGCGATGCGTCTTCAGAAGTTCGATCTCAGCATACGCAGCGGCCGTGATGGTGCTCAACCACCTTCAGCCGGCCTATTCGGCCGAAGTCTCAACCAATCCCAAGACGCATTCGAGGCAGAGCCAATCGATTACCAGCCTGAGCTCACAGAAACCCCGTCTCGATCACGTAATATGGGTCTCGAATTCATGGATGAGCTAGATGCAGCTGCCGACGCGGGCTACGAGTTGGATGCTGAAGACCGAGATATTGAGCAAGAAGTCATGGACCTCATGGAATTGGACCAACAATTAGAACAGATGGAAGATGAGAGGCTACGCGGGACGAAACGGGTGTTCTTTGAGGAGGGTTAGAAGCTCTACGAGAGGGCACACACCGATATCAACGCCCAGAAAGCGCAGCAGCCGGAGCAGCGCGGAAGACCGAAGGAGAGACAAGACAGCCCGCCTAAGAGGGCCAGGACTGAAATACAGGACGGGCAGGACCAACCCTCCCCGGCCTATTCTGCAGATGATTCTCACATCCCGTCTTCCCCTCACGGATGTCCTGCTGTCACCGAGAAGGAGGTATTCTTCGAGCGGTACACCGACTCGCCCGAGTTCTCGCGCGTCAGAAACCCCGTGGTACACATGCGTAATAGGACGAGGCTCGACGACGACGAAGATGCTAGCGATGTGATTGACCCGTCGTCGAAACTCGCCAACTACCAAAGCCCCATGGATCGTCTAAAGTGGGATCCCATGGACCTCCGGCGGCTTGCAGCTTTCGGGGCTCATAAACAGGCATATGCTAATACGGCTACCAAGAACCACGACAAGCCTAAGGCAGTAAAAACTGCTCACAGTGTTGACCTAGATCTCTTGGTAGACGATGAGGAGAATCTGGAGGATGACGATGACGAGGAGCCAGAGGATGACACGTTCGAGTTCTTGCTGAAGTGAGATCAGCATACGAATTTCGAAAAGACCCGAGCACCGAAGCTGCTTTGTCGCAATTGTACAGATACGATACCCGTGCCCGCCGTTGAAGCGGGCAAGAAATGAAAAGACTGTTGAACCCAAGGGCCCTGCCCCTCCCCCAAAATGTCTCAGTGCAGCTTCCCCATGTTTCACCACATATCCCCTTCTTGTCATCCGTCCGCACGGCAAGGTGGAGCACAAGGCGAGATCCTTCCTTGATCCAGCTCTGTATTCCGAGCGGTATATCAAACCAATGCCTCAAAGCCGGGGCGTGGCGTCCCCCGTCCCGGCATCGAGGTTTCGACGCCCTTACCAGATGGCAGGTGGGGTGGGCTGGTGGCATTTCCGCGAATTTGACCATTTGCTCTCCCGGCCTTACTGACGCTCTTCTGTTTCACCGCGATTTTTCAAGGTCAGATGGAGGGCGTGTTGAGGCTGGGTGGTGGGGCGTCGGCACATCCTTCCCTTTTCCCTCCCTTTGGAATGCTCTTGACGCATTTTCTCACGTGCGATGCTTCCCTGTGCCAAGCTTCAGCACTGTCTTTGCCATAACTGCCTTTTCAAACCTGCGATATGATGGAACACTTTTGTATTGAATAGTCTCGCCCCGTCACCAAACAGGCTTCGCTTAGCTGGCGAAACCCGTTGCCGGACAATGCTGACGGAGGAATTCAGCGTGCCAAGCCAATTTCTCTGGCCACCCCCCCACTGCCTTATCATTGAGCTGTTGTGTACGAGCCCCCGTCATTTCCCATGCATCAGTCTTATTAGAGAGACAGGACGTCAGGGCATCATGTAAACGTGTCAAGGGCGCCATCAGCCGTTGAGTCGGTTCAGTCTAGCTGTCTACGGCGAATTTGGCGGGCTGGTTCCTTCCCTGTGCTGAGGCTTGACCAGTCAAGCCCGGCCAAGCCCACGCGCACCACCATGATCGCCGGAACCATTCCCAGACGGGAAGCGAGATCTTGGTCCTACACGGGACTTCGGCACACCAGGTTGCAACCACAAACACAACAAGGACAGCGCCGCGAAGGCTGGACATGGCCCTACGTCCAGAGAGGCATCTCTGCGATCGATCAATATCATGTGCAAAGGGCGATAGAGGCTTTGGAGAATCACACCAACGGGAGAGCAGACAAGCACTCCTGGCGTGCGGGATGGCACCAAACCGTTGCCTTGCCCAGCCTCCAAGTCTCCAAGCCACAACGGCCCACGAGCCAATCTTGAAGAACTTGGGCCCAGACTGGCGGGACAGGAACTCGCGGGGCTCGTATGGAGATCTCGGATTTGCGAGGGACACATCTTCGAGTGCTAGGAAACCCATTACAGCACGGCCCGTCTATTGCTGGATGCTTTTGCGTGAATGCGTCTGAGCCATGAGTTGTCTGCACAGACCAAGCTATTAGAGTTATTAATGATCTCTGTCAGTCCAGTTTTCTGAAGCACGATCACGGCTAGTCCCGGAGAATACCATCTTGAAGGAGATGATTGACGACATGGGAATCTCTGGTGCCGGATCTGACGGCGAAAACCACATGACAAGCGACCACCCCTTGCAGCGTGCAGCACCAACTACTCATTCGGGTCTGATTACCCTGGGAAGCCCGACATGATTGATTTCGGGGATTGCCATCCTCTTTCCCTTACTGTCACCATGTTTCTCTTGCCTTGTTCCTTTTTCTCCTGCCAAGCTAGCGCTCTCTCCCTCGTCGAGTCCCCTGCCACTCTGTGGCACAGCCCCATGACACAAAGCCATCATTTGCCATTCGCCGTCCACTCGCTGGTCCATACTGACCAGTACAGTGACACTTCAGACGATACTTTTAGGTTCCACGTCTCGACCTGTCATTCCTAATAAGCTCGGCGTCTCTGACGGTCGAGGTCGCAGCTGCCGAAGCATATTCTGTTTAGCGAAGACAGCCCTGCAGTAACGCGCTCCAACACCAGATCTGGATTGAATCTTTGCCATTCTTTTGATCAAAACTTATCGTGCTCCTCGCTTCGACCGGACCCACCGGGCGCCCAGGCTTCTGTCACTTGCTTTCCTGCCCATGCAACCTGGTGACAGACGATGGCCATTGGAAGGGAGGGCAACGTCAAATGGGTTGATGTGAGCATACCATCCCCGTCACTATCCTTCAAGATAGCCATGCCAAATCCCAAATGGCCTGAGGTCGTCCTGGGTTCTGGCACGCTTGCCCAGGCGTAGACGAAAATGGAGGCATTCCTACAGCACTACTATCCCAACATCCGTCTGGAGGGAGAACACAAGGGAAGAGGGGACAAATTCGTCTGCGATATCTACGCACTCCGCCATGTCTCAATCTAGGACCAGACTTCGCTAAACGCCAATCTTATAGGGCCTCCGCGGCATCGCCTCCGCCCTCGTGGTGCTGACTCACCTCGCTCGCGCGTGGGATGGCGAGCTATTCGGCGCGACGTCGCAGGAAGACGCGCCCCCGCGCCTCATGCAGCTGCCGTACCTCCGGATCCTGATCCAGGGCCGCATCGGCGTGACCATCTTCGCCTTCGTGACGGGCTACGTGTGCGCGCTCAAGCCCATCAGGCTCTGCCGCCAGGGAAACCAGGAGGCGGCCTTCGCGTCCGTGAGCAAGTCGGCCCTGCGGCGCATCCCGCGCCTGGTGCTGCCCGCCGCCTGCGCCACGGCCGTGTCGTGGCTGCTCGCCGAGATGGGCCTGTACGCCGTGGCTAAGCACCAGGACAGCTGGTGGATCGACGTGCAGTCGCCCACAAGGATCGCGTACCTCGGCGAGGCGCTGGGGAACCTGGTGTACTGTATCATCACGACGTGGACCAGGGCGGTGAACGATTATGACAACAACCAGTGGACGCTTCTGCCATTGCTCAAAGGGAGTATGTGGGTGTATTCATTCATGGTGGCTACTGCGTACGTGAAGCCGAGGTATCGGATCATGGCGAGCTTCGGGCTGTGGGTTTATTTCTACTGTGCGAGCGACTGTAAGTTTTTGGCGATTTTGCCTGCGGCGTTGTCTGTCATCTGTTATCCCGCATGGACCAGCACTGACACTGTCTTGATCATTTTTAGCCGCCTTTGGGATGCAATTCTTCTGGGGCGCCTTCATCGCCGACCTGCAAAACTATCCGTCCACAACACAATTCATATCCGACCGCCCCCGCCTCAGCAAGATCCTCTCCGCCACCCTGGTCTTCATCGGCCTCACCTTCGCCTCCTTCCCCGAGGGCCACGCCGAGTGGATGACGTGGTCGCGGCTCATGCTGGACTTCATGCGGCCCGTGCTGCCCGACAACCCGGACTTCCCCCGCTTCGCAAGCGGCATCGGGCTCGAGTTCATCAGCCTAGGCGTACTTCTCAGCCCGGCGCTGCAGAGGCTCCTGAGCGGGAGGTACCTGCTATTCCTAGGGCGGATGAGCTTCGCCGTGTACCTACTACACGGCCCGCTCATGAAGACGACGCTGGTGTGGATGCTATACGGCGTGCAGGTGCCGCCGGACCACGAGAACGACAAGGGCGAGATGGAGATGTCGCGCCTGGGGTTCCCGGGCAACCTGGCCCTCGTCATGTGGCAGTTCGTCTGGCTGCCGATGCTGTACGGGATCGCGAACCTCTGGATGACCTATGTGGACCCCTGGTGCGAGAGGATGACGAACAGGCTCGTTGAGTACGTGACGCTGGACGCGTCGGAGAAGCCGTCGGTGTTGCCGGCGAGGTGATGTGATGGGGGCGGGCGCTGTGTCCGCGGTGCACAGGTGAATCTGGGCATCGACAGAGGACCGGGCTTCGGTGTTTGTATCATCATCGTGTAGGTAAATAGACGGTGCACAACGTAACTTTGGAATAGACATTTATCTGTTGATTTATCGGGCAGGCTGACTTTCCCATCTTTGGCCACCAGGCTGTCATTATCTGAGACATGTGTTCCCGTGGTCTGCGCGAGACTACCTCTCATTCCCTGACCTCTTGACTTCGGCATCAGGATGTTACACCATCCTTTACCAAGGAGCCGACAAGGGTTTACGGAATTTACTTTGGTTGCCTCTTTGGTTCTTTTAACAATCTGCATCTTTGCGGCAAGGCATGATCGGCTTTTCATCATCAATGAATATACCTAGGTAACAAATAAGAAGCCTTCGAGGCCAAGTAAAATGATAGAATATTTACAGGCGAAGCAACTGCAATCCTCGCCATAGTCCTGCTGTGTTTCCCATGAATGACAAATTGATGTGGAGTCAAGTCACACATTTAGCATTCAAGTCCCTGGAGCGTTGGGGGGAAGGCTGCGGTATTCTACCATTAGAACGTAACGCCCCTCATCATGCTATGCTTCCATGCCTTTTCATATCACATGCCCGGAGATTCATGCAGACAAGCTTCCTTACAGCTTAAGGAAACCGAGAACCGAGCTCAGGATGCCACCGACGTCGGGAAGGCTACCGCTTGAGATGGTCTTGCCGACCAGGTTTCCTCCGAGTGTTGTGACAACGCCGACAACGCTGGTAAGCGACTTCACGATGCCGGGAGCAGAAAGGTCGTTCAGCAGCGTTGTCAAGTTACCAAGTCCTCCCTTCAGGACACCCTGGATGACCGACGAAGATGCACCAGTGAACTTGCCACCGGTGAGGCTGCCCACGACGGATCCGACCTCGCCGAGGATGTCGCCAACAATGGGGATGGAACCAGAAGCCGTTGCAGTTCCGTCGGTAGCCTTGCCAACAAGACCCTCGACGAGACCGACAATGTTCGTGAGGCTGCCGATAGCACCGGTTGCCTGGTCGTTGCCCTCGAAGGTGCTGTTGAGGTTTGCGAGACCGCCAGTGATCTCAGCGACAATGTTGAGGGCGCCACCGCTGCCGGCGTTGGTCAGGATGTTGGTGGCGACAGACTCGACTTCTCCAAGGACGCTGTCGACCGAGTCGGCGTCCAGAGTAATACCAAGGTCGGAGAGGAGGGAGCCGACGACTGGAAGGTCCAGGAGTCCGCCGAGCAAGCCGGTCCTGCATTCATTGGTTAGTTCTATATGAGATGAGAAATTCCGGGAATCTTGTAAAACTCACAAGCTCGACAGTTGTCGCTCGTGGACAGGGGCCTCTGCCTTAGCCACTGGTGTGGCCAGAACAGGGACAGAATAGGCGGCAAGCGCTGCGGAAGCGAAGGTCGTGAAACGCATCTTGATAGATAGTATCGATGTAAAGTGATAGAACAAGTTGGTTTTAAATGAATGAATGAATGAAAACTCGATGCGTCTAAGGAACGACAGCTGCAAATGCAGAGATGGTGAGCAAGGGAACACAGAGCAGAGTTGGTGTAGAGAGAGTTCTGGTCACTGAAAAAGGCTCCTGGGACCCCTATATAACTCAAGTTCAACACCACCCGTAGATTATGATATGCATTCCTAGTAGCCCTCCTTCACAACACCTTCTCTCACCACCCCTTCATTGTTTCAGTCAGGGTATTGGAGATCTACGCTGAGCCTTCAGCTTTAGCTTCAAGCTCCACATCACATCATTTTCTCGTTTTGCAATCCGGAAGGGATTCTGCAACGACGATCCACCTACGCGCCCAGCGCGCTTGTTTTTGCATATCATGCCAAGCCCTGTCAGCTAGGATGAAAATATGGATCGACACTTGACAGATGTGGGTACTTGATAACACTTGACAGATGTGGATACTCGATACAGTTGGTAGGCCTCCTGCCAGCTGCGCACGAGACGGGGCATCATCACTCACTAGAGAGTATTCCGCATGTCACCAATCGAGTAACGGCTGAAGCGCTATACGCATAGCACTCAACTTCTTTGAATTGCCCAAAGTTTCTTCGAAGAATCTTTGAGGCCCATCAATGACCTCACCAGTAATCATTGAAATTGCGGCTGACTGCAGATCGGAAGGGGGGAGGATAAACATCCCTCCTATTCCACTGAAGATTGTCCGAACATCGTCATGTCGTCTCGTCATAGCCCCTGTCTGTCTTCACCCCAGCCTTTATTTGGCCCCACTTGTGAGTCCGGAGGTGAAATATCACGTGATAAGGCTGCCTCTGGATCAAGGGTGACTTCGAGCGTGGAGAATTGATAGGGTAGTCTGATGGTGCCATAATGGCTGATCACTATGATATGTCTTACAAAGCAGACCCATGGATGGCAGGCGCGGATCTAAATTCCATCCCACACCTCGGCTACCCGATAGAACCCCGTTCACGTTTCAGAGACGTTGTCTAAATTTAACACTACGGACATTTGAGAAGCTTGATCCAGCGCATATGGGGCTACAAGTTGGTGTTCTAGACTGCTGAGGAAATGTTACCAGCCCGTGAGAGCATGCAATGTAAGATTTGTTCCTCTTCCTGGATTTACACGATCCTCGTGTGAAATCAGCTGAAACGCATATTTGAGATCCAATATTGAGAAGAAGATGCTGTCTTATCAGCTGTGCACGATATTGCGACTGGTTACCTACTTAAGCAGGTGGGCTCAATCTACGCCCTTGTAAGTTCTGCCCATACGTATACATCGATATTGACAGGGGTGACTCTGACAACCCTTGGGACCGTTGCTTCAGGGTTGTGCAGGCGCACTCCTGTCCACACCAACAAGCCGAAGCAGATTAAAAGCCAGGCCTTGGAAAACCAGGTCTCTAAATTCAATATGTGATTCCGCCCCCACTCTGGCATCTTGATGGCTGTAATACCCATTTGATAACTCCATGTCAAACAACGAAGAGGCCGGGCCGCAACGCGTTTGCGTTGTGGGAGCGGGGATTAGCGGTCTGAGGGCGCCAGCTGGATTCATGGCACTGAAGGGAACACATTTGTGGGACTGGCCAGGAAGTCGAGGACGGAAACGGTTGCCTGTGGCGCTGTGTCATCCATGTTTGATACGGAAGGCCTCTACACGGAACATACGCTGGCAAAGAATCTTTACGAGGATGTATGGGCGATAATTGATGAGGCATCCGAGTACAGCAAGACGCACTACCCTGACATCGCGCCAGAAGCATCGTTGAAGACTTTCGTGGATGCGAAATTGAAGCAACGCGGGTCAGATGAGCCGCTGCTCGCATCCGTAATCGAGATGTGTGGGGCATTCATGGGCGCGGATTATGAGACCCAAGGCCTGAAGAATCTATGGCTTGATGAAAGCATTGATGGAGGTAAGTGATTGCAGTCCACTGCATGTCTAAGGGCGTAGTCACTGAGATGCATCGAAGACAACTTATTCGTCGCATCGACATTCAAGAAGATAGTGGATGATATGGCCGGAATCGTAATATCAGGAGCTGATTTGCGTCTTAATGCTGAGGTGGTTCGTATCGAGAATGCTGAGAGCCTCGAGAGCAGATCCCCAAAGGAACGAGTGCAGGTGACAACAAGAAACGGTCACATGGAGGCTTTCGATCAAGTCGTCCTCACCACACCTCTCGGATGGTTAAAACGGAATCGCCGTGTCTTTTTCCCGGAGCTGCCACCTCGACTGTCCCAGGCCATCAACGCAATTGGTTACGGGAATCTCGAAAAGATATTCATCCGCTTCCCGGAGGCATTCTGGGATGACGTTGGCCGAGAGGCTGGCCAAGGCATATTTCCCATCGAGTCTTTGTTTCTGAAGCCCATGTATGCACCAGAGACAAATCCAAACCAATGGCGCCAGGATATCATCTCTTTTTCCGGTCTTCCGGAGCCATACGCAAAACCTATCATCATGTTCTTCACATACGGCGAGTGGGGACGCCACATTTCCAATTTCATCAAGGGGGAAGATCAGGAGTCGCCTGAGTTTTATGAGATCCTGGATTCACACTTTCGGCCCTACTACTCTCGTCTGCCAAACTTCAGCGAGAAGTCTCCTGATTGCAAGCCCACGAGGTTTCTAGCCACTGACTGGCAAAACGATGAGTTCGCTGGCTTCGGATCTTTCACAGATTTCCCAGTCGGGCAGGAGGATGCCGCCAAAGGTTTGCAAGTCCTTCGAGAGGGCTTAGGGATAGAAAGAGGTGTGTGGTTTGCTGGGGAGCACGTAGCGCCTACCAAAGGCATTGGCACGGTAATGGGTGCCTATCAGAGCGGCGAGTATGTTGCGAAAGCGATCATCGACTCGTTCCAAGTGGATGAACAGCCAAGGAAAAACATAGCGCACAGTTCCTCGACGGTGTTCGTGCTGTCAGGCCGTCAAGCACTTTATTTTCATGCACGTCACCTGTCTGCTGGATATTGCGTAGTCTCACTTGTCTTTCTGGACTGGGGCAAATATGCCATCACCGATACTAGAGATCAAATCTCTTTTCAGTTAAAAAATAGAAATTTGGCATGTTCGTTAGATGGAGGTTCCTCCGGGACATGATCTTCCGTAAGAGGAGCACAGTGTATCTTACGGCGCTTTCGGGTTGCAGCCTCGATATGACGCACTGCGAAGATCAATATCGAGAGACACATGCCATGGAAAGAGATGCGAGGGTGTATTTTCAATTCAGGATAAATTCATCTAAGAATTCTAACTGCCACATTGGGCACTTGTACAACACCAGACCCAGCGCAGCGCTTATCTCCTGGCCCATCCAGCGAGTGACCAGCACTCCTTGACAATGAGGTCGTGTCACGGTATGTTGCGTATCTTCAAATCACTGAACATCGCTCTCGACTGGATAAAGTACCTCGAGCGGCCCAGAGAAATTATTTCCTTTGACCTCGACTCAGTACCGACCCTTCTCTTCAGCATCTCTGCTGTGTAGTCAGCTCAATCTGCTCATGTGAAGACCGGCGGAGGCAATGGATGACATACGGGTGAAACAGCTGGCGGCAGCTTTGGCCTCTTTGGAACTCGCCATTTGCCTTGAAAGCGATCCAGCCTTCCCGCTTTGTCATGCCGGGAACGCTCGACTCCCTTGCCTTGAGGTTGTTTCTCTTGTCCAGCCGGTTTTTCGGCAAGCTTTCATACTCCTCGATGATGGTCTCAATTATTTCGAGCGCTTTCTTCGCCGTAATTGGCTTGGGGGGTTTCGAGCTGGTCTCCTTGACTCACTGCTCTGGCGTCAGTGTGTATGTAGACCAAGGAGATCATCGCGACTTACACCGATCTTCTGATAGACAGACCCGCCTTTCTTAGCCTGCTTAACTTTGGCCGATTTCTCGATGAGCTTCGGGACTTTCGTGAATTCCTCTGGCTTGTAGTTCGAAATGAGGTTCAGACTGCCTGCTTTAATTGCGTTCGGGGCCATGATGCTGGTGATTGCTGCTCGGTAGGCTGGATGTGATAGAACGAAAGAATATGTTGGTAGTTAAGTTTTGGACAAGCTATTGTGCTTCTGAGACCGGTAGAGAATGGTTCTTTTCGATATTCAATTCGAACAGAAATGTACATTATATACTCGCAATGGAAACGGAAATCGCGATGTTCTTCTTGTCGGTACGATATCAAGACACAGGAAGCAAAAGACGGCCGCAGTCGAAGCCATGGCCAATCCGCTGGTCCATGTTTCGCGAGACCACGATGCTGTTTCATTCCTGCATCCCGCGGCCATACTCAAGATCCACATTGTGGGTGTTTGCTGTGTCGTATGGCCTGTCAACTATCGTCGAAAATTCCAGGCCTCAATTAGAATCGAGCTGCTTTGGTCCAGCGCATGTTCCTGAAGGCGCCTCGGGTGGGGGCCGCTGTCTGTCTCAAACGAAATGCAGCCCCCCCTGTCAATTCGCATCATTCGCTCCCCCCGCACCAAAAAAGCCCTCTTCGCGCGCGCGCCAACGCAGCGTATTCGCGTCTTCTGCGTGTTCTAAAAATGTCACAACCTCCTTTAATAAAGCGCGCCCGCGCAGCGTTTTCACGCCTTCTTTATATATAATGCGCACCTTATATTTCTTACTTTTCTTATAATTTATATTGCTATTATAATTAAAAAATGTAAAAGGGTATTATTTTATATATATTTAAGCGGCTTATTTGTATTATGGAAATATTTATAAAAGGCGAAGAGGAAAGCGATGGGGAGGAAAGCAGCGCAAACGCTGCGTAGTCGCGCGCGCGAAGAGGGCTTTTTTTCTGTGCGGGGGGAGCGAATGATGCGAATTGACAGGGGGGGGGGCTGCATTTCGTTAGAGACAGACAGCGCATGGTCCACTCGTTCTGGTCCAGCGTTACAAGGCAGAATGAGGGGCGGCTTGAAAGGATCCTTGCACAAAGTGAGCATCCCACGGCCCAAGCACCATCCCAGGAGGATCAACCGCAGCCATGATATTTTGGTTGCCCAGAATCGCAGCCTTCCTTTTTCCTAGAATGGTCTTTGCTCCCGATGGAAGGATTTCTGGTAAGCCATCTCCCAACTGTAGGCATTGCACGCTTGCCAGAATTTGCCAAGTATTCGAAGCACTGCCAAAGAAGTAAACACTCGCCGACAAGTTTGACGAGAAGCTCGATATGCCTTCAACCAAGATCTTTGTACTGCTCACGGATCGCAGTTGCCGTCCGACTCCTGTGATCGGTGCAACTACCTGAGGGATGGTCGAGATATCAACCGTGGTTCCATTCATCCGGACCCCAAGAGACTCGTCAATCTATTTTGGTCGGACTGGCCTTTGTTTTCTGATCAAATTTCAAGACGAATGCACGTAACGTCGTAGATATGCAGGCGTTCCGGACTTCAAATCTTGACGCCGATTGGCGCCTGAAGGCGAATTATGCAGGTTTCGAAGTCAGTTGTTGCTTTTAACCGGCCGTCTATATTGGAGATGTCACGCCCGCTTTCTAAAGTTCCACAACGGGCCCTTGGAGAGGTGTGATTGAACTTGATCTGGGTGCCAAGGTACAACCGACGAGTGAAATCCGGTAGAGAAACCAGGTTGGGCAGTCGAGAGGATAAACAGATATTATCATCGGAAAGAGAGCCACCGTGCAATGTCGATCTCGACCACGAAATGCCGGCACTTTGAGCCTCGTGCCCGTGTGTCACGGCTGTGATAATGGTCGAGATACTATAACTGCTACTGGGGACAGCAAGCCCAACCAACAAAGTCTCCAACGTCCTCAGAGCCGATCATTTGCAACCCTCTTTCATCTCGCCTGGTTCATCTCTTGCAATCTTCACGAGTACGCGTTAGTCGCCCTCACAGCCAAATCGATACCGACACCACCGAAAATGAGCCTTTCAGCCTTGCAGTCACCGCACTGCTGGCCGGCCAGCAGGCCGTAGCCCAGAACATGTTGCGGTTCGCCTGCTCACAGCTCGTCGTCGACCGCGTGGACCCGCTGGTGAACCCGGGGATGGTCTTCACCCCTCACCTGCACCAGATTGTGGGCGGTAACGCGTTCAACGTGACCATGGACCCCAACAACGACCCGGCCACGCAGTCCTCCTGCACCAGCTGCAGCTTCGTCCAGGACAAGAGCAACTACTGGACGTCGGTTATGTTCTTCAAGGCGAAGAACGGGAGCTACCACCGTGTGCCTCAGACCGGCAATGGCGGACCTCAGGGCAAGCTGATCAACAACGGTGGCTTGGATGTCTATTATATCCCCAGTGGAAAGACAACAGCTTTCAAGAAGGTGGGTAGTATGTCCGAGGCCATAAAGATGGACTGATTCGCTGAACAACTTCTACAGGGTTTCCGTATGCTCGCTGGCAACGCGGCCAACACAAACCCGAGCAAGGTCAGCTCAGGCAACATCTGCCATCGATGCTGGACCTCGCCGAACGAGGATCAATTTGTCGGCGGCGCGCCGTGCTCTGGCTCCGATACCGTCGAGATCCCGTCGGGTTCAAACTGCCAGATGATCCGACAGACCATTATCTTCCCCGCGTAAGTTGTCTGCCTTCATATTTTTGGATTGTGAGCTGTACACCCGCTTGTCGGACCTTGCGAGCTGACAATAATCTTCCCAGATGCTGGGATGGAAAGAACCTCGACAGCCCGAACCACCAAGACCACGTGGCTTACAGCGGTAATGGAGCTACCGGGGGCGGTTCCTGCCCGTCCACTCACCCGGTGAAGCTTCCGCAAATCATGTATGAGCTCATGTGGAACGTCACGATGTTCCAGAAGGACCGTAGCATCTGGCCAACGGACGGCTCCAACCCATTCACCTACAGTATGGGCATCGGGTAAGTGACAACACTTGTTTCGAGAAGATCGCCAGAAGTGTCTGCTTCGGATCCGAAGACTGGCCGCTAATTAATCACGCCTTACAGTGGCGCTGCCGCCCATGGAGATTACGTCTTCGGCTGGGAGGGCAACACTCTACAGAAGGCTATGGACAGCGGCTGCAACCTCAACCGGGACTGCCCTGCAGCTGGCATCACTGCCCAGTCTGCTGACAAGTACAACGCCTGCGTCAAGGCGCAGCAGGCCAAGGAGCCAGTCGATGGATGTAAGTTGACCACTGACTTGTCCCTTTGATTGTCTGGCACCCACAAATCGTCGTGTTCGCATGCTAACGATGGTCACTTTACAGGGCTCCCTGCTCTTCCCATGGGTGGCATGGTAGCCAAGTGAGCTTGTTTCATCTTTTGCCTTGATATGCAAGGATTTGTGGCATTTTGTTCAGCAAGGTCTGCTGCGTGTTCGTAGGCCTGGCTGAGGTGGAAGTGTTTTCGCTTCTTGTTTCTATTGAATCAGTCCCTCGTTCAGACAACCCATTGTATTAGACGCTGGCATCCATCCTACCAATGGATATATTATATAAACTTGAAGTGGTCACCAGCCCACCAGCTGGATTAGTTTGCCGTCCCGGTTACCTGCATCGTGCTCTTCAGCAACATATGGGTCGACGACCTGTTCCGCCAATTTGAGTCTCTCAGTAGGTCAGATTCCTTTAAAAAAAAACAAAATTGATTATGTCATTGATATTCTAAACGGCGGCATTATTTCAACAAAGCGCCAAAATTGATGACACAGAAGTGATCTCCCTTTTGGATGGTCTACGTTCGTGCCAATCATTGCTAGCATCGTGACCAAATCCGGTACACACGTGAGTTGGAATACAAGGTTTCAGACATCAAGACAACACCTGCAAGATAATATCGAATGTTGACATCCAAGCGCTTACTCTTTCTGAAATCAAAGTCAAGTTCTCTCTGGGGAAATTACCTCCATGAGCTACAAGAGGCCGAGGCGGAACCCGAGTACGTACATGCGCCGGGCCGGCCGGGCTCCGGGCATCTTATCTCCGAGTCAGCGTACGCCCACCCAGCTTCTACAGTACGCCCACCCAGCTTCCAGCGTTGGCCCACCCAGTACAAGGAAATTAATTGCACGCGCTATAAAATATTAATATTATGGGGTTATTAATAAAGTATAGCTATAGCTATCCCAAAGGGGTTCCATAGCTACCCTAGAGGGGTCTTATAGCTACCCCTTTATTTATAACTTAAAAGTTACTTCTACTCTTTGCCGCCCTTTGCCGCCCTTTGCGGCCCTTTGCACCCTCTGCGCCCTCTAAGCGCTCTACGGCCCTTTGGGCGCTTTGCAGCCCTCTGGGCGCTTTGGGGGCTCTGGGGGCTCTGGGGCCCTCTGGGCTTTTTAGGCTTATATTTTTAAAATATTGCTTAAATTGGAAAATAGTTACCCTGGCTTATTAAAAACCCCGTAGTACTTGCATTTTAGTGCGGATGCAGCTAATTTTCCTTATACTAGGTGGGCCAACGCTGGAAGCTGGGTGGGCATACTGTAGAAGCTGGGTGGGCGTACGCTGACTCCTTATCTCCCAGTCCTATCGGCAGCAACCGAGTCCGATGTTGCGCCGCACAGACATTTTGTCCAGCCTGCACACTTCATGCAACCTCACCAAACACACTGACACAAAGCAGTAGAGAGCTTCATCCTGAGTCGGTTGACACAGAAGACAACCTCGAGCAGCCAGACCACGAGCCATCAAGGGCAACCTATCTACCAGTGTGTCAGGGTACACTGCCGACTTCACTGCAACTTCGCCGAGCCAAGCCAAGCAGCACCATGGCCTCCAACGATGTGCTGCTGTTTCTTACGGCCGCCGACCGCGATGAGCAGTGGGAGCATGACCTGTTCCAGAGAATCCCAGGAAAGCTGCAAGTCCGATGGGAGAACCTTCGCCAACCCGACGGCTCGATAAGGAACGTGGTGGACTTGGATCGCAAAATCTTTGAGGACGTTACCATCCTGTTCACATACACGCCTGTCCCGGTAGAATGGATCCCAAAGGTCCGATTTGTCCAGCTGAGCAGTGCTGGCTCAGATCTTTGGGCAGAACATCCCAAGTTCTTGGATAGTGGTGTCAGGTTTGCAACTACCAGTGGTTCTACCGCGTGAGTCATATTTCTGAGAAGGCTGTGGATGAATCTCAAAGTCTCTGAAGCTGCTAACGTCTATACCGATAATAAGACCACAAATCGCGGAATGGGTTATCGGGGCTTGGATCAAGTTCCAACATTTCTTCCCCGCGTACGACCAGTTCCAAAAGGAATGTAGTTGGCAGCCCACCCTCGCCCGACAGGTAGAAGATTCAGTGGGCCTTCGAGTGTGAGTACGAATCAAGCTAAGCATATTTCCCGAGACTATCACACGGTTGCTAAAGCTCCTTGAAGAGGCGTTCTAGGATACGGCGCCATCGGACGTCAAGTCGGACGTCTCTGCCGGGCGTTAGGCATGGAACTGTACGCATTCACAGCCAACGAGCGTCCAACCGTTGAGTCTCGCGAGCACCGCGGCTTCAGAATTCCGCATCTGGGTGATGACAAGGGCGAGTTCCCGTCAAAATGGTTCCACGGAAAGACCAAGGAGGCCCTGAACAACTTCCTCTCCCAAGGATACGACCTGCTCATCATATCACTGCCATTGACCAAGCTCAGCGAGAAGCTCATGAGCGCGGAGCAGTTCAGGATACTGAGCAAGAGGAAGACCTTTGTTGTGAACATTGCGCGCGGTCCGATCGTGGACCAGGACGCGCTTATCGAGGCTCTTGAGACGGGCTTGATCCGGGGTGCGGCGCTGGATGTCACGGACCCCGAGCCGCTGCCTGCGGAGCACCCGCTGTGGAAGGCCAAGAACTGTATGATCACGCCCCATGTCAGCTGGTTGTCGACTCACCAGCTTGGGCGGATCAAGGGGATCCTGGCGGACAACCTGGAGAGGCTTTACAAAGGGGAGAAGCTCATGAATGAGCTAAGCTATGAGTCGAGAACACACCATGAGTGATGGAGGCAATCCGGGAGAGGTTACTGCCTCTGTCAATACGCATGACCAATAGGTGTTCCTTTCGAATCTAATTTATTTGGAAGAACCTGACACAGTCCGGTCACTCATCTGGCAGCTCATATCCTTCTGTGCCCTCGTCACTTTGCTCGACATGTATCTCGTCCCATTCCACCCCATCCATAGCCCTCACATACAGAGGTTGGATCCGCCTCAGCTTCTCGACGGACTCCTTCTTGGCCTCGGGCAGCTTATCAACAACCTCCTGCGGCGGCCCCACAGGCACCCCGTAGCACGCGACGCCGCACGTCGTGCAGAACGGCGCCTGGTTGAACTTCCTGCCGAAGGCATACGTGGTCGTGTTCTCCCTCCCGATGAGCGTCACCTGGTCTCGGTCTGGATACATACTGATGGCGGCCCTTCGTCTGCATATGCTGCAGTTGTCCTCCTTGATTTCCACCTGCGTGAGTGGAGGCGTCTTGACTGAGAAGGAGACAGCGCCGCATGCGCACGAGCCGTTGTAGAGCTTGATGTTGTCGCCTTCCAACTGTGCTGGAGGAGGGCTCTTGCTCAGGGCTTCGAAGAGCTCCAATGATTTCTCAGACACGACTGATGCAGTTCTTGGCAGCCGTGATGTTAGTAACTCCGATGGCGTCTCGCGGATGCATTCTCAGGAGGAACTTACTGTGCCTCCTGGGCCTTGAGGTCGAAAGGGTTCACGTCAAGAATAGTTCGAATCTGAAGAGTCCCGTCAGTCAAAGGCGCGAAATACGGCGATGAGATGCACAAGATAGGTTGGGCTTGGTGTCTCACGTTGATGCCTGGTTGACCTTCTAGTGGCCCAGCCTTGTGTGTTCCGTAGAGGCCTGTGCCACAGTTATTACAAAACTGTTCTGAAATATCAGCTATTGCATTATTACCCAACAAGTATCATGCGAAAATATTCGGGCGACATGTTCACGAACCTCGTGGCTCAGTGCCTCGGTCTCGTACCCAGCCAGAGTCTCATCGTCGCCCTTGGTGTATTTGATGTCCCCAGCATCTGGAAAAGCCCACAGGTAACCAGACTTGTGGCAGAGAAGACAATTACAGCTTATGGCGCTTTCGATCTTTGGCAGTTTGACCTCGAACCTGTTCCTCCCACAATGGCAGCTGCCCTTCCGCACGGTGGGCCCACCGGCGGTTGTCCCAGCTCGAGAAAGACTGAGCCCAGTCTCCTGGCGGGCGATAGGCATAATTTGACGATTTTCGTTAGTATGTAATTCTTGGCGGGAATAATTGGATATGTGAGGTTTCAATGCTAAGAAAATCAGAGACCAGCGCTTGGATGAAGAGTCGTAGTCTGAGAAAGAGCAAACCAACTATGAATGTTGCAGTGCACCTTGGGTGGGTTGCGGCGCAGCCAGAAATCCCCCCCCCCCCGCCACCCAGGCTGCCACGAACCGAAACGCGCAGGAATCCTGCAAGTGGCCCCCTGATGACCAAGAAGTCCGGCTGCTACGGAGGGCCTGGCCAGTCTGGAGCTGTTCCTACCCGTTAGTGTGATCCCACGCAGAGCTTACTTGCAGCACGCAGCGTCGCGGACTAGGATGGAATTGGAAGGACGTTGGTTCCGGTGGCTTGGGTCCGAACACGGGCAATGCACAATCTAGTGAGTCGATTTCACCGCGCGCAGCCGTGTTTAATTTCCGAGTCTTGTCATGGATCCTTAGAGTCAAAGCCTAGAAATTGTTGAGGAACAAGACTAGATAAGCACTGGTCTCCGCCAGGTCGGACTGCATGCCCTAGTCTCCCGGCGTGAACGAGTAATCCCGGATCGCGGTCTGACAGTGTCCGACGTGGTCGGAGCCACAATGATTGCAAAATCTATGGCCAAGGTCCATGCATGTGGGAACTTCACAACATTCATGCATGCGTCTGGGTTTATCTATTCCTGCTATTGATTTGCTGCTTCTTCTTCTCATAACCGTTATGCAATGGTCGCCTTTGCCGCACAAGAGAAACTTGAGATCGATTTAATATCCTAGGCCGACTGTGTCTGAATCGAATACACAGTCTTGCAACCAATCTTATTGCAAGAGTCCGGGTCTTCACAAGGGAAGCTGACAGTCGCAGTGGGCAGGACGTCGCACCCGGCCGGCTTGGTGAGATACGAGGTAGTCGAGCAATCCGGAACCAGGCAACTCTTGCAATAGGTCGCAGTACTGGTCAAGGTCGGGCAGCTCGGCTTCGAGGTGGCACACGTCGAGCCGGGCTTGGTCGTGGTGACGGTATAGCTCTCGGTCTTGGTGACCGTTGTTCCGGGGGCCGTGGCAGTCACAGTGTACGAGACGGTCTGTGTTGGGCCAGGCTTGACGGTGGTGACAGTGTAGCTTTCAGTCTTTGTGACCGTTGTTCCAGGGCCGGTGGCAGTCACGGTCTTTGTAACCGTGGTCGTCTTGGTCGTGCCGTACCTGCACCAGAGATCAGCCAAGCTTCCAAGGATTCACGACGAGAAGATTGGCTTACGAAATTGTTGCAATAGCAGTCACAGTTTTCGTGATATCCGAGCAGGTTGAGGCTGAAGTGGGTGCTTCTTCTCTCTTGACATGAAGGGCAGTGATGCCACTACTTCCATGCAGTGTTAGCATTTGGCTATCAAAAGTGAGGATATTTCTGAGACCAAAGGAGCCCACTTACATGGCGAGGGAGCAAAACAGAGCGAAGAAGTTGAGTTGCATTTTGCACTAGTTCTCAAACTTGTAGAGGCAGTGAGCTTCCTTGACGATAGAGAATGGTACTCAAAACTAGGCGATTGGGATAATAAATGCTTCGGATTGGTGCTGGGGAAGACGCAATTTATATGAATGATCTCTCACTGTATTTCGCACATGACTGTACAACCTTATGCAGCCTTCAAACATCACCGTGCAGCGCTACGAACAAGTTCATGGCCAACGCAGAAAGCGTCCAGACACTATGCTGCATCCTGATTCACGGAAGACCATCTTCGACAAGCAAAGTGTTCGTGGCGTTACTATCGCTTGATTTCCCCTCCTCAAGAGCAGACCATCCAGTTGAATCAAATCTCGACCCTCCGTTCGGTCCAAGAGTAGTATATTGCCGTTGCAATGAGGCTATCGTAGCTGCAGCTGGGCCCTTGGCGGACTGATCTAGCCCTCGCCGACCCCAGGCCGCTCGCGGCTGAATTGATCGACACCATTAAGCTTAAATGCAAACTTAATTTGCAGTAGACCAAAAAATACCTCTCGGAGCGTCATGAAATCCTCTAGCGGCCAGTCTCGAGAGCAATACGGATGTGCTTGCATGCCAACCGAGCAACCTTGGAACTTCAAGTCTAGCGGCTTCGGGCAGGTCGGCGCAGTAGCCGACGCCGTATCCCAGACAGAACGTGGTCTAAACCAGGATAACAACATAGGCATGCGAATCTAGTCTTGCCAGTCTTTCAAAATCATATGTGCACCCTTCTCAGCGATAGCATACACCGTGGCCTGGAGGTGAGCGCTGATTTGCAAGGGCATGATGCTCGCATCCGCCACTCTAAGTCCCTTTACACCATATACCCTTAGCCTTTCATCAACCACTCCGCCTGTGATACCGCGATCTCCGCCCATACCGCAAGTACCGATAGGGTGCCTGCAAATCCAGCTGTCAGCTTGGCGGTCATACGGTGCGAAATACGACAACCGGAGGGATACACACCAGTCAGTGATGGTCTCTCTCACAAGCCAATCCCTCAACTCGTCATCGGTTCTGGCCGACCCTGGCGGCACAACGCGGCCGTGAACTATGCTTGCAAGTGGAAGCGTTTGTGTGACTTTCTCGGCAAATTTGGCGCATTCAACCATTATTTCCAAGTCTAAGCTCCCACCAACGTCCCGATAATACCGTGGGTCAATGGATGGCTTGTCAGCAGGGTTGGGAGATCGGACATGTATACTACCTCTCGAGAAGGGGTACTGCAAGATTTGCAGCATCGTTGCATACTTCTTCCCCGCGGACGCATCATCTGGTTGAAAATATGGGTTCCAGTTTCCGAGGTCAAAAATGTACTCGATTTGCCCCAGTTTCGGCAAGGATGGATCAAATCTTGCTCTTCGGATATCGTTGCGCTCTGGAAAGTCGTCTTGAATTCCGTTGGCCTTGGTTTGCAACCGCAAATAAGCCTCCTCCGACATAATTTGCGATAGGCTGAGGTAACAGATAGAGTTTGGCAGGATTGTCAGCGGCCCAGTGCCTTTCGACGAGAATTCCTCGCGGGCGGCGGCTGCTGTACCGGGATCTGTCTTCAGGTCATCGGGATTAGGCAAACCGGAGTCGACTTCGTAGATTGAGGCAGCCATGATATGGTCTTGAAGATTCTCTCCCACAAGTGGACTTGAAACGATTGTCTCGATCCCAGCATTCCCGAGGACGGCTGGGTTGCCGATACCGCTAAGCTCGAGGATCTGAGGTGACTGGACGGAGCCTGCGCAAACAATCACTTCTTTGGACGCGAACGCTGACAGTATTTGTCCTCTGTGAACGAATTGTACACCTCTGGCCGCCCAGGATCCGTCATCTTGCTCAAGAATTATCTTGTTGACGAAAGCCTCGGTCAGGACGACGAGATTTGTTCGTTGTCTGTGCGGTTGATAATAAGCCGTTGCCGAGGACGTCCGAGTGCAAGTCCGGGGATTGACGGAGCCTAGATTTGTCCAGGCGCCCACGTTTGATCCCGTCATGTGTGCCTTGTTATTGTGCGCACCTAAGTTCTGAAGTGTATCATGCCAGGACTGATGTGAAGCGGAATACTCTGTCGCATAAGAGACGTCAACTGGCCCAGAGACACCAAATCCATTGGCATCGTAATAGGCTTTGTTGGCCACTTGGGTCTGCTGGCTGGGTGCATGGAAATTCTCAGGCTTCTTGAGAAACGGCCTAATGTTGACAGAAGCATTAGCAGACCACCCTGGGATATGAGATTGAGGTTGTACCAGGGGGCGACTTACAAGATACCGTCCCAGCCCCATCCTTTGCAACCGAGCTTCTCCCAGGCATCATAATCTTGTTTGCTTGCACGGTTCCAAGTCATGAAGTTCAAAAGGCTTGTGCCTCCAAGAGCCTTCCCTCTGGGCCATGGTAGAGTACGGCCCCCTAGCCCGGCCTGGGTTGTGGTTTCAAACTGCCAATCCAACTCGGTCCCCAAAGTGGCGCCATACCAACCAGGGATCTCCACATGTTCATTGCCCTCAACTTCTGGCCCAGCCTCCAGAACTCCGACCCTCAGGGACGACTTCTCTGAGAGACGGGCCGCAACAGCCAATCCAGCAGTACCACCACCGACTACAAGGAAGTCGAAACGGTAGTTGCAGAAATCATCTGCTGTTATCTTGGGGGATGGCATGGCCAGCGGGATGGATGATGTGAGTAAGCCGGAGGAGATCTGCCGCGTGTGGAGCGAAGTCACTCTTCGATCCAGCACTTATCTTTGGTCGCATTTATAGCCTCCTCCGTGGATGCTACCAGAGGCGGGGTCGAATCCAATTTGCGTGCTCTCCTGCAGCGTTGTAGATCACTCAGTAAGCACGAATCTAGCCGCAAATAGGGTAACCTGCCGGCTTACATGACATGGGCACTGGCGGCCTGCGTTCCTCACTTCTTGTATTTGACACAGACGTTTCCGTCCAAAAAAGCTCTCATCTCATGATGCATTATCGGACATGCAGCCGTGAACGTTAGCAATGGAGAAGCAACAGGAAGATGTCCATATCGCGGCCAGCTCGGCTGATGTCGCACTGGCCGAAGTGCCCGACCAGCGCACAGAGCTGCCGTTAGCCCCAGAACAGTCTGCGGAAAAGACAACGCCCCCCAGCGCGCTATTCTCAAAGTTAAGACATCTCAACGAGCGCCTCGAGGCCCTGTCGGCCTTCGAGGCCCGCGGGATCGACCGCGTCCCGCCCGATGAGCGCCAGGCCCCGTCGACCGCCGGCGACGTGCAGATCGCCCTGCTGTGGTTCGGCGCCAACATCTCGTGCAACAACCTCATCGTCGGGCTCTACGGCCCGATGCTGTTCCAGCTCGGGTTCCTGGACAGCGCCATGTGTGCTGTCTTTGGGGCGTTCCTGGGCAGCCTGTCCACGGCGTTTATGGCTATCTGGGGACCGAAGACAGGTCATCGAACGAGTACGCACATGGCATTTTGCCCTTCCTATAGGCATTTGTCATTTTGGAGGACCTCATACTGACAGGACCTCGACTCAGTGGTTGTTTTGAGATATTTCTTCGGATGGTGGCCAGCCAAGCTGCCAACTGTACTGAACATTGTTCTCATGATAGGGTACTGCTGCATTGGTCAGTATTTATTCCGTTTGTCTTATTCTCCTTCTTCATACTCTATGTGGGTTACGTGGCATGGTGTGGTATGCATGTGTGAAGAGACAGATCAAGGTACTGCTTGAGAATCTGCTTCGTCTGGGTTTGGTATTGCTGTGGTAAGCCGACTGGTGTGTCGGCCCAGAGCACCCTGAATGGCTGCCGAGAAAGTCCAAGATTTCAAGCTTGAAGCGACGCTTCGCTGACCAATTTGGCCAGACGGCATACTCGGCGGCCAAATTCTTTCAGCCGTAAGCGGCGGGACCGTATCTATTGCGGTCGGTATCGTCATCGTGAACCTGGTCTGCTGGGCCATCGTGCTTTTCGGGATGAAGCCCTTCCAGCAATATGAGAGGTTTGCCTGGATCCCTCAGCTCCTTGTATTATTCGTGCTCATCGGTTGTGCCGGACCCCAATTTGACGCCTCTTCCGTTTCGATGGGAGACACCGCCACTGTTGCGGCTAACCGACTTTCCTTCTTATCGATGTGTCTCTACGTGCCGAATTCGTGGTCGGCAGCCGCGTCGGACTTCTTCGTGTATTACCCGGAGACGACTTCGCCGGTCAAGGTTGCGTCACTGACGATTGTTGGCCTATGGCTGTCGTTCAGCTTGGTGTACATGATCGGGTAGGACTTGCCAACCCGGTAGACTTACGAATGTGCAGTCTGGAAATCCATGATACAGTCTTTGCTAACGTCGTATGGATAGAATTGGACTAGGCAGTGGCATTACGATGAATACTCCTTGGGCCACCGCCTTCGACACATCTACCGGGGCTTTGATAGAGGCGGCCTTCGAGCCGCTGCATGGCTTCGGGAAGTTTTGCGCAGTTATGGTGGCCCTGGGCCTCATAAGCAACAGCGTCCCCGGCACGTATTGTATGTTGACTGCCTGAACCTTGGCATGTTACTCATCAGTGATACTAATGTGCAGATTTCTAGCGGCTACAATGTGCGCTCAAGTCCTCGGTCGAGCTTTCAAAGCAATCCCCCGGTGGGTTTGGGGCTGTGTGTTCATCATTATACAGCTGGTCTTGGGTCTAGCCGGCAGGAACAGCCTCTATACAATCTTGTCCAATTTTCTCGCGTTGATGGGATACTGGGTCGAGTTCATGGTTTTGATCGTGCTCATGGAGCGGTACATCTTCCGGCGTCATCTTGGACACGACTGGTCCAGGTTGGACAGGGCCTATATGCCTGTTGGCATGGCCTCCTGTACAGCATTCCTTCTTGGTTGGCTAGGTGCTGTCCTGGGCATGTACCAGACTTGGTACATAGGACCTCTAGCCAAGCTAGCAAACCTTTCTGATGTTGGAGTCTGGGTTGGTATGGCATTCACAATCGTTTCATTCCCCGTCCTGAGGTACTGGGAGATCTCAAAGCTTGGTCGATGAGGACGGTCGCACACGCGACGAGTGGAAACCAGCCTACCTCTACCCAGGTACGATGAATGAAACAGGTGAAGGTAAGTCGGATGTCGCCGCACAGGTGTACACTCACACGAGGACGGCTCGGCCTCACTCAGAAAGGCCCCTGGTCGTGAACATCATGCCCCTCTGAATTGGCTCGGACTGCTATCAAGCATCATTTGTGGGCATGTGGGGAGATCGTCAGGTTCGACATTATGGGAGTTCGCATTATTGTCCATATTGGGAACCATGCCATTCTCATCTCCCTTGTTCATCCAGGTGAAGAACGAATCGGGTGCCCCCTTCAAACACCTGCAGGACACTCGCACCAGCACACACTGCGACTGGTCAAGGCAACGGCTGGTACCGGGAAACGAGTCAGCGGGACGAGGGCGATGAAGCTTGCTTGCAGAATAAACACCCCGAGACAGGCCCAGCATGCAGATCACGCGAGGATCCGTAGAGCTCCGGATCTCCAGCGGAGGTTGACGCTCCAATCGCACTCCTTCCCTCCTGGGAAGAAGGGGAACGGAGAGAGGTATTTGACGTGCTCTGGTGTGTCTGATCTGCGTGGAGTAACACCGCCAGGCGAGGTTCGTGATCGGCGCTAGGTCGCGAAGTTGCCGGGATGTTGCGCGTTTCAACCTGGGCTCATGATACTGCTTAGCCACTGAGATGCTACTCGTCCGCTTGTTGGAAAATGTCATCCAGAGTCGGGCTGGTTTTGACATAAAGATGGCAGCTGTCTCTCGTGTGTCGTCTGGTTAGTTTTGGTTCGTCCAGCCATCAAGCTTCAGCACTTACACCTGCCATCTGTTCAACGTCCATTCTTCAGACCTGGTGTCTTGTTTCATCCTATACCCAACAAATTTTAATTCTCACGACAACAGAGTTGTCTCTTCATTTCCTAAACGAAATAACACCAAGTCAACACATCCAATATGTACGCCTTCCGTGTCATCATTGCGGCTCTCTTCGCCATCACCACATCAGCCTCAGTAGTCGAGAGGCAACTCGGCGGCATCGGCTGCAACGTCGCACGGTTCCAGATTCTCGGTGCACTGGGCGATGCAGGAGATGCCATCGGAGAGATCCAAGACGCGGACGTGCAGTCAGCAGCACAAGCAGGTCTGGACCAGGCCAACGACGGCATTGGACAAATCGCCTCGTCGCTCCTGAGCGGGGCCGCGGCGCCGGCGGACAGCCGTGATGCCGTCGCGGCCGGGCTGGCGGCGATGAACGATGCTTTGTCTGCTGCTGACGAGTAAGTCGACGAGGACCCCGAGTTGGAAGAATCTGTCTTTGGAACCTGCGGCTAACTCTTTGTATCAGTTCTGACGCAGCTGTTGGTGACGCCAAAACGGCGGTTGCGGACGCGACGACCGCTGGCCAGGATGTTGTCTCCAAGTGCTAGGCCGACTCACTCTTGAAATGTTCTGTTGGCAGTGGAGTTCCGGGATGTCATGTTACAGGTGGAACAGGGCCCTTGAAGGGCATATTTCTTCGTTTGTTAGAATCGAAGGTGGCTTGGTTCAGGCCAATAATTGGAATTCGATACCTAGATAGATTAATAAGGTCATCACTTTCCTCGTTACCAATACCCAGCTCCTTCACCGGTTCCTTGCAATTCGTGAACTTCTGCCCTGTACTCGGTATCAAGGATGTTTGCCCAATGTCGCAAAGCGTTGCGCCCAGGGCATCCTGTGCTTCGTCTTGCCCCCTGCGTGCTTCAGCGCTGCTGCCCCTGTGCGTGCTCAAGCCCCCAGCCCCTCGGCCGACAGCCGACCCCACATTCCAGGTGACGCTCCTGCTCCTGCACAAACTCTTGCTTCGGCACCGACAAACTTCAACGCATCGCCAGGCACAACCTCCATGGATGCACAGGCTGACATTGTTGTAATCTGGCTCGCCGATTCGCCACTGAGTGAGTTCTCGATGCAGGAAGGCCCCTTGTGGCGCTGCCGATGAGCACGCCGGAAGCCTGCACCAAGTCGCGTCCCAACCCACGCGGTGTCGATGTTGGCACCGCCGAGCTGACATACCAACTTATGGATCGATCATTCACAATCCTGACGTGCAGTACATCCGCCATGCTCAACTCGTCACAGGCCTGCCCCTCCCTGCGCTACCTGGGTGCCGCGTGACCGAACTCCAGGATGCTCGTCAACGACTTCTAGCGGTCCACCAAGACGGTCTCAGCACTTCGACGCTGACCTCTTTTTGGTACGGTACGCGGACTTGGCACCCACGGGTCGCTTGCTCGGACAGTCTCCGCGTGGAGGCCGCTGCGATCAGTTCACTCGTGAAAGAAACACGAGAGTACTGATATCCATCCGGACAACGATCTGTTCCGGCGACCAAGCCTCCGAGAGGCTCCTTTCCGGGGCCGAATTGCTGCAGGTCGTGCTCCGAATGGCCGCACCCTCTCCCCGGGCTGTGCCACATGGTTCCCATCAGCCCCATTGATTCTGTGCTGAAGGAAACCGAGAAGGGCCAGGCCGCGACTTTGGGCCTATCGATGGTCCCACCTAAGCTATATTTAGGATCTCACATGGATTCGATCAAACGCCGCTCTCGTCTTACTTTCACTGCCGTAAACTGACAGTCGCAATCGGGCTTTTCTCACGATGAGATTACGACCATGTTTGCTGGTCTTGGTGTGGCTTTTGCACCACATGTCTGCAATTTAGAGCCCAACTCCGAGTTCTAGAAGGTCCCTCTTCTCTTCTTTTCCATTACCAACGCCAAAACCCCCTAGATTTCCACATGCCTGGTCGGCATTTCTGTTTCATGCTCTGTCCGACACGGCCCGCCTACATATTATGGCCGGACTCATTGGGCCCCTCCGTTTCGACCGCCTCCGCCTCAGACAGAGTCACACTCTCGAAGCTGGACGTGACCTGCAGCCGCTTGAGATTGAGTGGCATCGGTGTGAGCGGCGGTGATGAGCAGTTTGATTGTGTCTCTTCGGTCCCTCCATTCCCCCTCGATTCGCCGTCGTCGTCGGCTGTTGAGCCCACAGAAGATTCTGACCAGGCGCTCATAGTCCTCTGGAAGCTCAGACCTCGCGGCCGCTGCTTGGGCTGGAGCTCGTTTGCCCCGCTGCTTGCCCATCCCAGCGACTCATACCCTTCGTCTGACGCCGATGGCGCAACGGGAAAGGGACCACGCACTGTACCAGACCGATCTCGTCCCGCAAAAGTGCTGCGCACCGTGTTGGAACGATCTCGCCCGGAGGGCTGATCAGCAGCCGTGATCGTGGCGGCGCTCACCCCCGACCAAAGCGGCCTTTCGACTTCTTGGTTGGTGTTCGTGTTCACCCGCAGACTCGAGTTCCGCGGGGGTGATCTGGTCCTGAGATGGCCCTCGCCGGAATCTAGGCGTGGAGGGTTCTCGAGGTATGGTGGGGATTCTGCCTCTTCTGCCATCTCTTGGCCCTCGAGCCACTGCAAGGCGTAGTCGCTTGCAGCCCCGACGTCGTGTGTGGGTTTCCGCAAGTGGCAGAACTCTGGGTAGTCGGTAGCAGGCTCGGGTGCCTTGCTCGTGATTTTATCGGCATTCGACATTGCTATCTCAAAGCAGTGTGGGCAAAACCGAGGTTTCGATTTGACGCCATTGTGGTCGTCCAGGTCGTCGGGGTCCGGGCCGAACAGGCTCAGTGGGAACGAAACGCTGCGGTTACTGGGATCGATGCTCATGGAGTTGCGCCGAGCCAGGGTCACCGGGGTATCCAACTGAAGGCCTCCCTCTTCCAGCACGTCCACCACACTGCAGAAGAGCTCGTCGTCGGTGATCTTGCTGATGTCGGGGGTGTGTCCCTCATTGGAGTTGAACAGACCGACCATGGGGCGCTCCCCAGAAAACACGGCCCATATCGAGACGGCTAGGGCGTAGTAGTCGTCGAATGGCGTCGAAGCCTCGCCTTCAGGAGATCGGTTCGGCGAGGTGTATTCAACTGTTGGTGTCTCTCCAGGCCACGTGTTCAGGTCGCTATCGTCTCTCATCCGCGCTGAAGAGAAGTCTACTATCTTCAAATCATCACTTCCGGGCTGTTTGACGAACCTCTCCGGTTTGATATTGCCGTGCAAGATTCCCTTGCGATGCAAAGCCGTCACCAGTATCATCATATGCTTCGCGATCGATACGCGTTCAGCTGGGAGAATTCTGGTCACGTCAATGGGGTACCCCAGCTCCATCAATGCACCCTTCTGATACCACTGCGCACTCATGTCATCAACCACCCCGACCTTGCTGACGACTTGGAGGGTGAGCTCGCTGGCAACCACCATGAGCTTCGTCTCTCGCTTCCTGCAAACTGGCTTGTATGCCAAGGTGTTGCTGTATTTGTATACAGGGCATTGGCTGCAATTTGCGACGATGGAAGCCGAGGTGTCTTCAAGATGCTGACACGAAAGCCGTGGATCAGTCTCAAGCATCATCGGAGGCAGGGACTCCGCCGTTGCGTCCGGGAACCACGCGACCGTGGCTGTGTGCTCCATCGCCATTCTCACCAGAATTGAGCCGGCTGGCCGTTTAATGAGGCCCAAACGATTTGGAAGAAAATTATTTCGCTCGAATATTATTCTGGGCAAATTGAGTGAGGCTCGCAAGCCCCCCTTTCGTACATTGGCGGATCACTCATCTTCGCGAACGATCAAACCAAGATCTCCGGGGCGATACTGATGATAAAAGGCAGAAGTTGATTTTTCTTGAATGATTTCATCATCATGGCAATGAAGGATTCTAATAATAACAGCCCAAGTTCGGGACATTCCATTGGCAGTGGAGTTTCGAGCCTGTGAAGAGGCCTGGTCGGGTGGGGACGGTGTGGCCACCGCAGGCCGGCCGCTAACAGCTGAGCTGCGAATGCTCGTGCATCCTCTGTTAGTGCAGGGGCAGACACACATCCCTTGGCCGCGTCCAGACCACATCGTCATCCACGCTGGCTTCAAGCAGCCCTACCCGCCTGCTTTGAAACGAGCTGCTCACGTTCTCTGCGGTCTACACCCGAGAGCCTCAAACGGGGACTGACTGAGTACGACCATATGAACAGCCGGGCTCCGTGGTTCCCGGCAACAGACCAGCGGCCTTTCGGTGCCTGATGTCCAATGCTTTCCCTCTTGCTCGAGAAAACCGGCCTCTCCTCCCGGCACCAGCTGTTTGAGCTACAAGGCCGAGTACATTTTCTGGTCTCATACACCCACTCTCATATTCCGACCCGCCCTGTCGGTGGACACAGCAGGTCGGACAAGTCTCTTTCTCTCATTGTTTCGGCTGGACACGGCTGTCAAACACTTGCACAAGGCCGCAGCTTATGCCCACGCGTGGTTTGATTCTCCGCTTCACACCTAGCGGCGACCGCATCGGTGACACTTGCGTGCTCGCCAGATCGGCCAAGCCCACTCGCTAACCACGTCCTATCCACTTGGCTGTGTGATGTGATCTGCAAGGGTGATCGAGAGGCAAGTGTTTCTCGAGGTATAATAGTCAAGCAGGAGAAACATCTCCATGACAACAACGGCAGACCACTCGACACACCCAAACATTCTTTCCTTCATCCATTTTTCTCCCAATGCCCCGTGTCAAGAGTTCACTGCGGAGAGACGGTCCACTCAGCCCTCCAGCAGTAACAACAGAGTTTGATTCCCAGCCTCAGTCGTTTCCTACTAGCCCCTGCTCCACCAAACTCTGCTCTCTTGAAGAGTCATCTGACGAAGAGACTCAATCTGCCAACGACAACAAGGAATGTGCAAGTTCACCTACCTCGGCTACGACCGCTGCGATGAGCCAGAGAGGCACTATCTCATCCGTCGTGAGAAATGTAGCGCCAAAGCCAATCTAAAGAACTGGTGCTCTCCTGATGAGCAGGAGGAGGCTTCAACGGCAGACCAGTCCGGAAAGTTCTGGGTGTCGCTGCCGTGCCCAATGTGTGCAGAGATACCCGTTGTCTACGACCAGCCTCTGCTGGAGATCGCTCATTCACGCCGCTCAGTCCTTCCTGCACCGCACTACGACGCCGTCACCAGGAAGTATTCGCGTCTTCCTAGACACCACACGGCTTCGGATGACGCGCCATCTGATGTGGTTCCGCCACCGCTCAAAACCACTCGCATGCAGGTCCAACGGGCAGCTACCGAGTCCAATACTACCAAGTCCAGGGCTCCAAAGGCTGGCGAGTCATCGGGCGGTGACTATACGCTCCCAGCGACCACCTATGTCCCTCCAACGAGGGAGCTGAACCTTCCTAAGCCGCTCCCTATGCCACAGCCTGCTACCCTCACACCACCTTCCAGTCGTGACTCGAGTCGGTCGCCCCCACAGATCCGCATGGATGGCGCTCTGCGAACCACTCCTCCCGGGGACGGCAGCCGTCGAGAGTTGGACTCCATCCGAGAGAAGGCAAGGGCGGCGAATGCCGCCGCCATGGAGGCAAGGCCTCCCACGGCTGAACGCTTCCGCTCGGGCTCCGCTTCCTCTTCCTCGAGTAACGGAACGAGCCGCCCAAGCCAGCCATCTCGTCAGGCCTCGAATGCATCTATGACAACAGCTTCATCTTATGCCAGCAGGGCCGTTGTCAAGACGGGCCACAGGCCTCAGAGGCAGGCAAGCGCGTCACGCTCTCCGCCTCAAGACAGCATGGCAGACAGCCTGGCAAACGCAGCACTCAGGAGCATCGGGATCGACCGTAACGGGTCCCGCTCTACAGCTGCGTCCGACACCCCCGAGCGTGGCCGGAGAATGCGCCGTCGTCCCACGGGCGGGTCAAGCAGCGACAGGTCCGACTCTCCCTCGGTGTGGCGGCCCACCATCAGCCCTCCCGTCCTACAGAAAGACAGCCTCGGACTGGGTCAAATCGATAACACCGTCGAGCCCTTCAAGCAGCGGCTCATCCCCTTCCCGCCCAACAAGGGAGCCGCGACTCCCAATGCCGTCTCCATCGCCAAAGGAAAGGGCCTAGTCGAGGACCCCCCGCGACCAAAGACACCCCACCCGCACAGCAACAAAGCTCCCGTACTGAGGCTATTCCCCAACGACGCCGACGACGAGGAGATAGCAGCTGCCGCCTTCGAGAGGATGTTCGCAGCCGAGTCCAAGGCGCAGGCATACCAGCTCCAGGTGCAGGCGCAGGCGCAGGCTCAGGCGCAGGCCGACGCCAAGGCCCAGGTGGAGACTCAATTCCAGGCCAGGGCCGCAGCGGCGCAGTCGGCCGTCTCCTCCTCTTCGTCCTCCAAGACGGGCGACGAGGTGGCCGGCGCAGCAAAGAAGGACAAGTCCCTGCCCTCCGTGCCGGCGGCCCTGCGGCGCGTCAAGGTCGGCCAGGTCAAGACGGTCAACGTTGTTGCTCCGCCCCGCCCTCCGCGCCGCCAGAACACGGCCGACAGCACGGGAAGCTCCGCCACTACGTCTTCTTCCAGGTCGTCGCCGCCCCAGCCGCCTGCGTCCGCTACCATCATGAAGGTCAGCATGGGGCCGACGTTCAGCCTTGCGGGCGTCAGCGGGAAGGCGCAGGAGTTTGAGATCGTCACCGGCCCTGATGGGACTATGCTACAGGAGCCGGCCTTTGGTCAGGCTTTCTAAGAGCGATAGAGAGAGATTGTGGGGGATGTTGTTGATGGGGTGGAGGCTCTGCCTGTGTTGTTGGTCTCTTGCCGTGTTAGAGACGATACACTCTTTTTGATACCTTTTTCTTTTGTGGCGATCTCCAGGTCTCAACCTCATCGGTGAGCTAGGTCGCGTGTAAAAACATGGGTACTTGTGAGTTTGACTTCCGGGCTATACAAAATACTCAAGTTGCTCTTTGGAGATTGTTAGGTTGGATACCACATGGGAATATCTGCAGGAGTCATTCTTTATTGCAACTGTGGCAATTTACAACTTTATCAAACTTCTCGCTTTTCGTGTCTGTGATATTGTGCCTCTTGTGTAGACAGGCAACGCATCTTGTGGCCAATGAACTGCGTATCAGTGTCAGAGATAACTGACCGCGGTACCAGTCACACTACATATATACACACTCAAAGATCGAGCACTGGAATGAGAAAAAAAAAAGAAAAGAAAAGAAAAGAAAAACACCACTATGTCCCTTGATTCCTTTGCAGACACGAGAGCCCTGATTTGATACTCCCCAGGGCCTTAGTAGAGGCTTTTTGACTGCAATGTATGATGCGGAAGGAATTTTGAAAATCTCTTCCTCTCAGAGGTGTGGGCTTTCGTTCACATGATCACTTGGGCCATCTTGCTGCCCTTGCCTGTGCTGATTTCAATAACGCCACTGAATTCATCTCATTTCGGCACGGCGCCATACTCTCCCCACAAGCTCTAGACAGCTCTACTCAAGTGTCATATTACCGTTTCCCTCTGAAAGTCGACCTTTGCTGTAAATAAGCTGACATCGACTGTCTCACGTGGCTAAGATTTATCCTCCAGGCACTCGAAATGAAGACGCTCCTGAGAAGGGCTTGCCACGTCACTGCTGTCAAAAAACGTCACCCGAGAAACTCTTGCCTTGTTACGCAAGTCCTTTGCCGTCTGCATGCCAGACAGAACATCCGTCACCAACTTCCCACGGCTCGCAATTGCCAGACTACTCGATTTCCACAAGGGCACCATCCGGCCATATCGCCGGTTTTCACAGATCGTGATGCCCAGGAATACTGCACCAACCAGGACAATGAGACAGTGAAGACAGATCCAGGGCCAGACGATTCGGTAGTACGTTGTTAACTCCCCCTTTTCCCCAGCCACACTAATCGGAACCCCTTCAAAGCTCTCATCTGCCCCGGTACGCATTGCATTGCTCATGCTGGCTGCCAATGCTGTGAAAGTTGCGTTTAAATCCGTGCTTGAGAAGAGAGCTTGCATAACGCTTGGCTCATACTCGATCTGTGTTGATCTCATGTAGTACCCGTTCAACCTCCCTGTCTTGGCCGAGGTATCCGTTATTGCCAACTCACGAGGTTGCGAGGCGAATGTGGACTGGAAATAGTTGCTAATGCTGTTGACTGCCCCTGATGATATGTTGAAGCGGCTACCAGATGCCGCCGAAAAGAGCGTTAGGTCCGAGCGATGGATTGCCGAGACGATGTTGTCGAAAGCTATGCTGTTGATTTGCGACTCGTTCATCAGGCTGGCATAACCCTTCCCGACGTCCCACGAGTCTTTGACCCGAGTGATGTCCGTGACTTGCTTGCTGACTTCTCGAACGATGCCACTGGATACAGTGATCTCATAATCTTTAACGCAGTAGTACAGCGCGCACTCCATTGCAGAAACTGGGATATCGGGCCAAGTCGCCTTGTCATCCAAGTCATTCAGGTCAGCACGTATCATCGACATCGACCAGATCAGGGTGTCCAGGCCTTGTGTGCTTGTGGTCTCAGACGCCTTGGCTGTCCCAAGTGTTGCCAACATAATCGCGCCGTAACCAATATTCGACTTGAAGAAATAAGGAATAAAACCATTTGTGTTGTCGAGGTAGAGACCACTAGGAAGTCGAAATGCGGTGCCACTGCCACGGGAGGCGACTACTGTACTATTGTCCTTCTTTAAACACCAGGATTGGTTACCGTTTGAGACGATACGTTGAAGGCTGTTCGTGAGATCGGTGCAGCGGTTGCAAACCGCAAGCGACTCGAAAGGAGGCCACGTGCAGTTCCCAGTAGGGCAATTAAAGGTGCTTTGCTGAACAACGTTGTGGATCGGTTGGTCTAGTCCATACATGATGGCCGACTGTATGGAAAGATCTGCGTCGACTACGACTGACTGCATCAAGGGGTCTACACCGTAGGTGGTGTTGGTAGTTGCGTTGAAGTAATCTTGCCACGTCAGCTCCAACATTCTCGAAAAATCATTAGATTTCGGCTAGGCTGACCTGACGATGGTATGGTGGAGGTGATGTAGATGCTAGTGCCCTTTGCAAAGCGTCCTGCTCTATTCACTGTTGTGTTCGTGTCCTCGGTGTGAACCAGGACCTGTTCATATTGGATAAGCTGCTGAGTGAAGGGGTCGGCGGCAATGCTGAGGAGCACAACCAAAGCGCCTAAGCAAAGACACCCACTACAAGCGTTAGCATATCATGTCGCCACACTCAGCTGCCAGATCGGAATATCTTACATGGATCTCCACTTCCACATCAGGGTCAAACTTCCCAGTGGCCCTCTACTGGCGGCATCTATTCTCTCGAAATCCAGCAATGGACGACTTTTTCTGGTGAAGAGAATCCATTTCCACTGGCTGATCAGCTCCGAGATTGCATGCAACAGAGCTGCCTTCGATGCTGTCGAAAGAGTAGACACCACAGCGTTCAGTGTGATGCCTTTCCATTCAAACACGGGTTTTCCATCATAGACGGTTAAAAGGGCTGCGAGAATATAGAGTAAAAAGACTGACGCCAGGATACTTGCAGTCTCTGGAAGCCAAACAAACCGCATGGTCACTGCCCACAAATAGTTTCGAGGGGAATAAATAGAGTAAATGGAAGGGAGAAATGTGATTTCGGACCAAGTGGTTGGACTCCGATGGATGTGGGTGCCTTTTAATGACTGCCTCCGCGTCGGCCGCAGCCCTATCGGCTGAAATGTGGTGTTTCGTTGCACGACACTCGTGCCGGTGGCTTAGGGAATCACCGCCAGTAAGAGCATGAAGTCTGAAGGATTCCTTACCTCCGATCAAGGCAGATCCCAGGGAATCGGACCAACAGCGATAAAAAAAGGTGCTACTTGTCATGAACGAGGAGCAGGAGATTTCATCATTTTCTGACTTAAATCTGCTTCGAGACTCGAATTATCGCGGCCGTGTTATTATTGGGTCTATCTGAGTGTTATCAGAAGCTCACAAGCAATCTTTTTAATGATCATAAGGGAATTTGAGACAGAAATCTTATGGAATTCCATCAATGTCCATCGATCTTCCAGTTGTGGGTTTCGCAATGTGCTTCCAAAGGATTCGTAACTTGCAGGTGTCAGCACGGTTGAAAATGCAGTTTCACACCTCTTCTCAGCTACGTTCGCTTGCTTGTCCAGCTCTCATTCGCATGTGGGAAAATTAACTTGCGTAATTTTCTTGATCAAGCTAAACAACTAGCCTCACTGTCCGACCTTCATTTGGCCCTCATTCAATTCCTGACAGCCATGCTTCCCCTCATCTCTTTCCTTCCCTCAACGACCGTTCATGTTCACGGAATATTCTCAAGTGCCAAAAATCGGGAGCGCTTGATCGTTTTCTTTGGACAGGAGGTAATCTTCCAATCAGGCTGTCGAGATATTCAATGTTCTTCTCGGGTTACCTCTGCAGACTGGAGATGAAATCAGTGAGTTCGAGACGGCTCCCATACTCGACTCCACTCGGTAAAGCCATGATTACGAGCATAATGCTGCTAAGCGCGGCAATCCAGGTGGGCAGACCGTACACATGCAGGGGAAATGTGGCCAATGACCAGTATTGAGCCTGCCCCACAACAGCAATATATTTTAATGAGAAGCGCCCTGACCATTGAATGTCAAGAGAGACCCAAGGCGTCGATGGGATCAGTGCCTATTCCTGTTGAGTTATTCCAGCAAAATTATATCTAAATAAAAAACCAGACAGTTTTAGCGCTGTCTCTCACAAACATGTGAAGTGTTTTGACGTTGGAGACCATGCGGAGTTTTACCGCTGGGTATCGTCGTGGTGGGTCCGGGGTAGTGGGCTTGGTTTGTGGAGGTTTTGCGGGGAAAGCTTTTCCCCGGAATAACCTGAAAGAACAGGCTCATTAAGTGCCGAGTGCCGCAAGACTGGCTGGATCAGGTGGACAAAGCTACTCCTAGACTCCTCCTAGCGAGCACTTAGTTCATCAGGTCTCAGCACTGGTTCAGCAGGTCGTTGATCCTCCGCAGACGTTGAGCCTCACCAAAGTTGAAATAGGGCGTTGTTCGCTCCACCATGCTCGCTGCGCCCTCGTCGATATCCCCCAGCTGTCAACTGCACTCCTCTCGCACCAATTTGCATTCCTAGAGAACGTTTACTCTTCCATACCGTGGGCAGGACTCTAGCAGCATGGCAGAAATCTCCGTGCACCCGTCGACATGGCCCCTCTACGTCTGGCTCTCGCTCCTGATCGCCCTGCCAGCAGTCACGCTCCTCTATGATGCCGTGACCTGGTTTCGCATGCCACCTGGCCCTACTCCTCTTCCCTTCATCGGCAACAAGCTGCAGCTCCCCAAGTCAAAGCCATGGGTGCAGTTCCAAGAGTGGTCCAAGAAGTACGGCCCAATCTACACCATCTGGATCGGCCGCCGGCCCACCGTCATCATCTCAGACCCGGCCATCGCCACGGAGCTCCTCGAGACCAGGAGCAGCAAGTACTCCAGCCGTCCCCGCATGGTGGCGATGGGCGAGCTGCTGTGGGACGGCGCTAGCATTCTCGTGAAACCCTACGGCAAAGAGTGGAGCGTCCGCCGGAGACTCCTGCACCTCGCTCTCACGCCGAAGGCATTGAGGCTCTACAAGCCGGTGCAGGAGGCTGAGGCAGTTCGGCTCGCATGTGGGCTTCTGAGTCGCCCGAATGACTATGTAAAGCTCATCGAGACGTTCACATCGAGCGTGGTGTTTTGCGTGGCGTACGGGCATCGGATCGACTCGCTGAATGCCAGGGTCATCGGCCAGAGGTTCGAGTTCATGCATTACTCTGCTTCGCTCAATGTGCCCGGCAAGTATCTGGTCGAGACTATTCCAGCGCTGAAGCATGTGCCTGATTTCCTCGCGCCATGGAAGAAGGATATCAAGAAGCACGGGCTGAAGGAGGCTGCTGCGAATATGGACCTGGTCGATGTGGTGAGAGGGGACATCGCCAGAGCCGAGAAGGAATCTTCGAAAGAGAAGCTGCCAGACTCACTCTGCAAAATATTGCTGGAAATGCGGGAGACGGAGAATATTCCTCTGTCCGATCGCGACTTCTCCTTCGTTCCGGCTTCCCTGTTCGGTGCTGGGTCAGACACCACAGCATCAACAATGTGTACGGCTTTCCTGGCCCTGATTACCCACCCGGAAACCCTCGAGGCCACGCAGGCCGAGCTGGACGCTGTCATTGGCCCCGATCGGACACCGACGTTTGACGATGAGGCGAGCCTCCCTTATATCAGAGCGTTGGTCAAGGAGGTCCTGCGATGGAGGCCGGTTGCTGTGCTGGGCGGCACACCCCATGCGTCGACCGAGGATGACCACTATGAAGGCTACTATATCCCAGCTGGAACAACTGTGCTTGGCAACTCGTGGGCAATCAACCTCAACGAGGAGTACTACCCAAACCCCCACCATTTCAACCCACTTCGTTTCCTGGACGGGAACATCGCCGCGAGAGTCAAGCAAGCTCCCACGACCACCTTCCACACAGGCGAGAAGCAGGACCTCGAGCTTGGCGGAAGAGCCCATCCCTCCAAGAGCGGACACTCGTCATTTGGCTGGGGTCGACGCATATGTCCAGGGGCAAACCTGGCGGCGAACTCACTATACATCGCATTGGCTAAGCTGCTCTGGGCGTACGATATCAAACCGATTCCCGGTCGCACTTATGACACGTTCAAGTACACGGAGGGGTTCAACATCCGGCCTCAGCCGTTTGAATGTATTATCCGCATCAGGAGTGATAAGCACAAGATGGTATTGGAAGGGGAGATGGAGCATGCTGAGACGTACTTGGAGAAGTTCACGCCGTTTGGTGAATGAGTTGTAAATTGTCTGTTAATACCGCTACGAAATCAAGTGTTGTTTGCAACCAGTCAGGACTTTTGGGATCCAATATATGCGTGAGAACCGATCCACGAAATCTTGGCGTATTTTTTCAGTCTACAAATGGGCGTGTTCTGCCTACGAGCACTCCCTGCGGGGTCCACGCGTAAAGCGGCATAAGGTCTTCAGAACCCTTTCTAGTAAGAGTTGTGAAATATCCTGATCCTCTACTACCCATATTAGGCCTCCGCGGAGTCCATAATATGGGTCATTCTCCTGCAGGCACCGGGCCATTCTATACATGCAGTGGTGCGATGCTGAAAGTTTTCCACTGTGCCACAGGCAGCAGCAATTGTGGGCTCCTGACCTTTTCTCCCGCCACAAAATCCAGGAACTGGAACATCTTTCATAAACTCACTTCCTGAAATTTACCAAAGGCTAACCAGAACCACACCCTTTGATTAAGCATTCTAACAGACAAGGCGCATATCCCATAGGCTTAGGGTTTGTGTCAGTTCAACATTGGAACCGAATATGACGGCCCAAATTTCAGATCTCGATCTAGAGAATCTTTGTCGCCGGGCAATTGCCGATCCTCACTCGATCACGCGTGCTGAATACAACATCATCTGGCAATGGCCGTCGCCCGATGAAGAAGACCGGATTTGTGTCGAGAAAACGGGGCATACACGCGCTGAGCTCGTCGCAAAGGCACTAGCTACCCCGGATGACCTGACACGCGATGAAGCGATGGTCCTTCACCATCCACGGGGCGTGCATTTCGAAACACAGAGCAGCTTATTCGACTCGCCCGGAGCCTACCAAACGCAATTATCTCAGCTGGAACAGCTGCGCGACCATGCGACGGGCGTCCTCAGGGGGGCCGCGAGCGAGGACGCGAAAAGGGCCGTAATGAATGCCTGCGACAGGCGGAATGCCATAGACCAGGCCGAGATCGACGAGCTCCAGCGGCGGTGGGACGAGTGGGAGGCCGCACGTCGGCTGGCACGCGGCACGGCTTGGATTAAGGACCTAATCAAGAACGGGCTCCTGGACGCCGAATGCTGGGGTTTCGTAGTCTTCCGCACAGGTTGCTACGGAAGCCAGCAGGGTGATGAAGCCTGGCAGAGGTTCCGCGAGTACTTTGATAGCGCGGCCAAAGCAAGCATACTGCACTGGAACAGCGGTCCGCTGCTGTGGCCCAAATCTTCTGCTGTCTTTGTCGAGAGGGAGGAGCTGAATGGAGCTTCACACGAGCGGTTGCGCATGGAGTTCAACAGGATGCGTGACGGCCACGCAGGTGCAGAACAGCAGCTTCCCAAGGGTATACGGACCAGCTGCTTTCTTGTGGCCGACAAGGCAGCGATTGAGAGTGATGTCGTCAGAACCGGGTTCATTGTCAGGGACGAACTAGATTTTGACCCTCACGAGGATGGCCCAGTGCTCTATCTCCGCGCGGTACACCCTGACTTTCAACTCGACAAGCACTCATCCAAGGCTCAGGCTGGTGCTGAGTCCGTCTCATCCCACGGCCTACCGGAACAAGACGACGGGATGGAAGGGTTCACGGGTGAGGTCACAGTCGCCTTGCCGCGTGTGTTCGATTGGCTGAATGGTGTCTGTTTCGAGTCCGAGTGCGGGAAGACTTGGAAAGGCCATCCATTAGGCAAAGGCTGGTATGATATCTACACGCAGACAAAGGTTCCGGAGGAATGGACAAGAGACTATGCGCCGAATTCCGGCCGTGTATCCTTCAAATTACGACCTGGAAGAACAGTGTTCTAAATTGACTAGGTTAGTGACCTCTGAACAATATGGCGCTTTGACCTTTTCTGTGACCTCAAGAGGAACACTTCCAAATACTGGAAAATCCATCTGGAATGGCCCTGCCGGTCTTGTGAGAGGGTACCAACGAGGAGCGCCTTCAACGCCAGCCCTATCCTTAGTATAAGCAAGTACCTTTTGCGCATAGGTGGATCTTGCACGAGAACAAAGGTTAGAGTGTTTCGCGTAATTGTATGTTCCACTACCAGTAAATCCCGGCGCAGTATCTATACCCTTCTTGAAAAGACAAGAAGCAATTGCGGACTCATCAGAGACGGATTCCACTGAATGAACTGGGTCACATTAACGAGATCACAATCACGGTCAGATATCATCTAGAGGGGGAAAAAATGAACGGGGTGGAGGGTTCTTACTCTCTCAAAAGCTCGCTTTTATGAAACAGTAATTTGGATTACAGCATACATAAGACTCTCACACTCAGCGGCTCTGTGCGCCTGTCAGACTTTTTACTCAGTCACATTGTGCAGCTCTTAGTAAACATAACCAAATATCGATTAACACACAGAAGCTCCACAGATCTCACATGCTCACCCAGTGATCATTATTCTCTATGCTCCCTACTCAACCCAGGTGCATCTACCAAAAAAGTCGTCAGGGGCAAATCAACCTCCCTCAAAAGAAAATGACCACGGACCCAAGCCTCATCATCCTCGTCCTCAATGAGCCAAGCGGCAGTACCAGAGGTGTACCTGGGCTCCTTGTAATCCGGCTGAGGCGACGGGTCGTACTTCGGGGTGATGAGCCGGCCAACGTCCTTCCCATAGGCCGCCTCCCAGGGGAGCTTCATCGCATCCGGGATCTTCCAGCCCAGCTTCTCGTTCCGCAGCCACAGCCGCATCAGCCAGCGCCGCTTGGTGTCATCGGCGGTGGGGAGCTTGTCTCCTCCTGCCTTGGCCTTGTCGTCCTTCTCGGGGGTGTCCTTGTGCTCGGAGTCGATCGGGGACTCCGCCGCGCTAGGGTCGTCCTTAGAGTCCTTGGGATCAGCCTCGGAGGTAGAGACTTGCTCGTCTGCGGCCGTGCCGTTCGTCTTCTTAGTGTCGGCGTCGGCGTCGGAGTCGGCGTCGCTATCATCGTCGACGTAAGAGTCCCGCTTGTGAAGAACGGCCAGGTTGTTGATGAACAGGATGTCCCCAGGTCGAGCCGGGATAGAGACGGCGTGCTTCTCAGCAAGATCATTCAGAATCTTGAGGGCTTTCAGCTGTGCTTCATTAAGTCTGGAACCTTCAGAGGGCTTCTCGGCCGTTGCAGGGTGAAGGCCGAGACGGCCCGGGTCGGCAGAGACTGGAAATATGTCAGTGATGTACTCATTCGGGATTGGGAACGCCGCAAAAGTGTAGATCTCACTAATGACATGGCCTTCATGGTGGGCGAGCAGAGGCATCTCCTTGAAAACGGGGTTCTTCACACTAAGCTGGACGGGCCAGTTGGCAGCCTGGAGTGTCTCGAGAATCTTGGGCTGCTTCAAGAGATCGTCATAGATGGCTGCTGCCGAAGCGAGCGATGTAGCACCTCCGTGGGCAGCGACCTGCCGGTAGAGCAGAGTCAGGACTTCGCATCCCATGTCGGTGTGGAATGGGAGCGCCGAGTTTGTGTGGATTCCGTGTCGCTTCTCAGGGGGCACCTATACGAAAGTAAGCATCTGTAGTGATGCTGATTTATCTGCATTCTTACATCCTGCCACCCCTTGGCATCGGTGATATGCGAGATCATCACCCGGCTCTTGTTCTGAGCGCCTAAAGTAATCATCAGCCTCCGGTCCAGCGACAAATCTGAAAAGCAGGTCTGTACTTACCACGCTGGGAGCCAATGTAGCTACCAAGACCCAAGAAAATTATCAGATTGTCCTCGTCTGTGTACTTCTGAGTATTGAAGCCACGGAGGATGGAGAACCCTGTGCCGCTGTGGAGGTTTTGAGCGATAGCCTCGAGTCGAGGTCCAACAGTAGGAAGAATGAATGTGCTGGCATCGACCGCAGGCCCATTTAGCTCCTTTGCCTTGAAACCCTCCAGGGCAGTCTTAATCTCAGTATTGTCGGCCGAGGTGAAGTCGATGCTATCGCGAATCTGATCAACAGTCTTGTCGGAGCCGCTCAGGACTACTGGTCCTGAAACCTCGGTGTCCATGTTGCTGGAGATGATCTGAGTCTGTGTAGACATTGCCTGTGGGTGTCGCTATGACGGTATATATCGTGTGGGATGTGTTTTGCTTCTTCAGATAGATGTGCTGTTGTGGTGAAATTTCTTTGCTTCTTCGAGGCTTGCGAAAAAATTCAGGTCAACTCCGATCCGCTGAACAAAAGCTGCGTTGACTCAGTCCTGCGGTGTGCTGTGATTCAGAGGCTAACTGTTTGCGCCAAAAATCTTCAAAGTCATGAAAAGGAAGTGACTGCCATCAAAGTCTTGTAACCGTGGTGGACTAACTTCACAGGCTTTCTCACACGGGCGCATGGCGGCCAGAGACCGGATGGTCTGGTAGCCTCGATGACGCGCACCTCCTTCTGACAGGGCTTTACTGGCTTATATGGGTGACAAGCCGTGTCTGAATGCCACGTATCAAATCGGCTTTGCTGGGTGTATACTGTTAGTCATCCCTAAATCTTGCAGTGACAAGGGATAATGACCGGGCAAGGGACCGCAAAACTGCTTTTGTGGCTTATTAGTGCGAGATACAGTAAGCGTGCCTTGGTACATATATGTTCACGTCTCCGACATTCTGCACGTGTGACTCAGGAGTATTCTCGATTGACCGTGAAAAAGCCCAGTACTTACTACAAGCCGTCCGGTCCCGACTTGACAAGACTTTTCTTCAGTGCTCTATGCATGTCTCTCTCCCTGCGTCTCCCGCATCCGATCGCCGATCGCCCTGTTCTTCTTTGAACACCCCTCTAGGCCACCCAATATTTCCTCGCTCCACTCACCGCCGCTTGGAATCATCATTTCAAATGTCTCCCTAATGACCGCATACTGATAGTAGCCACAGCGCGCAATAGGTTGCGTCTTCCGCACATCCAGGATGCCATCCGTCAGCACGTCATCGGCGATGTGGACGGCAACCACGCGCCCAATGACCACGTCCACGCTGCCCATGGGCGGGTTGCCTGGCAGCCTCAGTGTGGTGTGGTAGACGCACTCGAACTTGACCGGGCTCGCCTTGACCATCGGCAGCTGCGGGTCCTGCAGCGCCGTGGTGAATTCCTTTTCCAGGCCAGCCCGTCCGAACTCGTCAACATCGGCCGGGACCTGCTCGGCCGTCGCATTCACAGCCTCACGGAGATCCCACGTCGCCAGATTCCACGCGAAGCGTCCCGTGGCCTCGACGTTGGCCACCGTATCCTTGCGCCGGTTGGAGGGCGTCTGGTTGGCGGAGAACATCACGTATGGTGGGTCAAAAGTAAGGTTGTTGAACTGTGAGTAAGGGGCGAGGTTGTGCACTCCCGCGGGAGAGACGGTGCTGATCCATCCAATTGGCCTGGGCACAACGCATGCCTGCGGCTGGTTAGAGACACAGTCGTATCGGATGCGGTACACGAAAGATTCCGAGACGCACCTTGAAAGGGTCGTGGTCCAGCCCATGGTCTGTTTTCCCAGGTTCGTAGAACATGTCGAGGATGGGATGGCGGTCTCGCGGGCAATTGGCGAGAACTAATTTGCAAGACGTATTCAGGAACGGCTACGTGAGAGTCGTATCAAGAGTCGGCCCGGACCGGACATCTCGTCGCCAAAGAGCCGAGGGCCATTGGAAGTGGAGTACCCAGCCTGAGTTCACATACGGCAGGAATGGAGCGTCATTCTGCTCTCTATATACTTGCTTCTAGACTACATACTTGCAGTAGTACTGCGACCTGCCACTGTCAAATCAGGGACGCTGCTTGTGCTTCTAATTGCAGACCTTGCTCGAGTCTCCTCATGAGCAACTCATGATCGGTGACATTTGCTTTGAAATGCAGGACTGCTGGCGGCCATTTCTACCATCAAATTCTGTCATCTGAGACATTAGAGTCATAGGGGTCCTTGAAAAATGAAAATAAATGAAGGGTCCTCTTTACGTATCGGAACGGGCTGTCGGGACCGTGAGCTAAGACGGTCGTCATGTGTCTGAAGGACGAGGTATGCACTCTTACGTGCTTTTGCTAGTGCTGCTGCCCACCTCGGCTAACCAGTTGCTTATCTTTCCGCATGAGCTTATCTCCGTCAGTTGAGAGGTGAAAGGTACTTGCTAGCGCCACATCTCGGAGTCTCGCCCCGCCCTCCACCTGCAGCTAGCACGAGTAGCAACACAGGGGACCCCACCTAGCCCACCGTCTGAGGAGGCCTGCCATCGAACCGTTCATCGCCGTCGGCCACGGCCGTCGAGTCGCTCGTCCGCTTGCAATTTCCTTTTTTTTTTTTTTCCCAACACCGGGCGTCCTCCCCGTCGGGCTCACTGGCTCGTCAGGCCCGTCAGAAAGAGCCATTTTCTTGCATGCAGATCGAATCTGCATTTTGCGTGCCTCCAGTAGCTGCAATGGATCCACCCTGTCGGCGCCACTCCCTGCAGACGCCCTCACTTCGCCGCCATGTCTTTCTCCAGCTGAACCCTTCCCAGTTCCTTACCCCTCCCTCCCTTACATCCCCAGATCTGATCTGATCAGATCTCGTCCCGTCTTGTCTGGTCTTGCATTGTCTTGGCTTGGAATCTCCAGCACGTTTACGCTTCTCCAACCAGACCAATCAAGGGCCCTTCGCTGTGCTGCGCTCTCCCAAGAAAATACCCACCCACGATGGCCTCAGACAAAGAGTCCCCGCCAGCTGACGGCGACGAAAAGAACAGTGCCGGCCCCTATGACGAGACCGTGGGCGTCGTCGAAGCCCGGGGCAACACGGACGCCCTGCAACGGCATCTCGGCAATCGCCAGATCCAGATGATTGCCATTGGAGGCTCCATCGGAACGGCACTGTTTGTCTCCATTGGCAACGGCCTGATGGATGGTGGGCCAGGTTCGCTACTCATCGCATTTGCTCTGTACTCGGCCCTGCTTGGTTTGGTCAACAGCTGCATGGCCGAAATGGCCGTTTACATGCCCGTCTCAGGTATGCAGCCCACCCCCCTGTTCCGCCCGTGGCACCTGGGACATCGCAGTTAGGGTTGTGTTAATTGACATTCTCACTCAGGCTCTTTCATTCGCTTTGCTGGCAAGTGGGTTGACGAAGCGTTCGGTTTCATGACGGGCTGGAACTTCTTCCTATACGAAGCCACCATGATCCCGTTTGAGATTTCTGCCATCAACCTGGTGCTGACGTTCTGGCGCGATGACATACCTGTGGCAGCCGTTTGCGCAGCCTGCATCGTCCTCTACGCACTGATCAACATATTTGCCGTTAAATTCTACGGCGAGGCCGAGTTCTGGCTGTCCAGCGGCAAATTCTTGCTCATCATTATCGTCTTTTGCTTCACATTCGTCACAATGTGCGGAGGAAACCCCCAGCACGATGCATTTGGCTTTCGGTACTGGGCGAACCCTGGCTCTTTCGCGGAGCACATCCACACAGGCTCGCTGGGGCGCTTCCAAGGTTTTCTTGGGGCACTATGGTCTGCAGCATTCACCATCGTTGGCCCCGAGTACCTGGCTATGGTTGCTGGAGAGGCGCAGCGGCCACGGACTTATTTGAAGCAAGCTTTCAAGACAGTCTATTGGCGCTTTGGAGTGTTCTTCATCGGTGGAGCCCTCTGCGTCGGCATCATCCTGCCGTACAACGACCCAACCCTGAACGCGGGCGACGGTGCCGGAACCGCGGCAGCGAGCCCCTACGTGATCGCGATGCGCAATATGCAGGTTTCCATCCTGCCACACATCGTCAACGCACTTTTGGTTACCAGCATTTTCTCAGCCGGAAATGCGTACGTGTATTGCGCCATGCGGTCGCTCTACGGATTGGCGCTCGAGGGCCAGGCGCCGCGCTTCCTGTCCAAGTGCACGCGCTCCGGCATTCCGGTGTGGTGCTTCGTCGTCACGATGGTCTTCCCCTTCCTATCCTTTCTCGCGGTCTCGAACGGCACCGCACAAGCTGTCCAGTGGCTGGCCAACCTAACGGAGGCAGCACAGATCATCGACTACATCGTCATGTGCCTGACCTATATCTACTTCTACCGTGCCCTTAAGGTACAGTGCGTCGACCGCGACACCCTCCCCTACAAGGGCTGGTTCCAGCCTTACAGCGCGTGGATCGGCCTGGTCGGCGAGATCTTCGTGGTCTCGTGCTACGGCTACGAGACCTTCCTTCCCGGATACTGGGACACCGGCACGTTCTTCAGTTACTACCTCATGATATTTGTTGCCGTCCTGACGTACACGGCATGGAAGATCATCAAGAGGACCAAGGTCGTGAGGCCCGAGGACGCGGACCTGGTGTGGGACAAGCCTGTGATCGATGCGTACGAGGACGCGCTCAAGACGAAGCCCGAGGGGTTCTGGAACGAGGTGCTGCAGATGGTAGGGCTGAAAAAGAAGAAGAACGAGCCTGCCGGGGACGAGTGAGGAGATGTCGGTTCCATCGGTGTGGGATTGCATTTGGACCATCCTCTTTCCCTTTTCTATCGTACATATGCGCGCCCCTACGCGCACAATTTCAGCTCCGGCGCGAGTGTGCCACCCCGGCTCGACTGCTCAAGCAGCACGATGCCTTCACTTGACTCCTGAATGCGTGAGAAAGTGGACTGACCCTTCGGCCTAGTATGTCGGTCATGCCCTCGGCGACGGCTGCCCAAAACCTGGCGCCTTTTCCAATCAGCTGCATAGCTGACTATCCGCCATGGCCGGGAGAGCCACGATCGCATCTCGCAGCTGTTGCAGCTGTGAGACAGCCAGTGACCAACTCCCACTTGTGAACACTCACATGTGCGTTTGTGTGAACCGATATGTGCCCGGACCAATCTCCAGTGCTGCATCTCCGTGGGCAGCACTTGTTTCCCGGTAGGTAACTAGCCCCATATGACGAAACCGCGGTGATGAACATTCTCGAGAGATCGAATAAGCCGTGAAAGCCACCCGGAATCGCCGCTCTCAAGAAATCGACTTTCATGGCAGGTTGCCGTGATATCTGCTCTAATCCTGACAGCATCCTACATAGATATCGCCCATTTGATCTAAGTACTGGGAAGCAACTCTTTCCCTCCATGAAGTTGAACTGGGCATTCCAATGCTCTCCTACCTATGCCTTTATCCAAGTCAACCAGGTATCAAGACGACTCTGCCTTCCGGTCCCGGAGTAGGTGATGTGCTTTGAAAGGCAGGGAGTACGAATTGCCTTCCTTAGGTCGTCAAGTTTCCGTCTAGGTACTGCATGTTGCTGGTGAGTTAGACAAAGGGTGACATTGCCTGGGGGACTTCCATGTCCCTCTGCCGTGGGTTCTGGTTAGATGCCTCTCCTCTCGTTCTTGCACTGAGATAGACGCTTGTAATACAATATTCTCGGTACCTGTAGGGCTTATTGTGGGGAGGTGGTGTCAAATTCAGTGCGGCTGGTCCTCCAGACATGCCCTCCGCCGGGCTTCCATGAAACTGAAGGATTAATGACAAGTGGAGTTCTGTACCTATTCGCACAGGATTACATGGCGAAGGCGAGAAGTTCATACGGAAGTACACTGTGGATCTCCTGCTCTTCTGTAGTCTGGAGTGAAGACCAAAGAAAAGAACTAACCAGTTACAGAGGTGGAGAAGGCTCGTTCTCGGAGCTGATGACCTGTTCAGTGGGATTCCGTGGGGGCGTCAGCCTGCATTTCCTCTCATTTAGCAGCCAGCTCAAAAGGCGCAGCCAACTGCAAGCCACCTGCCAATGCATTTTACGATATGCAGGGGGACATCACAATCGGAATTGATTGGCATCAGCTGCGCCTCATTTACTTGACTGTGGATGCCCACGGTATTTTAAACCAGCTGCATGTCGTCTTTTCCAATCCTTCCAACCCCTTGTCTGAACCCTCTGTGCTGTCTTCCGAACAAAACTGTGAACGGGTCGTAATGGACGAACCGCTGAACATCTCATCCGGCGCGGATGCAAATTCTCCAGCTCCAGATGGCGATACTCCCACAGGCCATGAGCCTTCTTCCCTTCTCCACCAACGCGCAACCGGCGAAGGAACCTTTCTCTGGACTGAAGGAGCTCTTAATTTGCCGTGTGAACCGTTCAATCAGTCCCAAGACACATCGGAATCACCCCATATTACGCTGCAATCTTCAATTGATGAAAAGGCACGAAATATCACTGGCAATGGTTCTCACGCGCCATCGGTTTCAAAGAATGACCTCTTTTTATCGAATCAGCAATCATTGGCAACTCTGATTGAAGGTCTTTCACGTGGCAAGAAACGTCTCTTAGTGAACAAAACAAGTAACAAGGCCAGGAGGATTCTAGATGAGCACCCAGACATCGACGTTAACGAGCAGGTCGACGGCATGGGCATACTTCATTGTGCATGTCACCATGACCGGCTGGAGTTGCTGAACGCCATCTTGAAAAGGCCGAATGTCAACGTCAATTTGAAAACCCATAAAGGACTCGCTGGACTCCACATTGCATGCCAGGAGGGCAATGTTGCTGTGGTGGCCGCGCTCCTTCAGTCACCGCACATCGATGTCAACATCCGCGATGGCTCCAACTCCAGGACTCCTCTGCATGTAGCAGCCATACAAGGGGATCAGGCCTCGATCAGACAGCTTCTCGAAGTGGCTGGAATCGAAGTCCAAGCGACAGACGCGTCAGGTTATCTTCCTGTGCATTACGCAGCGGGACACCCAATGCTACCGATAGGATCGTGGTTATCAGACGATATACAAAATTACACCGACGAAATATTGTTGCGGCTCTGCTCAAATGGGGCCATCAATGCTAGGACTCCTCAGGAAAAGGGCCCTCTTCACCTAGCCGCCGAGGCTGGAAACATTGCAGCCCTGAGGCTTTTCCTAAGCCATCCCGACCTGGATGTCAATATGACAGGTTCGCAAGGTGACACTGCGATTCATCTATCGGAAGACATCGATGTTGTGCGTTTGCTCTTGGAGAAGGGTCTAGACGCCAACATCCAAAATGTCGACGGCAATACAGCCTTGCATTGCGCTCTGGAGCGGCGCTGTGAAAAGTTAGCCCAACTCCTGTTGACGAGCACAAATCTGGATGGAGACATGCCCAACAAGAAAGGAGAGCAATTTATACATATTGCCGCCGCCAAATGGGACATCGCGACATTCAAAAAGCTCGCCGCAACACCGCTAGACAGAAACATCAACATGCCAGCCGGTAATGGAGAGACGGTGTTACATATAGCTGCCCGCGTGGGCAACATCGACGTCGTCGAATACCTCCTCAGCACTTCGCGTATCGCTGTCAACGCCCAGGACGAAAAGGGCCGAACAGCCTTGCACCTGGCGTGCGAAAAGGGGCATGTCGACATTGTCAAGGATCTGTCAAGTGCTCCACTTATATATGTCAACACAAGGGACGAAAGGCGCCAAACACCGTTGCACCTGGCTTGCGAGAAAGGACATGTCGACGTCGTACGGGTTCTACTGGGAAACCCACACATTGATGCGGAGCCTGGAGACGTATATGGCTGGGCACCACTACATTTCGCCGCATGCAGTGAATCTGCCTCTGCGGAGCCGATCGTGTGCGAGTTGCTGCGAGCCAGGATAGACGTCAACGGACAGGTTCCAGTCAGCGGAGCAACTGCATTGCATTTCGCGTCCTTGGGGGGTCATTTTAAAATGGTTCTAGATCTCCTCGAACATGGTGCGGACCCACGCCTTACCTGTGACGGCTTGGTTGGCTCAGACGACGGGATCGGCAAGGACGCTGCTGGTGTGGCGGACAAGATTGAGATTGTTGACTTGATCCGGCATTTTCGATGGAGAAATATATCCATAGCCCCAATTCCCCTCTCATACCCCCAGGAGGGCCTCTTGAAACGTCATGCGAGCGGTGTCTACATCATGTGGGAGTGGCCAAGAACCGAGAATTCACCCCAAGCCCACAGCAAAAGTCTGAGCCACAAAAGGCAGAGGATATTCCCAGACATCAGCCCGGTGTACAAAATTTACGTCCACCTCGCATCAAATTCTCAAAAGCCTTGTTGTTACGAAGAGCAATGGCAATTGAGGCATGCCTCACGTCGGAAAAAGAGACGGTCCTTCGCACTGGACGACAAAGAAAACGGAGCCCGCTACACGAATACCCCCGAAAGGCAGCGGGCAACCAAATGGGTACATTTCTCTGCTCAAAATGTCAGTATTAGCAAGATTCAGTGTCCAAGTGAAGTTATGCCGAGCCACTGACCAAAATCAATGCTGAACTCGAAATGCAGCGTCGATGGATTGAAGTAAGTTGTTCCCCTGTCCGAAAATTATGTATATCAGGCAGCTCACCAACGTTGTTGCGTAGGACTTCTGCCGATTGATGTACTCCCATGGTTCGCTTCACACTGAGGGTATCGATGTATTGACCTTCATCGATGACACATTCGATCAAAGAAGCGTGGCCGTAGGGTACAGCGGGGAGATATATCGCGAACACTGTGTCAAAGTGTCGACCCTCCCCGTCGTCACAGACGAGGTAAAAATTCCACATGTTAGTGTCAAGGTCGCACTTCAATATTCTTTTGACACGTATCAAGGCAACAATCGAGAAAGCTCCCACAGCACGCATAAAAAGCCTTGGATTTAGTGATGATGGAGCAGGGGACGAGAGCCGGCACTACTCTGTCGCTGCGATAGTTGTAGGTCCAGGAAATCCGCTTTATATGGCTTGTGCATGTGCTGAATTGAAATGCTGAGAGTATTCTACTGGCAGGTACCGGTAATAGATATTGACATGATGAGACCTGGATTCATCACGAATCGCCCCTCACTCGGCCCGAGCAATGATGGGCAGCCAGCGGGCGTGACAACTACTTTTTACGAGAACCCAGAGCTCAGCTCTATGGAACAAGCACACGTCGACATGATCATGTCCCTCCATTCCGAGTTCAAGGTTCAGCGATCCAGAAGCCTGGACCATTATTTTCACCGCGACCTTACCGACGCAGATTTGCAAATTGTCAACGCCGAGCAAGTTCTGTCGCGCTTCATTCACCATCAACAAGCGAAAAGAGATCCTTATGTGAGGAAGACTGATTTATCCAAGACCGTGGCCCCTTCAACTACATCTAGAATATCAACGGCGCTGAAAAGAATCCTGAAAGTGCTTGCAGAGTTGGGAATGGCGAGCACTATTATGGATGCTACGCAGGTTGAAGACGGGCTTGGAGATTCATACATCAAACCACACCTGTCTCGACAATATGTTCTTGTTGTCCCGCAGCTGTGGCTGTGGAAAATCGACAGTGAGTAACAAGATACTGCCCGCACTCCTCCGGGCGCTCTGACAGCTTCTCACAGATGTTCTAATCACCGCGTTCCCCGCCCGATGGGACTCTTCCAATCTACACTCTGCTTCAGAGTATGTCAGATCTCGGGTCGAAATGCAGAAAGCAGATGTGAGCCCTGTCAAGTTGCTGCATGAGATTGTGGCAGCGTGTCTGGAATATCAACCCACCTTCTCGCTGTTCGGGCGGCAGCTCACATATCAGGACGCATTCTCCGGAGAGATTTCAAGGATAGTAAGTCCTCCGTTGTGAAACGGCCTCTTTATTTTCTTGACCGCTGTTCTAAAAAAGAGGTGGGTATAGTCCCGGGATATCGACCAATGCTACAAAGGCTTTCGAAACGACCTTGGCAAGTCCGACGACAGGTTTCTGGAAGCCTTCAAAACGGCAACCATGTCCTTGCTCGACATCGATGATGCACTCAACGAGCTGAAAATGATCAAGCGAGTGTACCAGAATCAAGCCCAAGTCTGGGAGGATATGCACAAGGACCGGACCTTGGGAATGGAATGTAGATGTAGCCCAGACGAAGCCCCACGCCGGCTGTACACTATGATGACAAGGCTCGAAGAGGACGCACACAGTGTTCGAGAGTCGGTATGTTATCCACAATATCTATTTACTAGCTTCCATTTCTGAGTCTTCGGCAGGTGGTCACTCTTCTACAATTGACTCAAGGCTCGGCAAGTACGGAGAACGCATTGAAAGCCTCTGAGCAGTCCAAGATTCTCGCCATCTTCACCGTCGTAACGGTGATCTTCGTAAGCAGTTCCATTCAATCTAACATGAGAAAAGCTAATTCCTCTAGACACCGCTTTCATGGATCGCCGCACTTTTCGCTGTCAAAATAGAAGGCTTCCATGCCGAGGAGACATGGACGTCCGGGCAGGTCGCCGGTGGCTCAGGTAAGCTTTCAGGCGACGGTTCTCTATGCATTAATGTTCGTAACCACGATAGATACTAACCTCCAGATTTCAGTCATCTGCCTAGGAGGCACGCTTGTTCTTTGTGTGTTGGGCTGGAAATGGTTGAATCGTGAACAAGCGGCTGTGGAACCGACGCGAGGGCTACCTTCAGGACACCGCATATATTGATCATAATGAAAGGGGTCTTCGATGGGCATTCATGCGGTAGTGAGTGTTGATAAGGGTTTGCAGTCGAGACACATAAATTATGAGAACTGTTTTATTGCTCTTATTCCCTTGAATGCACAAGCCGTCGTGGCGGCTCCGAGTCATTGCATGCCGACATTGCATAATTACAAAGTAGGGTATCATGTGCGAGTATGCTGTTAAGTAACGATTTCCACATCATGCCTGTGAAATGTCATGGCCGCTCTTCTCAACAGTAGATCCACGTTGTGGCAACTGGGCATCCAGTTCCGGCAAGGTCAGCTGGTCAAGAGGTATCAAAAACTTCTCCCTCCAGGAACCATTGTTCCTTCGGGCAGCGATCAGCAAGTGACCAACCCAGCACACAAATACCGCAATGAAACCCATGATGTTCTGCATTGCGGTTTCAACATGAGGCCTCGAAGTCGGTATGACAGGCGGCAGGGCGGCGCTGATAACGAGTGAGACCATACAAGAGACAATAATAATAGCGGCCAGGTAGCTGCCCCAGACGCCGGTAGGGGACTTCCACTCGAGCTCGTCGGTGCTGCGGCCTTGACGCTTCATGGCGCGGTGGAGGCGTATGTGGCAGACACAGATGCTCAACCACTGTGAATTGTCAGTAAATCACTGTTCTCATTCCGGCTGCAAGCCGACGTAGTATTGGGGGAATGGACATACTGTAAAGAAATTGCTAGTCGAGGCCAATGCAAGCAGCCACTCGAAGATATATGATCCATCAGGAGCAGCGGTGATCCAAGCCAGTTGTGCTACAACCAAAACAGCAAGAATGGAGTTCCTCGGCAGCCCGCCCTTGGTCGTCTTCGCGAATATTCTTGGCCCCATTCCCTGCTTGCAGATCGCGGTCAGGCTCCTCGACGAAGCGAAGAACGCAGAGCTACCCATGCTGAATACTGCAGCGATGAGAAATGCATTGATAACGTGCGGGAGAATCTTGATGCCTGCCTTCTGAACGGCAGCGACAAACGGTGAGACGGCGTGCAGCTTGGCGAACTGCGGCTCACTAAAGGTTGAAGGCTTCAGGACGAGCCCGACCACAAATAGCGGGAGGAGATAACATATTATCAGACGGCCGACAACAAGAACTGATGCCAACGGCATAACCCTCCGCGGCTGCTTGCACTCCGCTGCCGTGAGGCCGAGCATCTCCGTTCCGCCATAGGCCATTCCTGCGGCAACAAAGACGGATATGAAGCCAGGTCCACCGTTGAGGAAGGCCTGTCCACTGGACGAAATTGTCAGCTCACTTCATATGCAAAGGAATGCCACTAATCGTTTCAGTGTCAAAGAGAACCAAGGCAATGCAGGACTTACTTTTGCCAGTTCTCAAAGCCACGCCCATCTGCTTCACGGGTCCCTCCACCGGCAATGACAACACCCGTAATGGTGAACATCATCAGGACGACGATCTTGGCGATGCCCAGAGCACGCTCAACCTCAGCGTATGTCTTTGCCCCAAAGACATGGACGGCAAACAACCCCAGAATAAAAACAGGGACCAACGCAACGCCCGGCACCGCCTCGCCCCAGTACCTCTCGATGAGTATGATAACCGTGACCTCAAAGGGTACGATGAGCATGAAATTGACATTATAGTTCCACCCCATGGCAAAACCCCAGCTGGGCGAGATGAACCGCACCGAGAAGTCGTAGAAGGAGCCCTGCACGGGGAGGCTGGCCGACAGCTCGCCCAGCGCGCACATGGTCAGCCAGACGGCGAGCCCCACGAGCGCGAAGGCGAAGAAGAGGCCGCCGGGCCCGCCCTGCTGCAGGCCCTTTGACGACGCTATGAACAGCCCCGCGCCGATGGAGCCGCCCAGGGCCATGAAGATGAACTGGCGCGTCGAGATCTGCTCCCTGAGGCCGGTGTTGTTCTCGGCCTGCTCGCCGGCTGCCACGGAGATGGTCTCATTGCTTGAGCTGGCCGTTGCGCGGCTGTTGGTCTTGAAGATGGTTGTTATTTTGGAAGCCATCATGTGTTTCGATGAACACGTTTCGTGAGGATACGTGGTTCAGGCGATTGGCAACGTTGTGTACGTTGCAGGGAGTAATGATGAAGAGTGTAACCCGGCACCCAGGTCCTTTGGCACACCGTGACGTTATGTGTGGAATGAAACGGGGAAAGTCCGGGCCTTGACAGAAGGCATCAAAGAGGTATTAAATCATCCAAATGTTCTTCTAAGGCTGAACTGGTCATACGGCGGCCGGATGTTGGCTGGAAGCTAACAAGCGTAGTGCACGCAGTTGGCCTGGCCAGCAGGTGAGCCCATAACTATACAGTCCGCGCCATGTAGCACTGGAGCTATGCGGCCATAGAGGTGCCCGGGTTTTTAATCATTTGGATAGGAGAAACGGCCGCATATCCTACGGTACTTTTGAATCTTATCTAGTGTTCTCTGCGGTCAGGCAGCAGGGAACAATAAGGTGAAGGCGGTGATCGTCGCCCCTTTGAAATATCAATAGGGAGTCAGATTACACCTACACAGCCAAATTCGAGGGCTATTTGATTTGGCTGGCCATTCAATGCACTCGCAATGCTGCACATATGGGTTTCCATACTTATTTGCTAGGACGAGTGATTCTGCGCCCGGTTACAAGTGGAAGTGCGAGTCGCAGCCGAACTCATCTAGCACCGTGACAGTCCACACGCCATCAGGACCGATGGATATTGGAAGACATAGCGCAGGCCAAATTGTTGCCCATTGAAAAGAAGAGAATGCCTGGATCGGCTTGCACATCAAAGGTCGAAGCATGGAGTTTGAAGTGTGGAGTTCATCAATTGATTGGGACCCTCCCACGACAATCGCTGGGGAGAAGTCTCTAGCATAGTCCTGGCCAGCAAGCAAAGTACTCCAAGGGCGCCAGCAGTTGAGACGCTGGGGGGAATGAAAAGCCAGGTCGATCTCGATGACAAACATGGTAGCTGGTGCTAGCGTCGTCTAAGGTGTTGAGGGTGTTCGAGCATGCGGACCGGCGAGTCAAGCTTTAGACCAACAAGAAAACCTTCGGTGATAGGTATCGAAACGCGCGGAAACACACGGAAATGTAATGAGTTTCCTCAGCTTTTCGACGGTACTTGAACTAACTAGCAATGCTCGCCCATGAAACCTCCCATAACGCCTCGCCATGCATGAGGACAGGGACCAGCAAAAACAACAGAATAACAACCACCTGTAATACAGAACAACCACGGCGGCACCACTGTGCCGCGCGTATGTTTCGACACAGCGATATGAATCACAGACAAACCTCTTTTACCTGATGCCAGACGCCCACTCAGCACACACCCTGGCCCACACCTGCAAGGCCCTCCCAGGCCTTCTCCACGACCTTCTCGCCCATGCCGAAGACCCCGCTCAGTTGCACCAGCGAGTCGACTCTGAACTGGTCGGCACGCGTGCCGCTGTAGTCGATGCCGTTCAGGCGCGTGACCAGGCTCTGGGCCTTCTTTGTACCGAAGCCACGCAGGCCCTTGATCAGATTCACGTCGCGGGAGTTCACGATGTCGAGGAGCTGGTGTGTGCGGGGGTCATCTGATGGGAGGTTGGCAAGGAGACTGGGCTCGTGAGGAGATGAAGCCTTGGCTCTCGGGTTGGGCTGCGAACGAGTAGGAGCGGTGTCGACGTAGCTCTCGTCAGCTTCAGCGCCTGCGTCGCCATCGGTGTAAGCAGCATCCTCGCCGTCGTTCTCTTCGTCGGGATGGCGCCTTGCGGCCTTCTCCCTGCCTTTGAGCTTCTGTTGCTCCTGACTCTGCTCGCTGGCATCAATGCTTGCGCTCTTTGCGGCAATTTTTACCTTCAACTTTTCGATCTTGCCCAGCAGCTTTGGTTGCCTTGGGAAGTACCGCAGCGCGGACTCGTAGCATGTCAGTGTACCCTCCTCGTCGCCCTGTTCTTTGAGCTTCCTAGCTTGGAGTAGAAGCCGCATGCCCTCGGATTTGCCACCAACTGCTTCCCCTTGTGTATCTTCGATGCGTCGCTCAAGGGCGTCGAGTCTCCGTTGCACGGCCTCACTGATGTCAGCTGAAGGCGGTTGGACGGCAGCAGCCACATGTTCCTCCTGTTGCCGAGACTCTGCTGCGATCCTGGAAGCTAGAATCTCCTGCACTTTACGCTCAACCATCTCTTCAATTTGCGCGGCTGACATGGTCATGGATTGCGAGTCAGATTTCGCTTGAGGTCGTGTCACCGCAGCTGGACGGACCATTTTTGACGGCCGGGCAGATGCATCAACGGCGTCAGATTTGCGTTTGCTGGAAAGTGGATTCCTCGGTTCGGAAGACGGTGTTGCTCCGATAGGACGAGCAGCTGTAGTCTTTCGATCCACAAAGACACTGAACGCCCTCGCAGGCTTTTCCCTCCCCTTCTCCTTGTCTGCCTTTTCCTTCGCCACTGTACCCGCGTGGACGTTGTGCATATTGGTTAGCGGCCTCAGAGGCTGTCGCTGAATACCTGTCCCGCTCAAGTTCATGGACCTTGGCGCCTGCTTGAAAACAATTTCATTCTCGATCTCCCGGACCTCGATCCTCTTGGCACGTGAGCTGACGTTCAGGCTGCTGAGGGTATCCAGGTGGTAACTCCGGATTGGAGCGAGATTCAGGATCATGACAGTGATTCCATTATTTTGACCAAGAGAGAGGATTCTGGTCATCTTGGATTCACGGTAGGGAATGCGTTTGTCACCACGAGAGATGGCATCGACGCATTGTGAGAGAACGAAGAGGGATTTGTTGATGGCGGCAGATTCGACCAGACGTTCGCGGTTGTTTTCAGTGCGACGGTTGTCTTCCGACCCTGCCAGGTCGATCATAGACACGGTACTCTCCAGGACTTGGTCGCCCGTCGTCTGAGTGACTTTGACGCGCAGGATCGCGTGGCTTCGACTGCTGTGGGCATTGAGCTTAGTGGCTGCCGTGATACGGTTGTTGTTCGCCTCAATGTACAGCTTCTCAAAGTCTTTCAGGTCCTCGCATGGCTGTTCTGACAAGCCAACCACAATCGTCTTGCCATTGGCCTCACGCAGGGGCAGTCCAGAAGGGGTGCGCTTTTCTGGAGGCTGAAGGAGATCAAACACTTTGTCGTTATAGATCTCGTAGTATGAAAGCAAGATGTCGACTGCGGTGGCACCATTGGAGTCCTTGGCTGTCTTCTTTCCTCGGCGGAAGACGTTGCTCAGTAGCCGGGGAATAAGGCCTCGATCCGCGAGCTTCAGTCCTCCTCGCATCGTGTGTGTTTTGCCTGTTCCAGTTACACCATATGCGAAAATGGTGACATCGAGGCCTTGAAAAAGGGCTTTCATGTGGGGGGAAACTGTGGTGGAGAGTCTGTCAGTTAATTGCGATGGAGATACGCATTGGAGGACGTCGACCTGCCTTCGGCAGTAAACAAGGCCTCCTGCGTGGCCGACTGGTCGTAGACACCACCGAAGGAGAAATTGAAATCCTCGGACTCGTTCTTGGGATTTGGTATTTTGACAACAGTCGGCTTCTTGCTGCCATCCTTGCTGTCTGCGCGGACAATCACATCCCTCTCGGCCTCGCCCTCCAACAATGGTCGTATCCTTGCGACGACCCTGACAGACATGTTGGTACCGGTGCAGACGACAGTCTGGCGTGGAGGTTCGTGTAGAATTGAACAGTGAGGCCAATGACTGGAAACAATAAGTCCAATTGACACCTATCCACACGATTGAAAGGCCCCTTCCCCCTTCTCCGTACTGCGCACAGGTCCCGGGGGCTGAAGAGCTTCAAGTGTCGAACAGCACAGGCCGACCCCCTTGGCCTGCGTCGTACAATATTGTGGAAGGTTTTGGTTGTCGCAGCAACGGCCGTGTCGAGCTCACCCCTGCCCACCGTTCCCAAAGTTACTGTGGGGTCAATTGCTGCTGCAGTGTGCAGATCCAGTTTTGGCCTGGCCCGTGCGCCTCTCCGGAGCTCTTCCGTCATTATTCCAAGTACTGGGCAGGTCCGAATTTTGACGATGCAGCCGGGCGGACTTGCACGCACCCCACGTCAGACACTCCTTCTATAATACTGCTGCCACCGAGCAGCCCATACCCCTACAATGCGAGGTCAATTGCCTCTGTTGAGGGCAGCGCGGCCTCTGGGAAGGGTACGGCCCTCCTGGGTCTGCGTGCAGTGTCGCGCGATCCAGCTCAGCGCATCGCCATCTACCGAGTCTCCTCGCTTGGGAGGTGATGCCTTCGGCGCCGCGGTCGAGGCAAGAGACCCAGCAGGTATTGGCGAACTCCTGGCCTGATCTAATCGAGCAATTTGCTGATATGGGTTGTAACTAGATGCTCGATTCGAAGTGCTCGGCTCTCCCTACTCTCTCCTCTCCGTCACCCTGTCAGCCTCCCAGAAGCTCTACACGAGGAGAGGCACGCTTGTAACAGTAGCAGGCAAAGCAGAGAATGTGAGGATGCTCGGCAGCTACATAGATGCTTCATTTGGCTAATCGTCCTGCGCTCCGACAGACCCAATCTACCCTCCGACTTCTCTCGCCCTTCCGCCATGCCCTCCTTGCCATGCCATTTCTCTACCAGCGGATATCCTCCACATCTCCCGTGACAGCTTTAATCGCTACCAAGTCGCCCAACACCACATTCTCCATCCTGCACCTTGATGGCACCACCGACTGGCAGGTCGCCCAACGAAATGCTCTCCTCGCCTGGACGGGCCACACCTTGAGCATCACACCTCGAATCCAGCGCGGTCTGGCACCAGCACACTGGGGAAATCATCATATTACAGGCAGGGGTCTAGTCGCATTGGCTGCGCCGGGACAGATATACCAGGTCACGCTAGGTCAGGGCGAGGAGCTGGTTGTGCACCCCAGCCACGTCGTCGCGTACAGCGTCGACAGGAACCTGCCGTTGCCCTTCCGATTCAAGAGCTCCTCCTGGACGTTACAGATCCCATCACTTCCCGAGAGCCTAGTGCCGAAGGGGTGGGCCAAGTTCTGGAAGGATACGAAAGAGACAGGTTTCTACAAATTCCTCGCTCGGGTGCTGTACAGCTTGCGGACAACAGCCAGGAGATCCATCTTCGGAGACCGGCTCTTCCTGCAGTTCAAGGGCCCAACGACAATACTGATGTCGAGCCGAGGCGTCAGAGTCAGTGACGTGCTGACTGGGGAGCAAATAAACGAAATCGCAGACGCCGAGGCTGGCGTGGTGCCAAAAGCAGTCGAGGCAGCTGCTATGCCGCAGAAGCCAGTGGCCAGCTCCGAACCAGTTACCGGCGCAGGCACACCGGGATCATCGGCTGAGAAACCGTTGGCTATGCACGTGGCTACGGTGGGCAAGGATGGGAAGGTTCACTTTGAGGACAGCAAAGACCTGAAGGACTTTGTCAGATCATGAGCGACGCGTCAAAGGCCCAGCCGCTCCCGACTAGGACGGCAGCGCTGCTACTCACTATAATTCATATGTATCACCACAGCAACTACGAATAAACAATGAAAATCGAATATGGCCACACCGTCAGCCTCGCGGTTTGTTAGAGCCGAGAAATGAAGCTTTGTTGGTCCCTTTTCTGGAGACGGACAAAGGCAGCAGATCCTCCCTGATTACGCTGAGGATATCAAGGTGCTCTGCGTGCCTATCTCGTGATCATACTTCCAGGGATGGAGCGGCGAGTCTAGTATCAGAAGGATCGTGTTGAGTGAGGCTTGTGACACGTGAGTAAGATGGTGTTAACTAGGACTTACGCGCCGGCTTTTTCGGCCCCGAAGACACGGACGGCATGTTCATCCAATCGTCGGCGTAAGATGCACGCACTGACAGGTACCACAAGCCCGGAACCACGCTTTCAAGAGAGAAATCGCGGGCTGACACGGCGATCAACAACTTGACGAGATTATCTGATCTTGAGATAACTTGGCTTGGCATCAGCTCGAATCTCCGAGCTGACCCTTCCGAGTCCAACGTCCTGGTTCATCCCGAGGTATTGGGGGCCGACGACAAGGGGCCAATGTAGAAGAGCGTGGCGCTTGGCTTCGCTTCTCGCGTCCCACTTATAACCTCCGATCAGGACGGCGTTTTTGGCCCGATCTCTTTGTTCGGTGCTAGCCTCGCTCCTGCGTTGCTGGTATTCCTAACCGAAGGAAGGTCGGTTGCGACAAGCTGTCAGCTACAGCCACTCGCGCTTGCTTGTACTACCTGCCCAACATCAACACAGCAGACACGCTATGGCCGCTCATTGTTATTGATGGTGCTTTTGATGATGTTTGGTATGGCCGTTATGTGCAACGAAGTAGTTCGTCTTGTGTCTGGGTCTAACAGGACCCTGCCAGACCTGCCAGTGGGGGACACCACAAGCATGTATCCCACATTCCGGTAGTCTCGTTTACGGCTCCACGTCCTTTATCTCCGGATTCTGTCATCAAGGCAGCTTTAACTAGGAGCGACGCCGGCCTGTTGCTTACCGATCCTAAATAAGGCTTGCCGCATTCTTTAGATCGGAATCGGCCCAATGTTTCGGCCTTGACAGGGCTGGACCCCAGGACCCCTTGATCCCGCAGTCTGGGGCATAGCAACGACCTCTGTCTGCCTGGAAATTCGGTCTTTTCTTCGAGAATGCCGGCTCGTAGCTCCGACCGAGCTGGGGGCTGGGCCCTGAGATGGGGTAATCCATACACCCATCGCATTATCAATCTTTTTTTTTTTTTCTTTTTTTCTTTCAGATGATCCATTAAAAGTCTCCTCTATCCTGCCCTGCATTGTCAACTATCTCCCATGCAGAATCCAGACACTGATCTTAAGACAAGATCGCATCCATTTTCGTTGTGTCCCAAAACACCCTGACAGGCACCAAGACTAGACTGTCACCGCCGTCTTGGAGGCTCAACCTGTGCGCGAAAACAAGCTTAATCCAACTACAGGTGGCCGCGCCCGAACTCTTGGCCTCCAAAGCCAAGACCCCAACGTATTAGTCGCAAATACTATCATGGAGTCAGTCCAAGCCCAAGTCAGGTCCAACATGTCTGACACGGTCAGCGCGCACTCGGACTCGTCGAGAGACCTCGAGAAACACAAGCAAAGACAGGCCGATATGACTCCTTATCAATCCAGGAAGCCGTCCCTGGATCGGATCCAATCGAAAAACAGCCAGACAAACGCAAACATCAGTGGCGAACCAAGAAATGTCGCCGACGCGGAGATCGAAGAGGGCGAGAGGGAGCAAAGGGAGGCTAGCGAGAAGAATGCTGCTGGTCCACCGCCCGGCTCGGGTTTCCACCCAAGCGACTTCCCTGATGGTGGCCTCAAGGCGTGGCTGGTAGTCTTTGGCGGCTGGTGTGGCTTGTTCTGTACCTTTGGGTTCATCAACTGCATCGGCGTGTTCCAGGAGTACTACTTGCGGGAGCCCCTTGCCGACTACTCTGCCAGCACGGTTTCGTGGATCACGTCGATGGAAGTCTGGGGCCTGGTCTTTTTTGGGCTGATATTCGGGCGGGTCTTCGACCTCTACGGGCCGCGCTGGATGCTCCTCATCGGCACGGTGGTCTACATCTTCGGCCTGATGATGACGAGCCTCTGCACCGAGTACTGGCAGTTCTTCCTCGCGCAGGGCGTGTGCGCCGCGATCGCCGCATCGGCCGTGTTTAACGCCTGCATGACAAGCGTGTTCTCGTGGTTCTTCAAGAAGAGGGCAGCAGCGCTTGGTATCATGGTGAGCGGCAGCTCAGTCGGCGGTGTCGTCATGCCCATCATGATCCAGCAGCTCATCCCCAAGATCGGCTTCCCCTGGACCATGCGCGCGGTTGCCTTCGTCTACTTGGGCTTGCTGGCTATGAGCTGCGTCACCATTAAGACGAGGTTGCCTCCCCGGCCGAAGCCACTGGTCATCGCAGACTACCTCGCAGGCTTCAAGGAGCCGGCGTTCGCGCTGACGCTGGCGGGAAATTTCCTCTTCTTCTGGGGAATGTTCATCCCCTTCAACTATGTCATCCTGCAGGCGCAGCAAGCTGGCATGGACCCGACTCTCGTTGAATACCTCTTGCCTATTATCAACGCTGTCAGGTAAGAGAGGACGCTCTTCACTCCCCGAGCCAAATTGTACCAAGTGCTAACGTGCCACGACAGTATCTTCGGGCGAATCATCCCGGGTATAGTCGCAGACAAGGTGGGCCGCTACAACACGGTCATATTCATCGCTACGCTGTCGGCAGTTGTCACCCTCGCCGTCTGGATCCCTTCCAACAACTCGCCAGCAGCTCTCATCGTCTTCGCGATCCTCTTCGGTTTTGCCTCTGGTGGCGTCATCTCAATCAGCCCATCCCTCATCGCGCAGATCTCAGACATCCGGCAGATTGGTAACCGCAACGGGATTGCATTTGTGGCAATGAGCTTTGGTGGCCTGACCGGCTCACCCATTGCTGGCGCGATCGTGTCTCGCCAGAACGGTGACTTCCTGGGGCTGCAGCTGTTTTGCGGCTTGGCCATGGCCTGTTCGGCGTTTGTTTACGTTGCCGCGAGGTGGGTGCAGGTCGGGATGAAGGTGACAAAGATCTGAGACCTGGCCACGCATGTACGATGAATGCGGTGTAGTTGTGTATGCTTTTCACGACCAATGATACCAGGGGGGCTTATGACGGAATAGACATCACCATCACCACCTTTGCATTTGCTGGGGAGAAGGCGGCTTCATTCAATCAGGCGCATCTGCCTTTTAGATCGGAGGACGGATACAAGACGGCACGATGTAGCTACACAGCTCTGGCCATAAACGTAATCACATCTCAACTTCGCTCAAATTTAGTTCCTCGGCGACCGCAGCAACTCAAAGCGCTTCCATGCACCATGCCACACAAGATAAAAAAAAAATCGTCACAAGTCTTGCCGCCGGCCTAAGCTCCTGCAGGTCTCTGCCTGCGGCCCCCAACCAAACAAATGCCGATTGACGTTCCCCAAGCCATCCTGCCGTGCTGCTGAGCCACGGGTCATGTGCGACCCGCAAACGAGGCGCCTCACCGGCGGTGCCATGGCGTCGCCTGCCTGTCCTGTCTTACCTGCAGCACACATGGACCGGCCCACAATTCCCAACCCGCGCAGAAGTAATCAAGGCTGTGTCACGCACCCTCCGCCCACCAACAGGCGTTTCTGACGCTCAACCCTCCTTCCGATGCAGCCAGGCAGGGTGCTGATCGTTGCCTGAGCACGAATCCTGTGCCGCATGCACTTTTATTTTTCTTCTGCCTTCGCGTCCCGTTTCTGTTTCATGCTGCGCCAAGTATGATGAGCCTCCCGTGCCTCCCCACCCCCCGCATATTGAGGCTTGTGTCTCTTGGTGGACAAAGGCCTGACAGGCAGGAAGGATGAGTCCTCGATTCGATTGTCACCACCTGGACATCCTCCCTCTCGCACGTAGCAGTAGCCAGCTGGCAGCTCTAGCTCTGTTTCGAGCTCGATCTGTCTTATGCGCTGTTCGCGGAACGATCCTGCCCACCAGCTAACTAGCTGATGTTGAGATACTACTTACTATACGTATGTAGTGCATCGTATGTACAAACAGTCGCCACGAGGCCTCAAACCACGGGCATGACTACATCACGCTCTGCAGCGTGACTCGAGCCAAAACTCTGACTCTGGACCAGTCTAGACCTCGAAATCGCCTATTCTTTCAACCCACCCAGGCTTTCTGCCTGGAGCAAAACCCCGGAAAACCAAGTCCTGCTATTCAGAACATCATGGACACCGCCCTGATCAAAGACGTGGACGAGCAGCCTCAATCCTCATGGTACCGGAAGCCAGACGGCCCTCACCGGCTATCAGACATCCGGGCCCAGCCGCAGGCCGATTCTGTCCTGACCGACGACGACGACCATGTCAGGGACGTCGATGAGGAGAACCCGCCGACGCCCCACTCGGCGTGGTACCGCAAGCCGCGCCCGGAGCGGGTGTCGAGCATCGGGCCGGATCTCGGGATTGGCGAGCAGGCGGATGAGAAGACCCGGAGGATCTGCGGGTGCTCACGGCCGACTTTCATTGTGATCATGTTCTTTTTGGTGGTCGTCGTCGCGGCTGCGATCGCGTGGCGTTGCTGGGTCGCAGGCTTGGAAGTAAGTTTGGCGTCTTGCCTGATGTGGCGACAGGCATGTGATCGCTAACGAGGCCGGGTTAGGGGCTCCGCTTCACCGTCTCAGTCGACCGCTTCATGATTCCGTACATGAAAAGTACAAGGCGGCCTCATGGAGCTAGATTGATGGCATATTCCCCAAAATGTGGGATGCGAAGAAGTTGAATGATGGGTTCATTCGTTGTACAAACCATACGGGAAGTTGAGGGATACTGAACAATGCGACATCAAGACGGGGACGCAAGAGAGCCTGGAGAGGAGCCTAGCCATGGCGATCATGGTATTGACTGATGGAGATCTTTGTGTGTGATGTTAAAGTCAGGAGGAGAGGCGAAGACAGGTACAAACATTAGTAAGCGTCATCGAAAGCATTCAAACGGTAACGAGGTACGAAATGGCCCTTGTTTGAATCGCATGCCCACGTCGCTGCGTTGATAGGACTCCTTGCTTCTCTAACGAAAAAAAGCGAAGCTTAAAATCTGGGAACAATCAGTCTTTCCTTCTTAACTGTTGACGCCATCTGAAATCGTGAATTTCCCCGCTGGGAGATCAAGGTTTGAGTCTCATGCTGGCAATTCGCCACGTTGAAGAGTCCTCTACTTCAACCTCTTCATCGAGATCCAGCGTATGCCCCGTAAAGTACTGGCCGATTCCCAAAGATCGGCCCCGACAAGTGACCAACAGCTTGAAAACGATCTCATCACTCGCCTCTACGAGTCGGACCAATCTCCTCACAACCGTATCCATACTGTGCTTGGGAACACCTGTTTCGTACAAGGCAACCTCGTCGAGAATGCAGAGAAGAATCGTGTTCGACGGCAGCTGCTTCACAAGCTCAAAGAAGACGGTGCACATCAACTTGAGATTAAGATTTCCGAAGACCGCCCAATTCTCTGGTACCAAGAAGGAGAGGTCTATCTCAACAGACCGGCTCAATATATGGCTGACGAGCTGGCCTATGAGACTGGCCATCATGGTCTCTGCAGGGGACGAAGTTTGACTCTCCGTGCCGTAAGGGCTGTGCTCGGCACAGAAATATTTCAGTGTCAGACCCTGGGCGGTCTCATTCTGCTCAGATATCTGGGCGAGTCTGGCTGCCACGAGGCTGAGAGGCGAGATGCCTTCGGCACTAGATAGGTCTTCGTTTCCGTTGACGAGAAGGACACTAGATGATGTCGCCTTTGTCATGAAGTCTTTGAATGTAGGGTCGTCGACGAGGGCGGCCGCTCTAGCCTTGTCAGTCTCAGCCATTGCGGCTCCAAGGCCCAAACACTTCTCGGTGTCTGTCAGCACAACATCGGGGTCATATCCCAGTACGTCTAGCAAGCCTTTCGCCTGTTCCAAGTCGCCTTGGTAGTTGAGTATCAGTCATCTTGTACAGAGCCTACAGGAACGAGAGCAAGAAACCTCACTTACGTTCACGTTTTCCCTCCACTATCTTCTTCTTCTCGGTTGCTTGCATGTCCTGGACAATAGAATCTGGGAATGCCTCTGTTAGGTCTTATCTGCTCACCAGTGTTGAGATGGGCTGGACAAAACCTACCTTGGTGTCCATGAATGGGAAGGAATCGAGATTCAGAGCTGAGGAAAAGTTTATAGTACAGATTTGTCAAAATTGCGAGAGTCTGGTCCATTTTCTCGCTGGAATCACTTAAGACACCGTTATGGAGACGAATCTCCTGATTTAGGTCGACTATGCGTCTCTGCATACAGATATTGGCCTCGTTCTTGACGCGACTTACTCTTAGTCTGATGTCTTTGCAGCTTTCGAGCAGTTTGCTTTTATAGGATGACTGCTTGAGAATTGGCTGATAGACCTTGCCTGCAAACAAAGTTGTTTAGCACGCATTCCATGACGTGAGCTGGTCACTGGAGTGCTCGGCGGACTTACTCCATGAACTGTCCACAAAAAACTGCATAATGTGGTTCAAGGCCTTGAGGATAGACAAATAGAGCTGGAAAGTCTTTTTCTCCAGAAGCTGATCTCGACATCTGCCGTATATCTCGATGTACCGTTTGGCGTCATCCATTATCTCGGGAATTTCAGCTAGTGTCTCGAGGATGACGGCTTCTACCTTTGAGAAAGCCCCAGCAGCCTGAATAATGTCAGCCATTTCTCCGTCTTATTTATTCCAGCCAGAAGAACCCTGCCGAGCGAAGAAAACCCGTGTGGGATTGTAACGCACCCCGACCGCAATTGTGAAAACACCACATATGCTGGGTGTGAAGTTAGCTTTAATTCATACCGAATTAAGTCCAGATGGGCATTTAGCACTTGAATACCTGGAACCGTAATCACCTGCTGGCAGCAAGTCGAGCCAGGACTTGAAGGCGTCTGAATTCTGTCCCAACTTTTCCAGATATCTCATCATGTTTGATGACTTCTTCGGGCTCGTTGACCATCGCGTTGCCAGTGACTGAACTTCTCCCATGACTTGTTCCCAGGTGTATTGTCGCAGGTTTAGGCTAGTTCGCTTCTGGTGGCTGCTGGGACTCTTTCTATCCATCTTCATGTGGGCTTGGGCTATCAAATCGAACACCTGATTGACTTCCTCATCGGCTTCCTTCCACATCTCAACACTGTGGGAGGAAAAAATCCATTAGGCTGACTTTTGTTACAAACGGCCAACTTAACGCGATCGGGATGAACCTAACTTAATCTGGTCTTGCTTCCTGGCTTCCGCCACAGAACCAAAACGGTCGAGGCTTTCTATATATACAGATGCCGGGGCACCGAGCGCAGTGTCGTTGATTTCCGTGAATACTGCAGCATTCGTGGGAGGTGCGCGAGGACGGCGCATAATGAAGTCCTCTCGTTCGAGGGCTTGTTGCGAATCCATTTTCATCGTCTACTCGGGGCTGCGCAAACAAGTGTGTCGAGAAACCACGGGGCCTTGTTTCAAACTGGGACGCGCAGCGATTTGGTCCCATCAATTCGAACAACTGCCTCTGTGGCTTTGGTAAGCTGCATCTGCAGTCATACCGACGGTGCTACTTCGTGCTACCTAGTGCTAACTCGGGGTGGACAATGTGTCCGAATTGCATCAGGCCAGACTTGTCTGCACCAGCACATTTGCACACGTGTATGGGACTACTACCAATAGATCAATCTTGTCACACCACACCTCTTCCATACCCCACCTCTTCCGTACTACACCTCTTCCATGATGTGGCGAACTCGGCAAATTATGACGAGACATATGAACACCACGCTGCTCCGGAGAATCTATATTTTCTTCCTGTTCTGCCTGTGTCTCCGTTCCCACACTCGAGAGCCGAGCCAGAGACGGAATTGCAACATTTGCATTTCGGATCCAGACCAAAGGACCGATCACTTGGCCGGCTCGGCATATTCTGCCACAGTTTAAAGCCTCAAAGAGTCGCAGTACACGGTGTTTCCTCACTTCACAATGGAGCCTGAAGTTGCAGATACGGGATCAAAGGTTTCGGAGCAGCCTGAGCAAACGCCGTCTCCGTATGCGCATCCACCCTTTCGGGGGGCCGAATCCAGCTCCACAGGTCATCAAGTGCCTGGAGACATGGTGATAACTCCTAATGAAACACGACGTCCAACTCCGGTCGATACGGTAGATACCGCCGCCGTGGACCTGCTGAAGAGTGCGGTTGAAGATGGCCCAGGCGAAGACTGGCATACGGTCGCAAGAAAGGTTTGAATTACCACTACACATTATAGTCCGATACTTACGAGTATGTATCTGACTACTGGACATAAGGCCGAAAACACACAGTATGAGGGCTTAAGCTCACTGCTTCTGGAAAACGAGAAGAAGACTGGTGATCTAAGACGACGATCGAAACAGGCAGTTCTGCATTTGTCCTTCACCGAGATGAGAATCACTCAAATGGAACAGCAGATTCTGAAACTAGAAGCTGAACTCCATAACAAACCAGATGACTTTCAACTCAGCGTGGCGAGGCGGCAGGCTCCTACATATAAACCGTTCATCAAGCGATCCTCGCATGGCGAATTCCTTCTGACATCCCACTCAGCGGAGATTCCATATCACGAGCAAGCGTCACTTGAAGTACTTGTGGCAGAGAATGGCACCTCAGCTATGCTTGGTCCAGATCAATATACAGCTAGCCGCTCGACTAGCATTTGTCAGCGAACGGACCAACAGACACCAGAAAGGCTGAGGATGCGATATGGTCCACTTGTAAAGACTCTTGAGAAGATCTGCAAGGAAACACTTTCCAATTATCACCTTTGGCCCAATCACCGAGACTCCACGGCGAAACGAATTGGGGGTGCTGCAACCATACTTTTGAGACCATGGAAGCTCTTCGTCGCTTACGAAAAGGAAATCCGGGACAGTGTTCACAGCATCGATGTTTTGTGGGAGCCAGTCCGTGGTGTAGCCGAGACACGGGTGGTGGAAGATTGTGAGTACTGTCCTCCGAAATTGGTCATTGTGAACCTTTACGCACCGCATTGCCTGGAGGGTTTCGTTCCACTGTCCGTCCTGACACTTTGCGTCGGCTTCAGTCGAATTCAAGCGCCAAGATCTCCTACGAGAGCTTAAACTGCTTGTACAGTTTCTCGACGTGGACCTCAAGCCGACTTTCGATCTGCGTAGAGCAATCAAAGAAGGCATAGCGACTGAGATTGAATACGGTGACCTATGGCACCTATTTGAACTTGGAGATACGGCCATCAGCCCCAATCACAAAGCCCAAGCCTTTCGAGTGGTCAACTTCACCGGCGGAAGAGAACCTTTGACGCGACGTATCGTATCTGAAGACCTCGGACGTCAAGCACCAGCACCTGTGGATGTGGGAGGGTTTGCGGTGGATTGCTGCAGCTTTTGTTTCGATGGGACAGACTACGTGCCAGTTTTAGAAAAGTTCTTGATCCGAAAATACCGTGGTCGCAGGCCTATCACGTCTCTGGAAGTTTTCCCGCTCAAGTTCGATCAAGACTGGGAAGCTCGCTACCGGGAATTTGAAACACAGGGGCAGAGATACTTGAGCTTAACGCGTGTACCATTTTCTCACCACATGTTCCGAGGCAAAACAATAGACGAACCACCTCAGCAACTTGATACTCAAGTCATCGTGGACGTTACCTTGGCTATCGATAACGAGCCTGATTGGCAGCTCGGCAGCAGAGTCTCAGTTGAAGATTTTACGAGGCTCGACGAACGCGAGACGCGAATGCCGACATTCTGCATGTGTTATAACGGTGCTGAATCCGAAGGTCACTGCGGATCAGACTACGTCTTTAAAGACTTGAATATGAGGTACTCCGGGATCAATGCTTCAATTTCGGACCATGGTGGACTTCTACGGCCTCGGAGGGCTGAAGATTTGAAAAAAGAGGAAATCATATTGCTCCCAAACTGGGTGCATGCTTTCGTGTTGCGCAGTCGCCAGTGGGTAACATTGAATACTGGAGACCTTTCCGAGGTTCAATTTGAAAACAACTTTGATGAACTCATGTTCTCTTCCAGTCACAAGCGGACCATAGTGGCTCTTGTGGAAACCCACGAGAACGCGAGGACAAGTACGCAAGGCCCACACTCAGTCGGCCCTGCACTGGACTTAGTGAGAGGAAAGGGAGCTGGACTAATTATCCTGCTGCACGGCGAGCCAGGTGAGGCACATGTCACTCTTTATAGCTTTGAACTCCTCTAACCATGCTTCCAAATATTCTAACCTATTCTTAGGAGTTGGAAAGACGTCAACGGCTGAGTGCGTGGCGGACAGGACCAAGAGGCCACTGTTCCCCATCACCTGTGGAGATATTGGAGAGTCAGCCATGGAAGTTGAGAAGAACCTTCACCATAATTTTCTCCTGGCCTACAAATGGGGCTGCGTCCTCTTGCTCGATGAAGCGGACATCTTCCTTGCTAAACGGAACAAGACTGATCTGAGGCGCAACGCTGTCACCAGTGTTTTCCTACGCAGTCTGGAATACTATGCCGGCATCCTATTCTTGACGACCAACCGCGTGGGTGGCATCGATCCAGCTTTCAAATCACGAATCCAGTTGAGCCTGTATTACCCACGGATCGATCTCGATGCTACTGTGAAATTATACGAGGTCTTTCTCAAGCGAGCTCGCGATGAGCAGACAAGGATCGGAGTCACACAGTTCAAGATCAAGCAGAAAGAGATCCTGAGGTTTGCGTCGCGACACTATCGACGACTTCAGAAGGAGGGTTACAATACCTGGAATGGGAGGTCAGTATCATTGCTAATCACTTTCTTGTGTTTCTCGTCATCCCATATAATTTGTTTGACAACCCAACAGACAAATACGCAACGCCTGCCAAACGGCCATCGCACTTGTGGAGCACGAGGCCGTCCATTTGAAGGCCGGCCATCCAATGCCTGTGCTGGGAAAGAGACATTTCGAGACCGTAGCCGAAGGGTCAAAAGAATTCGATCGTTACCTGAAGAGGACTCTGCAAGGTGGAGACGACGAGATTGCCATGAGGGACCAATGGCGAAACGATTACTACCCGGAGGCCGATATCACGCGGCCTTCGTCGCTGAAACCTCTGCCTAAAGCGTCTTCTTCTCGCACTGCACCCCCGACTGTGACGGAGTCAGAGAGTGAGAGCAGCGATGATTCGGACACTGAGAGTAAGGATGACGAGGACGGCAACATTAAGCCTGTGGCTGGAGGTGGCACTGCTCATTTCAAGTTGGGCGCTGGAGTGGATGTGGACGAAGATGAGATTAGCAGTGCTGATTTCAAGGAATATTTGAAATTCAAGGCTCTCATGGGGAAGAACAAAAAGACATAGTCCGTCATCACGACGGTGTCAGAGGAATAGGCAGTCATTCCATTTCATTCTCAGGTCGGTTGAAGTATGAAACATGCGTTTTGAGAATGACAAATCCTGCTGATTGATTACGAACATGTGAAGGACTATATAATGACAAGAAAGCTTCTTCAGAAGCTTGTGGAAATTCTCCAAGTTCATTGACCAGCAGCAACAAAGCAGACACTCGTTCTCATGAACCTTGACCAGACCTTCACCCCTCAACATCCGTAGGCAGAAATCGTGCTCGTAAAGCCAGAGGCGACTGTAGCCTGGAGAGCGTCGACCTGGCTCGTGTAGGCAGAGTCGACTACGAAGTATCAGCACTGAGCCCTTGCTTAAAATATGTACAAAGGACTTACTGGTGCCTTCGAGGGCGGTAAAGAATGCCTTCGCGTCGGACTAGACCACATCAGTATCTCAACTAACAACAACAAGCAGCTCCAAAAGGGTATAAACTCACGGACAAAGTTGACAAGGCCGAGCAGACGGCGCTCGTGAATCCGGAAGACGCGACAACAGATTCCTACGAGGAACACAACGTCAGCTACCAGAACCACAGTACCAACACCTTTCTAGGGAGTGAGCCCAACCTTGGCAGTAGCATCGCCCAGCGTGTCAGTGATCTGGGCAGTGAGGCTCTGCACGTCGGCGTAGATGGTGGCCGAGTCGGCGGCGGCGATGGCGCCGGTGGAGGTGACCTCGGCGGTGGCGGCGGTGATGGCCGAGGCCAGGTTGTTGTAGCTGGTCAGCAGGGAGAGCGCCTGGATCAGGGAGCCGGTGAAGGCGTTGATGGCGGTGTTGAAGGAGGTCAGGTCCGAGCTGACGGTGGCGATGTCGGCCTTGATCTTGGCGGGCGTGCGCCTTTCGAACGGGCTGCCGAGGGCGAGGCCCAGGAGGCTGGTCATGACGATCTTGGAGAACTGCATGTTGTTGGTTGTGTTGTTGAGGCTATCTGGGTTGGCTATTTGATTTGAAGAGAGACGGAATTCTTCGATCTTCTCGATCTGCTCTTCAGATATCTCGAAATGACCTTGAATTTATAGATATCTCCTATTCCATCTACTCTTTGAAGCGGCGCCCGCGGATCTCCAGATGGCATCGAGTCGTAGACCCATTGCAGTATTCATGGCCAACGCACGGTCGAGTCGTCGAGGCATGTTGCACTTCGTGCCGGCTTGTGACCAAGACATTGGCTTCGAGGCGGGCTTGACGATGCCACCTGTCTATCCCATTCTGGAAATGCCTCCGGAAGGCGGGGTCAGAGTTTGGAGTTCTTGGGTACCACCACCTGTGTAAGTCATGGCCTCACTGGAGAAACACTCAAGCGGGAATAACGGAGCCGGTGGACAGGTAGATTCCACGCGACCTGGTCCTTCATTTGTATGAGTGCTACTTCGAGCTGTGAGCCCAGGTGTGGAGTGGCACCCAGTGAAACGAGGCCGACAATTCCTTACTGGCGATACCATCTTCTTTTTTGTAGCCTTTCCGAACACGCCCCGAAAGTCATCATGGACTGGGTGCTCGGGACTTGAGAGGGGTCGACAAACTCAATCGCTCGGTAAAAAAGAAGCATACCACGTGCCCGGATGTAAGGTCGTAGTCTTCCGTAGTCAATCCACGACCCAGTCAATCCACGACCCAGTCCGCGATCAATGTTGGCGAGGGGATAAGCTCGCCTTCAACTCCCCATGCCAGCAACATGATATTATGTGATGGATTTCCAGGTGAGCCTTGAGTGAACTACTCTCTGGAGAATATTCACAAGCCATTGCTCAATCAACCAAGCCACATCCAGAAGTGTCCGCGGACAGCCTCGAGAAGCAAAATACCTGCTTGGCTAGTAGTAGTTCCCCGCTTCGACGTTGCAGCCGCGCGAGACCTCCCATGGTGCGGGACTGCGACGTCCCGCACACCAGTCAACTTGCTTTCATACATGTCAGGGCTCCGTGCTTGCAGGGATATGACATTCATGATGGGCTCTTATGGGTTCCGCGGAGGGAATGGGTGCGGGAAGTGGGCAGATGTCGGGATGGTAAGTCCTTGGGATGAGAAGAATAGTCGCGGGCCAAGGAGTCTAGTTGAAGCAGCTTTAGGTTCCTGCCCGTTATGCTCGGACAGCGGCTTGGCACTATGTGTCCGTAACCATATGTTGTAGAATGTCTATGTAGTAGTTTTTCAACTCCTTAGTCCTGCCTATATCCCGTGCTCACGTATCAAACCGGAGTAAAGAGTAGTGACGCGGATCGCTCCAGAGACACATCTTATATTTGCTCTTAGAAGAAAAAATTAGGCGAATACTGGCCGTGTGGGAAAGTCGATTGGGTTTGGAAATGATTTGAAGTTGAAGTGCGCGTATGGCTACGTTCTGAGTGCAGAAGGGCCCCACAAGGCACCTTTCTTAAACATACCTAGGGTACGTACTCCGCCCCCCTTATTCACTGTGCCCCCATTAACTTCCATGGGCCGGTAAATCTCTCAAATCTCTCCAGGGGTGCAAGGTTGCCTATTCTTGTACATCGTATTTCATTTAGTTCATTTTGCTCCTTGCGTCGTTGTTCGGACCTGCTTAGTCAAAGGTTCTTTCTTACTACCCTTAAACAGATTTTAAAAAAGTTGAATTGTTCAGCAGCCCGAGCACAATATGGAAATTACTTGGGGGAGAAATCGTGAAATCTACCATGCGTGCACGTCCTTAGACCAAAAGAACAAATGGTTATAAAGCTGACAACAGGGTCAATTCCCATGGATCGCACCGACGCTATTTGATATCCTATTGCTATTCGGAATCTCCATCAACCCGGCCAGTAATAACGACCATTTTGAATACGATTACCATTTATTGTCGCCCAGATCACAATCACGCTCACGCTGTTACAATATCATAACAAACCGCGGGTCCCGATCATCGCCGCTCCCCTCGAACTCGGCGTACTTGCCGGCCTGCTTGTCCCTGTTCACCTTCCTGCAGTACAACACGTTCGCCAGCACAGCGACCCAGGCGTAGCACAACAGCCCGAGAATCACTGAGTGCCCTTCGTGGTACAGCGGGCCCTGTTCCTTTGGGTATATGAAAGCTAGGATTGGGAAAGTATTGTTAACACGGGGCGTCGACGACATCACGTACAGGTACAAGCACTCGCAGAGAACAACGGAAAAGAAATAGGATTTGGAGAACTCACTCGCAACAAAACCCCCAGCGTTGGCGATGGCAAGCTGCAGGGCGGACGTTGTGGCGCGCTTGTAGTGGCCAGCTGAGTTGTTCGAGTTCCAGACCAACACGCAGGGGACACTAGCATACATGCCGATGGCCATGAGGCAGGTCATGCCGAAGCGGACGTGGGCTGAGGCGACATTGGCGATGACGGCGTAGCCAGCAATGGCAATCGGGAGGGTAAAGAGCATAATCGTTCCGCGCAGCTTAAGGCGGTCGGAGAGGAAGGCGATGAAGACTGGTTGTTCCAAAAGCAGGCGCTCATGTCAGTTGGTGTACCGCATGGAAGGACGGAGGCATCGGAAAGGGGGGGGGGGGCGCTGGTGAGACTCACCTGTTACGGGTGTGGCGACCGCATAGGGGATGACGGACCAAAGCTGGGTCTGGTTTGGGTCGGAAGTGATGTGCATGTCGTTGATGATAGTCGGTAGGAATAGACCGAAGGAGTACAGCCCCGAGAGGATGGCAAAGTAAGCAGTGGCAGTGAGCCAGAGCTGGATATTGAAGACGCCCCTCTTGACCTCGGACCACCTGAACTTCTCTTCCCTTTCGAGATTCACGCTGCCAGACACCATTTAGTATACTATCTCATCTGAACGAAAACCCAACTCGTTGAACAACACAAAATGACATAAAACAACTTACTTGAACCTCTCCCCATTGGAAACCTCCCCCGACAGTCGCTTCGCAGCGAACTCGCGCTCCTCCGGGGTGAGAAAAGACGCCGTGTGCAGGTTACTAGCAAGGAAGAAGTACGAGATAGCACCACACACAACGGTGAGCAATCCCTCGATGATAAAGATCCACCGCCAACCCTCAAGACCTCCGCGTGGCCCAATGGCGGACAGCCCACGGGCGAGCAGGCCGCCAAATGCGCCGGACAACGAGGCGGCGGTGTAGAAGATACCGATGCGCAGGGCCATCTCGCCGCGCGTGTATAGTCCTGAGAGGTACAGCACCATACCCGGCAGCAGGCCGCCCTCTGTCGCACCCAGGATGGCGCGGACGGCGACGAAGGAGCCGAAGTTGCGCACAAAGCCCAGGCACATGGTCACCGTCCCCCAGGCGCAGGCCAGGGAGGCCAGCCAGACGCGGGGGGTCAGGCGCTTTAAAATCAGGTTGGAGGGAAGCTCGCTGTGGTGTGGCACATGGTCAGTTACCAGTTTCGCAATATAGTATCGAGGACAGTGAGGTTATGCGCGCCATGGCGGAACTCTCTGATGCGATTCTCGTCGTAAGCTCTGCCCTAGGGTTGCACAGAATACAAGGCATTGGTTTGGATGGTAGGTAATATAGGGTGCCAATCAGTGACCGACCTCGCAATATAGGTGGCATAGAAGACGGCCAGGCCCTGGTTGTACTGCAGGTTAGAGATGCCGAGGTCCTCCTCGAGGCCGATGATCTTTGCGTTGCCGACATTTGTCCTGTCCAGGAAGGAGCACAGGAACAGCAGGGCGAGAATGGGCAGGACGCGTGTGTCTGTCTTGAAGAGGATACTCTTGGTCATGCGGGCGTGGTGCTCGTGGTGCAGGCGGGAGTCCTCGATGACGGCGTCCGAGGGCTTGTCGACGTCGTTGTCGACGTCGACATCCGTCAGGGAAGAGGGCTTCATCTTGGGAGTCTAACAACAACTGGCAGGTTTGAATATCGGTGAGAAGAGCAAAACTAGCACGGAAGGTACAACTCTGGAGCTCAAAATCTATTGCAGAAATGGTAAGGGCCAAGGTAAAGATAAATAGACTAGATAGTCTACGCGTAACCACAGAAAATTAGACCGAACACAAGAGAGACGTGACGAACGGATGGTTACAGTGAAGGAAATCATCAGCCAGCCAGTGGTAAGCCATATTGAGTAGCCGCGTGGAAGGATTGGAAGGGGGAAAGGCATCCGTGGTTCGGGGGGCGTGGGGCCAGGTCCCACCCCCCAGGCCCAAGGAAGCTTGTCAGCACCAAGCTTTTCCCCAGGAAACCCACACATTGAGCCCACTTCCCCGCAATCCATCAGTGCAGGGCCCCCGCAGCTGCCCTGTTTGCTACCCACTGATTATAATCAAGAGAAGAATTTGCTTATCCGGCATTCGTCAGCTGTGCTCCTCGTGAGGGGGCCTTTCTGTCCTGACTCCTTTTCCGGATCTAAACCGGTTTGGGGTACTGGACCTGATCCAGCCCCAGGGGATCGGGACTGGAGTAGGACTGGCTAGTTGGAGAACGGTCTGGACCGTCAGTGTGACTTGACTCGCCTGTTCTTATACGGTGAGAGAGTGAAGCGTCAGGAGAAACAAAACCAGACGCAGACGCAGAGACGCCACCTCTTATCAGAGAGACATTGTGGCGGAGAGGGATGCAAAGACTGGACACATGAATGTCTGCCACAATGAACAATGTTGCCGACCTTTCCTTTTCCGAGTCGGCTCAATGCTCTCTCTCCCCTCTCTTTTTCTCTCTTGGCCAGTCTTTCCTTTTGGTCATAACAACTTGGAACCCTGAAGCGAGGCACAGAGGAGTGGACCCAACAGGCACAGAGGAGTGGACCCAACAGGCACAGAGGAGTGGACCCTGGCCTAACCCTGACCCTGACCCTGACCCTGACCCTGGCCTTGAGCGGTGCTTGTTCTGTCCCCCGATCGGTTGACGTCAGGACAACGCCGAGGCTCGGCCTCTATGATCAACCATTGATACCATTGATCAACGGGCTGTTCCGGCGTGCTGAAGATGGAGAAGCCGAATGCCGCCCGACCGATACAGCCACCACAGCCAGGACCTTGTCCGTGGCCAAACATTGCTAGTTCACTTGTTTGTTGATTTATCGTCTTTTCCTTGTCGCGCTCGAGTGTCAGTTTCTGTCAATTGACTGCAGGCACCAACAGCAACACCGTCAAACATGGCTGCGACAACACGCCAGCTGCGGCGCTCAATGCCCTCCCTCCTCGCCTCGGCGCAACCAGCAAGACAAGCCCCAGCAGCAGCAGCGCCATTATGTCTCGGCCGTTATAACTGCCTGAGGAGGAACAACGGCACAGTCGCCCTTGCCTCGTCCACGGCAGCAGTGTCCCCGCGCCGCCTGTTCTCGTCCTCAACAGCCCGCCGCTCGGCCGACCCCAGCCCCTCAGAAAGCAAGGCGCCGGCGCCCACCCGCGGCGGCTCCAAGTTGTTTCGGGACGCCGACGCCGCGGTGGCCGACGTCAAGTCCGGGTCCACCATCCTGTCCTCGGGCTTCGGCCTCTGCGGCGTGGCAGAGACGCTCATCACCGCCCTGCACCGCCGCGGCAAGGACAGCCTGCACTCGCTGACGGCCGTGTCCAACAACGCCGGCGTCGAGGGTAAGGGCGGCCTGTCGGTCCTGACCAAGGAGGGCCAGGTCAACCGCCTCGTCCTCAGCTACCTGGGCAGCAACAAGGTCCTCGAGAAGAAGTACCTGACCGGCGACATCGCCATCGAGCTGTGCCCCCAGGGCACCCTGGCTGAGAGGATCCGCAGTGCGGGCGCTGGCATCCCGGCCTTCTTTACTGCCACCGGTGCTCGTAAGTAAAGCAACCACTTTGGACCAATTCAAACTCCCTGCGCGTTCGCTTTTGATCTGACGTGGCTGCTCTCCCAGACTCTCTTCTCCAGGACGGCAAGATCCCCGTGCGACTCTCACCCTCGGGCAAGGTGCTGGAGGGCGGGCGGCCGCGCGAGACGCGCATCTTCGGCGGCAAGACGTACCTGATGGAGACGGCGCTCCCCGGCGACGTGGCGATCCTGCGCGCATGGAAGGCCGACAAGGCCGGCAACTGCGTCTTCCGCTACACGACCAAGGCCTTCGGCCCCATCATGGCCAAGGCGGCGCGCCTGACCATCGTCGAGGCCGAGCACATCGTCGAGGTCGGCGAGATCGACCCCAACGACGTCGACGTGCCGGGCATCTTTGTCGACCGCATCGTCCCCGCCACGGCCGACAAGCAGATCGACATCCTCAAGCTGCGCGAGGAGGAGGGCGCCGACGGTGGTGCCGCTGCGGCGAGCCCCGGGCAGGAGAAGCGCAACCGTATCGCGCGGCGCGCGGCAAAGGAGCTCAAGGACGGCTTCTACGTCAACCTGGGCGTGGGCCTGCCGACGCTCGCGCCCAGCTTCGTGCCCGAGGGCCGCAAGGTGTGGCTGCAGAGCGAGAACGGCATCCTGGGCATGGGACCGTACCCGACCAAGGATGAGGTTGACCCGTAAGTCGTCTGCCTTCAACACCCGCTTCCTGTTTTTTGAAGCGTGACAAGAGACTAACACAAGCGATTACCCCTCTCCAGAGACATCATAAACGCAGGCAAGGAGACAGTAACCCTCCTCCCGGGCGCGGCGACCTTCGACTCGTCCGAGTCCTTCACCATGATCCGCGGCGGGCACGTGGACGTGTCGATCCTGGGGGCGCTGCAGGTGTCGGCGTCGGGCGACCTGGCCAACTTCATGATCCCGGGCAAGGTGTTCAAGGGCATGGGCGGGGCCATGGACCTGGTGTCGAACCCGGACAAGACCAAGATCGTCGTCACCACCGAGCACGTCGCCAAGGACGGCACCTCCAAGATCGTCCAGCTGTGCACCCTGCCGCTGACGGGCGCCAACGTCGTCAGCACGATCATCACCGACCTTTGTGTCTTCCAGGTCGACCGCGAGGCCGGCGTGCTGACTCTCACGGAGATCGCGCCTGAGGTCGAGGTCGAGGAGATCAGGGCCAAGACGGATGCGAAGTTTGTTGTGGCTGATGACCTGCAGGTTATGGAATAGGGTGACAGAAGGAGGGTGGTAGATATTTAGTGCGAGCTATTTGCGACAGCTCTTTGTAGATAACGCATTGGATTTTTTGGATTATCTTGCTTGGAGTCGGCGTAATCATTGTGGATAGTCAAGTGCATATAGAAGAAATTAAACTGCAAATCCAGAGACAACGGAGCAAGATCAAGCGAGCCATGGCAGGATGCAGATGCATATGTATTCTCAACATGTGATCTATCTACAATTGATCTATTAATCCAACCTCCAAAAACAAAGCAAGTCTACAACTTCGCCGCGAAATTATTCCCAATGGCCTCAACAATCCCATCCACGCTCCTCAGCACCCACTCCCCGCCCTCGTCACCAGCAAGCCACTCGATCCCCTCCCTCTCGGCATCACTCTCCGCCTCCCGCACGTGGATCCCCTGCTGCACCGCCTTGCGCAGCCCAAACACATGCGACAGCACCTGCGGGCCCACGCCCGTCTGCGCGCGCAGGCACGCGATGGCCACCAGGCTCGTCAGCACCCTGCCCACCTCCGCCAGCCCGCCGCGGTCCACGCCCTCCGGGTTCGACAGCAGCGGCGCGTAGTGGCTGCCGTGGATGTGCACGGGCAGGTCCGGGTGCGAGTCGGCCAGGCGGGCGGTGAGCTTCTCGTCGAAGGGGTCGTAGACGCTCTTCCACAGCGCGAGGCCGGCCTTCCTGCGCCGGGCGAGGTTCTCGGGCGTGATGAGCCGCGAGGACCGCGTCTCGAGTTTGTCCTGGACGTCCTGCGGTAGGCCTGCCCGGAAGGCGCCCAGGCTGTTTATCGAGCGGGGGATGCCGTTGAAGGAGATGCACTTGAGCCCGACCTCGCGGATGAGCTCGGCTGCCGGGACGGGGGCGAGGGGCCGGTAGGTCTTCGCGGACGGGTTGGAGGCTGTGGACTGGAGGGCTGCTAGGGAGTCTGGGGAGTTGAGGGTGAATGTTGCTGCTGACTGGTGTGGTGGGAATTTCGTATGTCAGTATGGTGTGTGTCACTTGAGGAAGGGGCAAGGGGGATAACGACGTACGGAGAGGACGATCCACGGCCTTGGGCCCAGGTTCTTGGAGTGCGCCTCGCTGGCGATGCGCTCGTAGATCTTGGAGATGCCGATTGGGGCCTTTGCCGGCCCCGGGCGGGAGAAGGGCGCATTGACGAGCTCCTTGAGGGCTGGGGAGAGCTTCGACATGGTGTGCTGTCAGTGTTGTGTATATTTGTCGCGTGTGCAAGTGTCGTGAGCTCTGGCTCTCTGGTGTTGAAGCTGGCTCGGCAGATGCTCGGAGTCGTTCAGGCGCGACTGCTCTTCTCCAATTGGGTTTTGCTCGACCTTGTTAGACAGGCTCGGCTTCTTGAGACTACCTAGGGTAGTAGCCTACTTGATCATGTAATAAAAGTGTGAGCGTAGGAACACGGGTAAGCACGAAACAGGTCAATTGAGCGAGCCAAGAAAGGGCCGAGAATGGCACGATGTTCTGGCACCCCCCTGGTTGCATCATCGTCTCGTCGCACGCCGTTGGGCCGAAGCGCGCAGCGACAACGGCAAGCAGGTGGGGGCCCATGTGCTCTTGAAGGAGCTGAGCAGCTGCTGTGGGGGGCTTGTGGCCCGGAACTGGCACATGAAGGTGCGGCGGGCAGAAAAACCACCGGCCGGAAAAGCCGCGGAGCTTGTGCTTAGGGGCAGCTGGGGGGATTCGTGGCTGGGTCGCAGTGGGGTGGAACACGGCCGAGATTGTGTCGGGCCGGGCTTCGGGCGAGTCGGACCATCCGCTCTGTATCTACTTGTGAGAACCGACTGGAGGCTGTGAGACGTGGGCCGGCGTCTGAAGTAGACGGTCCAGGAACAGAGAACCGTAGGAATGGGGGACAATAATGCTATTTCTCAGGTCAGGGGTCTGTCCTGTCTGTCCCGACCTGACATGACATGATCTGAACTGGAGCCATCGTGAGCGTTGGAAGACCATGAGCAAATCAGAGAGAGAAAAACAGAAGCAGCCCTGGTGGCTCGGGTGAGTTTGCCCCAGGAGTCAAATTGGGCAGGATAACAACACATGCTAATTTGATTGACGCCAGTGGTGCCGCTGCCTCGATGGCCGTGTGCTTCAGTGAGTTGTCAACCCCAATGCCAAGAGCATCAGTATGGCGAGTGTGAATTGACGACAGCATCATGCAGCACACCCACTGGACCAGACAAAATAGTAAGCCGACATGGCATCTGCCACGCTGGACTAAACAAGAACACGGACTGACAGAGGGAGCAAAGCCGGATGCAAGTAATGCACACGCGAGCCCCCATGCTCAAGACACTGTCAACGTTTGCCCTTCGCGACGGTGAATACAGCCTTTCCACTCACCCACACCAACATGCAGAAACACACACTCACCCATTGATAGGAATACCCTCCCTCTGGACCGGCCTCTCCGCCTCCATCCTCCGCCAGTCAACCTACTCCACCGCCCGCTTCGGCCTGTACAGCCTCCTCGCCCAGCACTTGAAATCAAAATCCCCAACTGGGCAGCTCTCCTTCTGGAGCACCATCGGGGCCGCGGGCCTGGCCGGCGGCCTCGCGGGCGTCATCGGCAACCCGGCAGAGGTCATCCTGGTCCGAATGTGCGCCGATGGTGCCAAGCCGCCCTCGGAGCGAGCAAATCACCCGGACGCCATCCGCGGGCTGTGGCGCATCGCGCGAGACGAGGGCCTTGCTACCTTCGCGCGCGGGCTGGGCCCCACGGTTGTGCGGAGCGTGCTTATGAATGTTGGGCAGATTGCGCCGTAGGTTATTTCTCTGTGTTGGCGTGTATCCGCGAGTCCAGGTTCTTGCCGTCGATTGCGAGAGAGGGCCGGTTGATGCTTGATCCCGGGATGGGAAAGGGGTCAAGATCACTCCTGACTAACACATCTGCCAGGTACACCGCCGCCAAGCGCGCCCTCCTGGCAAACACCTCACTACAGGACGACGTCAAGACGCACAGTAAGCAGCTTCCGGATACAATTTTTACCCTCTCTGGAAAATCGATTTCCTATCTCTAGCCTGTACCTCAAAGGTAGTTTTGAGCTGCAGAGTTTGAAACAAGCCATGGCCATACGGCGGCCTGGTCCTCCCTATATCAAGATGAAACTTCTTCCTCAGTTCTTTGTTGGCTGACTCCTTTTGCTGCAGTGTTGTCCAGCCTCGTCGCGGGCACCGTGGCCACCACCATCTGCGCGCCCGCCGACGTGCTCAAGAGCCGTGTCCAGGCCGCAAGCAAGTCTGGCGCCGGCTCATCGGTAAGGCTGCCCGTCCTTTATTTCCGTCACCTTTGTCCTTCCTCCCCGGTGTTCGCGGTGGAGGCCGACCCAGGTGGAAATCCAGCTGACAAACAACAATCAGAGCCTCCTCCAGATAACGACGCAAGGTCTGCGCAATGAGGGGCCCCTGTTCCTGATGAAGGGCTGGACGCCAGCGTGGTTGCGCCTGACGTGAGTGGCAGAACCAGGAGCTGTGACTACCCTTCCCAACCCCTTCTTGATGACTGTGGAGGCCGCTGAAACTGACACCATTCTCCTCTCAACAGCCCGCACACGATCTTAACGTTCGTCTTCATGGAGAAGCTGCAGGACCTGGTCAACTGGAGGGCGGTCGGCGCCCCGCCCGTGGAGATCAAGGTCTGAGGTTCTTGCCTGAGTGTCTTTCGCGAGGCGAGTTTTGCCCCGCTCTATCTCACATCCACGCATGCATGCTTGCGTTCATGGTGGTCGCGGCGTTTGGTCAGCATAGATACTGTGTGTTGGTTAATGTTACACGGTCGGTATCGTCTCGAGTTTATCTCATTTCGGATTTGTCGTCCCGGACTAAATGCATCGTTTCGAATACAATATACCATGCTATATGCAAGATTTCATGCGAATCCCTTGCTCGAGAAAACGCGAACAGTCCAGCAGCAACGGCACGTCTTTCATCGCCAGCCAGTTTTATTACACAGTGGCCCACGTCCACTATACAGCCAGCCCCCTCTTAGAGCCCATAGTCTGGCAGGTTGTTCCAGTTCAACATATAATCGAAGTTGGTCGCATCCTCCCAGGTGAACCCACTCCCGCCGCCGTTTGCCCCAATCCCGCCCATGCCACTGCCGAACCCACTTGGGTCGAACTCGCCCCCCGTCCTGTTGAGCGCCTCCACGATTTGATCATCGCTCATAGCCGAGAATTGGAACAGGTCTGACGGGTGCGACGACCAACCCGGCGTGTCATATGCCGCGGTTAGGCCCGCTGACGGTGGCTGGGGGATGGCAAATGCGCCCTGGTTCATGCTGGCCCCCGATCCCGTCCGTGTGTTGGACTGGTGCGAAAACGCAACGCCGCCCGCTGCTTGGCGTGCAGATTCGGTGTATGCTGCCGCTGGCCGTGGTGTACCCTGTCCGTGACGCGAAGGACCTGCGGTCTCTACAGCACTGGCTTCTTTCTTTACCAGGAGCCTCAGGTACCTTCCGTAAAGCCGCCCCATACCCTGTCGGTGCTTTGTGATGTTTCCGATCTTCTCCATCATGTCGGCTGTCTCCTCGATCAGTGTCCTCACGCTTGGCGCGAGTACACTGTTGCTATTCCCTCCTGACATTTGTGTGCTCAGCTTTAGGGCGAAACAAGCTGCGAACGACACCATTATGGCGGTGTTGTTGGGCATCGAGAAAAGCTGAGACTCGCCCTGGACCGCAGCACGCATCACGTTCAAAGCTGCCGAGAGGCCGGCCGTCCTAAAGAAGTGGCGCACTTCGAGTGGTGCGGTAGGGTGGTTTATGACGCTGCTATAGATGGAAAGCCGGGTGTGCGTTACAAGCACCTCCACGTAGGGAGGCAGGCGGTGTTCTACAAAGTCAGCGACAATCAAAGGATGATATGATAAGGAAGGCTCACGAGGTCCTGTGCCACCCAAAGTCATACCCCACTCAAGGTGCCACTGCTCAAAGAATTTGTCGACCGTGCTCTGGATCCTTCGCGAAGTTAGTCGAAAACCGCCGAGTCGGCTCTGGGGTTGGCAATCACTCACGACTGGGCAATGAGAGATCCGTCTGTCAGCCCACTTTTGGCTCCATCACATAACGATCGGATCGTGGCGAACAGGTCGTCCAAGTCCCGCCGTAATACGGCCATAGATACTAAGTGCCCATCCATGGGGTCTGCTATGTCCGATATGTGCCATCGATCACATTTCCTAATCAGCGGTGTCATTGGAAGTGTGGAGGGTCGGCCACGAGCCAGACACATTCCTCGTTCGAGAACGAAGAGGGCAATCCAGCATCGTTCCCTTCGTCGTACAAGCCTCCGCCCAAGCTCCGAGTTGGGGTCGACGCTCTTGAAGCCGCCTAGCCTCAGGGCAAGCTCCGGATCCATGCAGTCCTGCCTCGCCAGGTCTCCGGAGACGCCGTTCTTAAATGCCTCCATTGGCATTGAAACCTTGGAATTCTGTAGATCTATGGCAATAGTTGTTGCCAATGAGACGTACCAGCATGTCTCGTCGTCGGTGCTGTGTACGCCTGGGCCCATCCAAGGGACGTTGATCATGAAAGCCAGAACGATCTCTGTGGACCTGTGCCGTTTCTCGATGACCTTATTCGTGAGCCACCTACAATGATTAGACAGTCGCTTCGACAAAGCGCCGGCAGACTCGATGAACAAGGCGGCGGCAGCCATGATGGACGTAAAGAGGAACGAGGAACGAGACCGTGTCCATGGTACGGTGTAGATGACAGGATCTAGACCCCAGCGCGTGTGGGCAAGATTCCTATGGAAACTGTAAGGGCGAATGTCAGCAGCCGCCACTGTTTAGCAACCTCGAAAGCGCCGTCACTCACAAGTCGAAGAGCCTCTCGGCCTCATCCTCCGTCACCAGGCCCAATTCGATTGGATCGTAGCCTTCCCCGCGGTCGACATTGAAGTGGACTGTCCCGAAGAAGCTCTCGACGTATCTCATCTCGGGGTCGTTCTCCTCGACGACAACGCTCGCCGGGGCCTGTGAGGCCGCTGTCCCGGGAGACTGGCTGTGACTAGAAACGGGGGATAAATGCAGATTGGACGCCCTGGCCAGCAACTGCAGTGGATTCTCCGCATCGTCGACGGCGAGCCGCTCCTCGGGCTTCACCTGGTGATGAGAGAAGGTCGACGTGCGGCGGCGGTGGGAGTCCTTGCGCGGCCTGGGGCTTTCCTCTTCCTCGGACGAGGAGTCCTGCAGCTCGCTAGAGGCTGCGGTGCTGAGACGAGGCCGCTTGTTGCTGTCCCCGGAGCTGTTCAGGTGGGCACCCTGGCCAGCTGCTATCATGGCCTTGAGTTCATTGATAGCCTTGCCTGCGTCGGCACCTTGCACGCCGGGCCCTGCTCTTCGGATAGCCTCCTCTACCTGGAAGAGGGCCTTCTCCAGGCCCTTGCGTTTGCTGAAATGTTGGTCAGCATCAGTACGAGGTAGTTAAGGACCTGGCATGGTGGCTCACTTCTTGACACCTTTCCTCCTCCCAACGTTGAAGGTCGGGCGAACACATTCGGAGCCGGTCTGTGCGCAGCGGCGGCAGCGGACGGGGTCGACGCCCTTCTCGCAGCGAACCTTGCTCCTGCGACAGGACAGGCAGGCGGCTATCTTGGAAGCACGCTGCTCGTTGAGTGGGGACGCACTCTGGGGCCCGTTGGTCTGGCCATTCTGGCTCTGGCTCGGCGAGAGGGACGTGACGAGAGAGAGGTCCGGGGTGCGGGCGGAGGAGTTGCCATTGGCGTTGGCGCTGGTGGAGTTTATAGGAGGGGACTGCTGCTCCGGCTTGACAGTGACGGAGTCGGCTGAAGCCTTGGGGCGATCCATTGGACGCGGGTGTGGATCTGGTGCGTGCGATAACGAGATCCGGGGTGAAGAAGTGAGGGCCGAGGCGAGGCGAAGACGATGGATAGTGATGGGGAAGACGAATGGAGAAAAGTTTCAGGGATGTAGACGTAGAGCCAGGGCAGGGCAGGCAAGCAGCTTCGCCTGACTACGGCTTGGGCAGTCCGTCCTGCCTGGTCATCGAGTCTAATAGACTAACAGCAGGAGGATGGGGCTTGTCTCAAACAATGCTGGGTGGATAGATGGATCATGAGGCTGGGCAAGAACAGCAGCTCCAGCAGAGGTGAGGTGGATTCGGGGCACAACCTCGGGAAGACAGGCAGGCATACAGACAGGCAGAGAGACAGGCACAGTACTGAAGTCCCCTCGCACGTGTAGCGGACGCGTCAAATCCGGCCGTCGGGTCTACCAGTAGTCGTCAGTCGGACTGGGCCATGCTAGGTTGGCCTGGGACAATGGGCCAGTGTCGAGTTCGAGTCGAGCCGAGTCGAGTCAAATCGAGTCAAGAGTCAAGCTGCGTGTACGTAGTCGGTCCGAGCTGAAATCGGAAGCTTTGCCGTGGCGTGGGCTTGTGGCGTGGGACGACAGTTGCTGCTGTACGGGCGAGGTCAACTGGATCGAGGTTCGGCTTTGAGGTCGGCCTGAGATCTGGTTTCCAACGGCGGCGAGTGGATGTCGACACCTGCGCACGTAAGCAGCTTGAATCCACCCAGGACCCAGTCCAGTCCGGTCCGCTGCAATCCAGTCCAAGTCCAATCCAATCCAAACAGACGCGCCAATTATTTCAGATCATCCAGGCTCGATACAGGACAACTCGAGGCCGAAAGTGTGTGCACGGTAATGCCGCGTCAAAGAGGAGAGCAGAGCCAAACGAAGCCCGAGAAACTTGGGGGTGAGTGGACGGCCACGGCGGGAAGGGCCTGACCGTTTCAAAGTACCTTGGTACTTGCCCCCAATGGAACCTTAAAAATCCTCCCAAGTGGGAAGGGGAGGTGGGGATGCATGGGCGGGGGTGGGGCAGCAGGGGATATGTACCTCCCGCAAACATGCACCGGCCTTTGGTCCCCGTAACCCCATCACAAGACGTCCCTCGACTGCCCTTCCTGAACAGCTCCCGTCGCACCTCCTTCCGTCCCCCCCTCATAAATCCGGGGAAGGGGAAGGAGCTGGCAGGGCCACTTGTGCACTATGGAGCCACCACTACCGACGGCTATGTTCCCAACCAGGCATGCCCCCAACGATGGCAACCCGAACAGTCACAATCCAGCCACTCAAGTCTGCGAGATCTGGCAGACCGACCTTCTACATACGTCAGGTTACACCCCGGCTCGGAGGGCGGAGAATTCGATCTCGCCTTGGCAATATCTGGCAGCTGCTGGCCGTACCTCGCCTTACCTCGAACTGCCTAAAGATACGTTGGCTACGTTGCATCAAATTCGACATCTACGTATCTTCCAAGGTTTAATAAAAAACTCTAAGTCTGTCGACTTTAGGTTGTCATCCCCCGGCTTTCTTACCCGCAGTCCAACACCTCTGACCCATCTTGTTCGGACGGTACCGCGTCCATGGTTCAACTGTTCCGTCCGTCCACGTCTCGTCCCGTCTTCCGAGTGCGTCCAGTGCATCTTCGTCTGGACCCTCGACTGCTCTCGTTTCACTCCCGTCACTACGCCGCCCGAGCAGCGCTACATCGTGCCAAATTTCCAAACAGCGAACGGTCTCGGCCAATCAGCCGCATCCTAACGTCGGCTTGCGCCGACTATTCCTCTGTGAGGGTCCTCTTGGGCAACTCCCGTTACCAACCCGCAACCCGAGATACCCGATCAGATGGGCTCGGTCCTCTGATGATGACTGAACACCAAGTGGTGCAGCTCGCTTACCATTCCTGGCCTAATAACTACGCAAGGATCGCACGCTTTGCCAAAATGAATTCCAGTCCGAGCGCAATGGTCGCCACTACACTGCAGACATAAATCCCCAGCAACGACACCCTGGGGCGCGTCCTTGAGTGAGGCGGCTCTCCAGCCTCCGCGCCGTTCGGATCCGTGTCTCGACACTGCTTCTTCCCCACATGCCCACTGAAGGCTGAGACGAGTTTCTGGCTACGTTGCCCCTGCGGCATTCGACTCAATTTTTGCAGAGCCTACTGAAGATATGCTGGCAACGGGCTCCTACCTGGCCATGTCGGAATCGTGGTAGCAATGTAGGTCTTCCTCGTAAGATGCGGGCATTTTCACCAGCGTGACGAGCATCATAGGTGCGCCTCGGTCAGGCTGCAGCCAGTTTATTCGTTCCACTGCAAGAACGCGCACAGTATCATTGATGCTTGATGGCATTGTGGTCGACTCTGGGTATGATCAATATGGGACTCGCGGAATCAAACGAGGAAGGACAATGGGCATCTTCATGGTGCTCCCAAAGAGATTCTTCCCATTCTCGGAACCAGCTGTTGATCTTGCTTGCCTCGTGTGAGCATGATCCCCAAAAGGTCGACTCGCAACTGAGCAGTATTGCTAAAGTGGTCGAGGTACGCCCGTACATATGAAATACTGAAGTAACTTGTCTATATGATTTTCTCAATATGTGACAAGTAACAGGCTCTTTCAGAGCGTAAATTCGCTCCCGGCTACTATAATTTTAAACCGCCCGGCTGTCCTTTCGCAAACAACGGACTGCTGAAACTATAGGGGATGCCCAACAAAAAAGGCGGCGAACGTAAGTACTGCAACGCAGCTATCTGACTTGAGCAGGCACTCACGCATTTCCAACGATAAGCAGATGCCCGAAGCCAAGTTAAGCGCCTAGTGGACAAATTCAACGCAGCATTAATGGCTTCAGTCTTCACGCGTACGGTATCTCTGCTCTTGAACGGCGCTGCGCGCCTGATCAGATCCTTCCTACGGGCTTCGCGGGCTTGGGAAATTACCCCATCGCGGCATCCATCATCTAACACCAATGGCCGGGAAGCAGAGAAGCGGCAAGTTTAGGGCACCACGAGGGCGACCTCGGGAGGATATAGAAGCCGTCAACCACCAAGCCCTGACTTGCGCTGGTCAGTCGGGTATCCTCGAAACACTTTCCCACAACTGATACATGGTATCGGCTTCTCAGCGCGGCCATCGATGACGAAATGGGTGATATTGCCATCTGACATGGCGAAGAAGACGTGCACTAAGGCGATCGTGGTAATGGCGATCCAGCGCCACTAACTAGTCGTAGGAGGCCAGCTTCAGGCGAACGGGCTTCGTGCAAGCCTTACGTGCGCATGCCTGACGACCTGACGACGGGGGCCGAGCCAGCCGAGCCAAGGCCTGGGTGGTGCGCGGTGGTTCATCGTCGTCCGCAGGTACTTGGGGGGTAGGATCTGATGCCATAGCCCACTCCATCAGCCTGCGCGATGGTGGCGGCTGATATGGTCACCGCAGACGCCCATGCGAGCTTCTTTGCGGCTATTCAATCAGTCATCGTGCGTTGGTATTGCCCAACTCGACAAATGGGGAAGTACATAAAGCCGGCGTAGGCGAGGATCGATCAAGTGTGAAGAGATGTGAAGCGAGCGGCAGAGTCATGAAGCCAATGGGCAGCGCAGTGCTCAGCCGTGGGTGCTCTCCTCATGACGAGGAGAGGTAGAATAACCATGTCTGTGATCAGCACGAGAGCGGCGAGTGCGAGCCCTCTCCCTTCCTCCGGGGGAGAACAGGAAAAGAGAACGGCACCACGTGATGCCGTTTGCTTCAAGTTCGAAGAGGCCATCGGATAGCTATCCGCGGGTGCTCCATGGGCCGCAAAAGGTGGGAGAGTTCGAGTTCGAGTTTTGGCCGAAGCGGATTGAGCACAGGTGTGACCGTAGATGAACACGGAGTGCCGCGCGTGTTGATTACCCTGTCTTCCTGGGGCGACAGGATACTTACCTAGTACGTCGACCTATCTTGGGTTATTGATTTGCGCATACGGACCGGGCTAGACAAGCGGAGGCATCAAAATATTGTCAATCTTCAAGCAAACCGGTGAAGCCGTATGACTTGGTGTTAGACCTCATGAGATCGCTACTCAGTAGTAGTGCCCACGAAAGCAGAATCCATGGTGTCGGTGGGTTGGTGATGTGATGCGTCGAAGTCCGTGTTAACGAGAAGATATGGCACGGGCCTTCTATGAAAATCCATGTTGTGGTGTTGCAATCCGTGTGATTCTGCGTGTGATTATGTATTAGGAAGTATGTAGTTTTCGAAACGAATAAGTACTTTTTTAATCTCCCAGGCGTGATGTGATATTCATGTTGCTCACCTCTCGTGAGTTCCTGAGTCCATTGCTCGGCCCACGAAATGGCGTGCTTTCTCCAAAGGAGGAACAGTCCGAGCTTTAAAATTGCAAGCATGGGTATAGATAATACTATCATATTTTCTAGGGATGTTGTAGAATTTGAGCTTGCCGGATGTTCGTATGACGACACCATGTGAGGCTAGGAAAATGATTGTGAAGAGACTGGCTTGGAAAGCACTGACAGTGTCCTTTGGGAAGGGGAATTCTCGGAAAGTGATATACCGGTATTTCATTTTTAGAGGCTCGTGGTTCAGCTGATATCATCTCCTGCCAACCAATACAATTCGCTTCAATGCCTGCTTGGGTACTCCGAAGGATTGGTGTAACCTGCGAATGCGACCGACCCCTAGCAGTTATTCTCCAATATTGCCACAACAAACATGATGAAACGACAGAAAAGGTTAGGCTCTTTCCGACGGCAGGAAAACATCCAGCACAACGCCAGCTCTACGAATTTGAGATTGCGGGGGCGTTTTCGTGGGGAAATTCTTCATTATTTGACACTTGGCGACGCGTGGTCAGAGCAGGGGTGATAAGCAGAGGAAAATTAGAAGACCACGAATGGACAGCTCTCCAATGTCTTGAGATGCTATGATTTCAGCACAGTGCATCTCATTCGTACCCGATTCGGACCGCATACCAAGTCTCGGTATCCATCATGGGTATGGTGAGATATGGACCTCGGTAGATCTTGCCATACAACCGAGCTCGGGCAGAGGATGGCGAGGTGAGACAGATAAATTGTTCCCGCGGTAGCCCAGATGGCCTTGTGTGGGGAATATAGAAGTACCTGAGGGGTTCAAGTCAGCGGGAACTGGGGAGAACTTGAAGCCTCCCTTGCACAATGAAACGAAGCAAGAACAAGTGGAGAGATTGTGGCAAACGTCAAGCGGATCCCCAGCCGTCGAAGCTGGCCCAAAACATAAGCAGTGCCGTTTCCGTGCACACGCACATGTCTAGGGGTCTTGGGAAGCGGAATGCAAATGGAGGAGACGCGGCCCGCAGCCCGCAAACACTGCTGTTCGAAGCCCGGGAAGAAGCAGGCTCTGTGTCTTTTCCGAGGACACTCGGACGGAACATTCCCAACAGCACGTTGTCCCATTGGCAAGAGGCAGAGCTCTTGCATGTAGATCCTGCGGTGCTACCTGTACCTAGGGAGGGAAAGAGCCTTGGAAGTCACGTGCAGCTCCAGCAGCTAGAGCTGCACGGCCTAAGCACATCAGCCCAGCCCAGCTATCTACTTAAGGACCAGACAATGACAGGTCTGATCTCACCTGTGACCTCGGGATGCCCTCGCACATGTGCTGCCTCACACGCCCCCAGTCAACGGCACCCGGCCGCCAAAGATGAGTCGGTGCATAAAGATCCACGAGATCCCGTTCCGCGACCACGCCAACAACGTCTCGCTGATGGTCTTCTGGGCGCCCTCGGACCAGCCCCTGCCCCCCCTGTACAGCTTCGCCATCTACGTCACATGCCCGGACACCTCCTCGCCCGACCTCTTCGACGCCGCGGACCTCCTCAGGGCCCTGTGCGAGTCCAGCTACGCCCCCGAGACAACCGCCTACCGCCTGGACGTCTACTTTGCGCCCTGGGCCACCGTCGAGCACTGCAAGAAGCACTACGACGCCGAGAGGGCGTCCAGGGGCCTCTACACCGAGCAGACCGAGGCCCTGCGGAACCCGATCGGCTGGAGGGGCAGCACCAGCAGCGAGATCGCCGCCTCCACGACCAGGCAGCGCCTCCCGGGCCTGGTGCCCTCGTACCTGCGCCCGCCCACGGTATGCCACCACGACGTGCTCTTCATCTGCGATGAGCCCGACTGGCCCGAGGGCGACGACCTGATCTTCGTGCAGTTCCGCCGCCAGCACCCCGGAGGAGATCGAGCTGGAAGGGGGTGGGGAGCCGCTGGACGAGACGCTCGAGATCGTCGCGCAGACGGCCACGCAGAGGCTGCCCGTGTGCCCGGACCCGGAGGAGTATGACGGCTCCGGGACGGTGCAGGGAAGGATGTACGACATGCTGCTGCTCAAGGATGAGCAGTTGAACGAGCCTTATGAGGAGGCGCTGGCGCGGGGGTGGAGATCGTGGTGAGACCAGACTGGGCAGGATTAGCTTTGTGCTCACAGGAGCACATAATGTCAACGAAACAGCTCAGTATGAACCCGGAGCCTGATGAAACCAGAGCACCACCTAATTATATCATTATTCAATATGTCTTCACGATATTTCACACTATCTGGGATCATCGTGTATCCTGTCTCATCATATCTCACAGTCAAGTCCAGGAGCCTCCTATTCACAAAATTGAGCCTCTCATCTCACGAATCAGTGACATCAAACCATCAAGGTGAAGATCTGTCTCATGAGTCGCGTAGCGGCAGTACATCTGTTTATTCGAGGTGCTGGGTTTAGTCTTCGGCATGTCGTGCCATGACCGAATTTCGTGTGACATTACCGGTATGTAACCTTCAGCTACAACACGGCGACTCTTTCGTTAGGTGTCTGTGTCTATTCTCTCGTCAAAATGGTATGAGTGGCTATCTGCCTCTTTGATCTTTAAGATGTCACACGCTGATGTCAAGATGGGCTCATACAGCACTCTCTGAGCCCTCACAACTCCCGAAATTGAAAAGAAGCAAAATGGTTGGTGCTGAAACACTGATGCACCACCGCCAGAGCCGGGTATCTTGAGCGAATGTGGGCCACAAACCAGAGTATTTTCATAGGGAGATGAATTGCGAGGTATGCCGCCGGTATTACGTCCTTGGTTGATAGTAAATCTGTCACAGTTGAGCTGTATAAGTAGGTAGATTTACTTCATAATTCCGGTCAGTCCTCACGCAGCGGGTGAAATATGAGAATTATCCTGAACCAAAGATGCCCACGTAGCCATGGAACGTCATATCTAGGCATAGACAAGTGTACTGAATCTCAATTTCTCAATCTATCAACTTCCATAAGGACTCACCCTGCCCTGGATCTATTGCAACTCACATGTTCTGCTTTATGCAGGGCCTTCATCGTCAAAGAAGACTTCGTTGAGAAGACTGTACAGAACTTTCTGTCCAGCCCACTGCTCCTCAACAGTCGGCCGAATCTGCTCAGGCGGCAGAACAAAACCAAAGTCCCCGGTGTCAGGCAACTCAATCGTCCACGAGAAGTCCGCCCCTCCAATGGCATACACATGATCACGCGAGTTGCCCACAGACCGGTACAGAATCGCACCCCCAGGCCCAAACGTAAAGGTCGTCCTCCGGTCCGAGCTGTCGCGGATCTCCTCACTCATGAGCGAGCCCGTCCTGCTCCACTTGCCCAGCTGCGGGAGGTAGATGGTCTCGTTGTAGCCGTAGGGAAACAAAAAGTACTGCCCGTAGCTGTGCCAGTCGATGTACAGCTTGATGCCGACCCTGTCGCGCAGCTCGCGCACCAGCCCGTCGAGCCCCTTGTTCTCGGGCGAGTCTGACGGCGCCTCCCCGCCGTACGTCTGCCCGCACGGGTCGGCCGAGGCGCCGCTTGATGTCGGGTTCCAGGCGAACTCCCAGTTCCTGTTGATGTCGCGCCCCACGCAGGTCGAGTTTGCTGGTCCGGGCTGGCGGTTCTTGCGCCACAGTCGTTCGGTGGTTTGCGTGTACACGAACCCTGCTGTATGTGAGCTTGATGCAGGGCTTTGATGGCAGCTGTCTTTTTTCGTTTCTTTGCTGCTTACCGTCGGGATTGACTATCGGGACGATGTAGAAGTCAAAGCTGTCCAGAACAGTGCGGGTATCGTTGTCGCCCCCTTTGTAGCCGTGGATGAGCTGCAGCGTGAGATACTCAACGGTCTAGGTCAACCAAGTCAGCCACATGATTCGCCAGAGAATATGAATGCCTCTCACCAAGGTTGTAATCCATTCCCGAGCGTGTACAGTACCATGGTAGAGCACTGCAGGCTTTCCCGGGCCGGCGTCACCCCACAGGTGAATACCAAAGAGATCCCGGCCCTCGTAGGATGTACCAGAAGAGATCAACTCAGAGTTGTTTGGGAACAACGCCTGGAGGTCCTCAAAATATTGAATGTGGTCCTTATATGGGTGGTACGTGTCGTACCACGAGAGATCGTCAGCCTGTCTCTTCCACGTGCTCTGTGAAGCGGATTCTGCGGCGATGGACTCTCCAAGGTCCGTATGAAGGATGGTACTCCTGAGTTTGAGGGATTCGAACTGGGCCAGTTTCTCGGGTGGGACGACAACATCGAAGTGGCTGCCCACGGTTTCTTCCTTCCACGGCTCCAAGGATATGCTGGCAAGCCTCTTCAGCACTGCATTTGGCCGTCCGTCCGTCTTGACGCGGACCACTTTGTGTCCGTCATATTGCCCCTTGCTGGCCTGTGTATGACCCAGTGCGATGGAGCCAAGACCCGAACATGTCCAAAGGAGCTTTGAGAAACGCATTGTCAAGTGAGCAACCTGCGAAACAGCTTAATACTGTATCTAGGCTTAAATGTGGTCACTAGTAAAGAAGGGGGGCCAACACTAAAGATAATCTCGGGTGCAGGTCAGGTTGAGTTAATTATACTTCATATACCTGGACAGTTCATGCAAAAGCGTCCCGCCTACTTCCCTGCATGGTTTAATTAGCCGTGTCTAAACGGCCATCGTCGATAACATGAGGGGAAACAATTGTAGCCGTCAGCGCACATATGTACCTGCCGCATCGGTTCTCGAGAAATCTTGGCTTTTCTTGTCCCGCAACTGCAATGCTCCTCTCGCCACTCACTAGGGGATGGCGCCATGCTTCTCACGAAAGAGTTCCCCAAAACAGCACAATATTCATGTAGGAGAGACGCACTCGGGAGCAAGCGAGGAGACTAGCAAATGGAACGTGGATGAATTGCATAGGCATGGCTGTATCGAGATGTTTTCTGTACGCTGAGTAATTCCTACTCAGTGGACTCGACCACCTTTCGTGCCCCAAGATCGTACCGATCACCATTCCTCAAGTAGTAAAATATAGAAGACGAATCAGGCAGGTTCTTGAGCTCGCTGCCCTCCCTCGACCAGAACCCCCCGTCGTAGACGGCGACGTAGCTCGCCCCGATGACCTCAGCATCGTTCCCGGAGACAACCAGCGCCGTGTTCTCATCGATGCCGAACGCGAGCAGCTCAGGCCTGACCTTCAGGATGTCGAACAGGTCGAACACGCGGTTCCGCACCAGGACATGCTGGTCGATAGCCGTGTTCTTCAGATACCCAAACCCGACCTGGTGATCCCCAACCATAATCTGGTTGTTTGCCGTGTCCCCCCGCGCAAGGAAACTCCCCTGGATGCTCGCCCCGGCGCTTGAACCTCCGATGACACCGCCGCGCTCGAGGACAGCCCTGAACTCCGCCTCAGACCTTGTGCCCGCGTACGCATCCACAAGGCGCCACTGCCTCCCGCCGCCGAACCACACCCCCGTCGCGGCCAGCAGCGGCGCGACAAACTCCTCCGTGTCCGCGACGGCCGGGTCGTAAGTATGCAGCACCGTGACATTCCCCGCGCCGAGGCGCCTGAACGCCGCCGCCCCAGCTGCGTCCTGGTCGTGCGAGTCCGCTCCGTCAGCCGTCGGGATCACCACGATGGAGGAGGCGGGCCCGCTGCCGCCCGCCAGGTCGATGACGCGCTGGTAGATGCTGTCGCTGAGAGAGCCGCCCCCCACGACGACGAGAGAGCCTCTCTCGGGGCCGACGGTGGATGAGTTCTGCGCATGGGCTGTCGTGGCGAGCAGGCCCATCGCTGCGGTGATGAGGCGGAGGATGTCGGAGGTGATCTTCATCTTGTCGGGCTGGTGAGTTGAGACTTCCGGTTAGTGTACTTACTCGACGATAAACCAGGCCAACCCGGCAAATCCAGCGGCAGCCTATCCACTTTATATCATTGCTACGGCTTTTACCTAGCCATCACCACAATACTTGCAGCGATCGCGCAATGCCAGATGCGCGCCCGTTGATCGGCATTGGGCTTCCCGCTTTGGGCAGGTGTCGCTAATAAGAAGCTCGGCTAGCTTCTTGGCTGCGGTAGATGTTTGCTACGCGGATACATTATCTCTCTGCCTTTACAAATAGGAGCGTCCTATCGGAACAGATGATGATGCGCTGATGCCTTTCATCATCTCAAGCCAACGAGGTGACATCAACTGGGCGGTTCCACAGACATTTCGTGAAGGAAGTTGACGTTCTTGGGGGAACGAACCCCTCTTTCATTAGCCTTTTCAAAAATTGAATTAATGACGGAGAAAGCTGTGACGCTGTCTCATCGCGCTGCGTCCTCCCTACTATGCTTCTTGCTGATATACTTCAGTTTAAGAGCTACCTCAGTGCAAGACTCAATCCAAAAGAGAGGACAGCAACCATCACATGAGATTTGTTCCGGGGGCGTTTCTCATGTTCATCCCCTCCCCTTCTGCAAACCCTTGGGAAGGCTTCAACTGATGCCACCGAAAAGAGTTGAATCGATTCCACTGAAGCTGAACCAGATCAAGCGAATTCACAGGCAGACCAGACAATCCAAGCTTGAGAGTCGCCATCGCACATCAAACACCGTACACATTCCAAGCCCTTGTGCGAAGCACACACCTCATTGATCATCATAAGGTTGATGCTGGTCACAACCATACTCGCCAGTCTCGTACGCGCGGAAGTGGATGCGAGGCGTTCGGTTCTCGAAGCGCGAGATCCCACAGAACTCCTCGAAGCCGCCCGCGTTCCAGATCTGGCCCTCCTCCTCCTTGCAGTGCCTCACAGTCCTGTAGTCCACGCGATGGGCAAGCCACCACGCCGTCTGGGAGTAGAGGCGGACGTCCCTAAGGCCCGGGAGCCCAGAGCCGGCACTCACATACGCCGCGAGGTACTTGACGAACGTGAGCGTCGCCCCGGCCGCGTACGAGGGCAAGGTTTGCTGCCACGCATCTCGCGAGAGGGCGGCGATTTGGTTGTCCCAGCAGCTAAGGCACGTGTTGAGCTGCAAATGCTCGAGATTCGGCGGCAGAACACTGGGCGGTAGGGGCTCAGCCTGGGGCTGGCTGTTTTCGCCTCGGTAACACATCAGGTGGTGCATCCCGATCTGCAGGTAGGTAAGGTTGCGCAGCCCTCCCAGGCTGGTGATGCCGCCGGCTGGGCCCAGGTGCATAGGAAAGTTGATTCGTGCGAGCGCTGGTGCTCTGCGGAAGTGTAGCCCTAATGCTAGAGAACAGAGATGTTGCATCTTGGCTAGAGTGGCGCTTAGGTTCAGCCGATCCGGATTGACCTCAGTGAGTCCGCCTGGAAACACTTGGCAATTCATCTCCTGGGCATTGGTTGAGAACTCGAATTCCTCCAAATTCGGGAAGGACCGGCGTATGACGTCTGCCTCGGATGGGATGAGAGCAGAGCTCCTCAGTGAGAGTTTCTTGATGTGAGGATTCTGGGTTCCGATGTCATAGTCCGAGGCGAGGATCATTGACCACGCTCCTGTGTCCCTCATCGAGATTACGCTTCTCAGTGACGGAAGTGCAAAGAATACACAATGCATGTATGGTATGCCATTGCTTGTGAAGCAGAATTCTTCGAGAACTGGGAGGAATGTTTGACGTTTAGTTTTTAAATCATTCCCTATGCGCGCCCTTACTCGTTTGTAGAACGTGTCGTAGCCGTCTGTGATTGTGTCAGTGTTGATTCTTGTTCTGGAGCAAAGCCGGTGCGACATTGGTCAAAAAACACTCTCGGACATAAAAAGCCAGGTAGTTTTCAAAGCTACACTGAGCTCCCTGAAAGTTTCCGGTTCGTAGGAGCAATACAGTTCATGGGCTGTGTCTTACCATTTGGCCTTCCGGCAGCAATGTCTTCCGGGCCGCTATTCCGGAAACACTTGGTGCATTCCTTGAGGTCGAGTGACAGCGACTTCAGTCTCGTGGTCGTGTTGAGGACTCTGTACAACTGGTCACATACGTCCCAACTTCGTCCTTTCGAATTGCACCAGCAGATTCTGAGATTGACAGACAGCTTTCGAACATACTGTCCTAGTTCGGGTTGGGACTCGACTGTGTTGAAGAAAAGTTCCAATTGCTTGGTCCCCGTAATGTGCACGAACTCGTACAGAGCGCGCACGGCAGTCGGGCAGAACCTCCTGCACACCAGGCAAAGTGGACACGGATTTCGCCTTCTCAGTCCTGTCTGGTCTCCTGTGGTCACATCAGGTTCGACGGCGAGGTGTTGTGCGATGATATGCAAAACCTCTGTCGGGAGTGAATTGATGCTTGCTGGGGCCCTAACGGGTTGGGGAAACTGCATTGGGCGCCGATTGTCCATGATGGTTGCTCTCGACAAAGCTTTCCGTGAAACTTTTGTCACTTTGTGTCGTGGATGTATGTCAGTGTGTAATGAATGTCTAGTAGTTCGGCGGGAAAGAAGATTGAAAGTTGTTCTGCAACTGCTGCAGACTGGGGATACCAACCGCTGTCTGCTATCCTGATTCTCGAGTGGCGCTGTCATACGAGGTTGGCATCACAGGAAAAGAACCATGGCTGCCGTGCAGTCCATCGTCCCGGTGTTGGCAAGAAAAATTTTGGAGGGCAGAAAGAGCTGTTCGGGGGGTGCTCAAAGAGTCTGGAGCGTCCACAGCCAGATTCCGGGTCCGGGGAAGGGAGGGCAGCCTCGCGGTCGCTTAGGGGCCTCCTAAGTCTTTTTTTAAGGACCGAGGCGGCGTGCATACCATAGCACGCCTATCTACTGACTTCTTTTCAGCTCACGCCTGTGCGCACTCATGCCACGCAGCCTTTCAGTGTTTTAAACCAGGGACGAGTCCCAAGTACTTTTTGGTAACCACACCTAGGTATCCAGATGACCTCCATTATCGTCAGTCCGTCGGTGTGTTCGAGCACTCCAACTGGAGCTACAATCACACTAATCGGTCGGCCCCCTTTGTGGATCTACCTGTGCCCACCAAGAAGAGCCGCGAAGTGATTAGACGCCCGAAGGAACACGGAATCCCTTCCGCAAAGTGCTTGCCCGTGCTGCTCAGGACCTCATCTACAACTGTGTCGAAGCGTCCTCATCGGCACGTAGTACTTTCCGCAGCGACGACAATGTTCCAGGTCGCACAATGCAAACGTCTCTTCCTCCCAGTTCGGGTTTCCCGTAGAGTCCCATATGTCGAGTAACCCATTCGTTTTAGATATTTCCTTATTGCCATCAAGATCCGACAGGTCTGAACTCGAACGCGGACGACCACTGGTGGTATCTTCTGCAGCACCTGTTTGCAAAGGGCTGACTGGTTGGGCACTATAATCGCGTGCTTGTGCCCGATGGCTGCGGCGTGGTGGTTGCGGACACGTGGTTTGCGAAGGACGCTTGCCGTGCATAGAGGGCTTTGAGTCATGCTTTCTAGAAATCGATGGGCGCCGGACTGTCCTGGTTGAAGGAGTGGTCGGCCTCGAGACTTGTCTGTGTTCCTGTGTCTTCCGACCCCGGGGCGAGCCCATCCAACCCTTATCCTCGTATCGGTACTTTGCCGACTCGTGTTTGTCATCACGGCCAGGATTCCGAGGAGATGTGAAGAAATCTCGAGATATCCGCTTGGCTGACTGTAGAATCCCTTCCGATGGCGGTTGAGTTTGACGCCTTCGTGAGGCGGCTCGAGGAAAGCCTCGCTTTGGTGTTGAGGGCTCGGGCGGGTGTTGTGCGTCGCCGTGTGCTCGGTCTTTACTCTGTAGGCGCCTGCTTTGGGATCGTGAATGCCGTTTCCTTCCTCGAGGCTCTTCGCCGTGACGCTCCGCCGGTGGTCTTTCCTGATTGTTCACGTCTTGGTAATGTGGGGGCGACGCCTGCCACAAGTGCAAGGGGTTCGCCCCGTAGGCAGGATTATGACTGGGAAGTGTCAGCTGAAAGACCCTGCTATCAACAGCAGATACTGAAGGGGACAAGGGGAAGTGTGTCTGACTTGTCCTGGAGATGATAGCCGTTGTTTGGTGTTGGCGGTACTGAAAACTGGGTGTCATAGTACCCAGACTGTAGTTGCTGGGGGTCAGGAGCGTAGTGGCTCATGTTCACATTCCAAGGACTTTGTACCGCGTTGTACTGTGATGCGTGGTAGTAGGAGCCGTTTGTATCGTAGTAGGTGATTGGCAATGACGCCGCAGGAGGTATCGGGGGCGGTAGAGGCAATGGCGGTGGAGGGGAGAAGTTGTGGTAGGTTGTTTGATGGGACACTTGGAACGGCGACCCTGACGCGTGATGAAACTGTGAATTTTGCCAACCTCGATGGCGAAGATGATTAAAGGCTGGATTCATGGTGCTGGGTGGGACGGATGACCCGGTGGACTGGATTGGAGTCGTTTGGAGCTGTGGACGACAGAGGTTGGCGTCGGCTGGAAAGCAAACGGGCCGTGATGCAGCCCCTTCCAGAATTGTAATGAGGATCCGAACGATAAGATGTGGCCAGTGCTGCGATTCTCTTTGTGTCGTTGTTTCGAATCTGGACTCGAGGTTAGTTTGGGTTGGGTTGGTGATGGCAAGTCGCGTGCATGGAAGTAGCCTCCCAGCTGCCCGAGTGCGACTGCCACATCGGCGGTGTTGACGATTGTGTCACGCCTGCTAATTCCATGGACGCACTACACTAGCAGGACATCCACAGATATCGAATACAGAATGCAAGCTTTTCGACCGTTCGCTTATTTCACCTTTTGACTACCTAAGAAATACAGAGGTAGGCTGGATATCGGCGGCCAGGAATCCTCAGATGTGCTCGGGCCTGTACTCGTCCTTCAACGCGCCGATCCCGATCCTCGCCTTGTAGCTCGACGGCTCGAACCCACCGAAGTCGTGCACCGTGTAGTGCATCTGCAGGAAGCCGGAACCGAATAGGAACAGCCCGTCCGAGCCGCTGGGGTCGAATGGCGGCCAGCAGTACTTGTCCTCGCCCGTCGCGAACCCAGGCTTCTTGAGCATATCGCCAGTGAGGACGAGCGTGCTTGGGTTGATGCTGTCGCCGATGTTGAACTCGATCGACCACGCGTCCGTGAACTCGGTGCACAGCGGGAGGTAGCCACCTTCGGTGATGGCGGTCCAGTTCATGCCGATGCTCGCGTAGATGTCCTCGATCAACGGGTCCGGCACCGAGATCCGCCCTGCTCCTGTGTCGAACACGCCCCATGCGCCCGAGAGGGTCACGGTCGACTGGGTCTTGTTGGGCGTCGTGCCGACTGCGTACAGCATGTCGACGCGCCACAGCTGGGCGCGCTCGTCAGGCAGCGACAGGCTGGTCCAGACGAGATCGCCGTCGACGTATGTGTCCTCGTGCGAGCCACCCAACGTGAGCCTTCCCTCGCCGGCGCTGTCGCCCGTGCTCTCCAGCTCGACGCCGTAGTAGAGGCCAAACCGGGGCTCGTCAAGCTTGCCCGACCACAGGAGCGTCTCCACCAGGGTCGTCGTGTTGGCGTCCGAGATGGTACTGAAGGCCAGGCCCAGGAATCCGTCCGCTGGGATGTTGAACCAAGAGGACTGGAAGGCCTCCAGGAAGGTCTGGGTCCAGACCGTGTCAGGGGCGGACGGGAACGTGAAGACGTCCTCCATGCCAACACCAGCCGTCACGCCTCCCAGATACTCGATCGACCCGTACGCGCCCGTGGCGTTGGATGTGGACGAAGTCGTCTCATTGTATCCAGTCCGGTTGAATCCGCTGTTGTTGGGGCAGAGGGCTGTCCCATCGCACTCTGCGGCAACCATCCAAGTCGTCGAGCTTCCACTGTCGAACAGCAGGGTATGCGTGACAGGGGGTGTTCCAACCTCCACATCAACCACCGACTGGGTTGCACGTCAGCACAACTTCATCCTCAAGTGAGCATGTCGCGCAGCAGGACTCACGTAGCCATTCTTCAGCCATATTGGAAGGTCAAGCACTGCTGAAAGGGCGCCTGGCAAGCAAGCCAGAGAGAGCAATGCGGCCGACATTCTTCACAAGCGAACGGAAGGTGTCCGGGAACAAAAAACGAGGGATGTTCAGCGGTGGGAGCTGATGGGCGAGAAAAAGACGTCTTCTGCCACGCGATGGCCAGCGGCTGGGCTATGTAGGATGCATGTGTTTATCCCATCTTTCCAGCCCGACGTTGGGTGTGGGTTCATTTCGGGGTGGGTCATCCCAGCCCGGTGAGGGTTGTCGCTCCACGATGATGCTATTTGTGTTCATGCGTCCTCCCCTTCCCACGCTTGGCATTTTTCCTAGCAGCATACCAACACGAGGAATTCGTATTAAGGGGCCACTATCTGTATGGTTAAAAGTGCCGGTGACAAAATCCCCGCGTTATTTATCTACACGTGCATACTCTTGATCCACTAATGGCCCGCACTCGACCGATGGCAGTCCCGAAGATTGCCGTGCATAGGGGCAGAACACCCGGAGGGGAGTGCCAGTAGGAGTATAGATTAGCGGAGCAGGGCTGTGTGCTAAGGACTTAGTGTTCTATGGAATGTGCCGTGCTTGGCCTAGTCCTCACGGTGCAGCCGGCGCCTGAGCGGGACGATCCACACGATGTTCACTTAACCTTATAACCTTGTTTTTTTCTAGACCACTCCGTCAGCCACCAGACTCCAACATCTGGCCTTTAGCCCGGCCGAAACTTGATGCATAGATCTATCTAGTTTGACAGAAGAAAAGGAAAGACAATATTGTGTTATTGACATGTTGACCCGCCAGTCTGGGAGACACATTGGAGTGGCGACAGGCATGTCCCCGAGCACCCCCATCCCGTCATGCAGCCGGTGTAGCAGCACGTCCCGGCGACAGTGTCACAGGGCCACGGGTCGGCACAGTCATTGAGGTCTTTACAAGCCACTCCCGGGCACCCCCAGAAGCACGAGGTGCTGAGACAGTTGTATTGACAGTGAGCAGACGTCGTAGTGGGCGCCGAGGTGGTCAAGGTGCTCGTCAAGAGATCGGCCGCGTGTGAATCTGCGGAAGTCGAGGTGGGGACTGCCGATGCTGACGGTGAAAGCGAAGCAGTATTGGGTGCGTCGTGTTCCGTGGATGCGGTCAAGTCCGCAGTTGCATTCGAGGGATGTGACGGAGAAGTATCGGTACAGAGGCCAGTCCCTCGAGCACACACGGTCGACGTGGTAGATGACCTGGACTCAAGTTAGAGTTTTTGAGTCTGTTAGAGGATAATGCCACTGATTAAACTACCATGAGGACTGTACGGGCTCATTTCGATCGTTTCCACCTCTCCTCTCCATTGCCACAGCGATGAGAGTAGCTATGACACCCAAGACGAATATGAGAGCAATGCTAGAACAGGCCATCAAGAATCTCTTCTTCTGAGCCCAGTGAGGGAGGTGGTGATAGGACACTCGGTTATCAAAATATGGCCCACAGAACTGCTGGCCACCACCTTTCCCATCCCCTCTGAAGACTGCTCCCAGGGAGAGGTACCTGCTAATGTGATTTCGTTCAGGATTTTCGGGGCTCATTGGTCGGCTTGAGGCAGGTGGCATGGTTGAATGCATCTCGCTCTCATTCAGCACGCGACCCGAAAGATCGTTCTGGACTGTAGAACCATGCCGCTTTTATTGGCACACGATACGATGCAAACACTAGTAGTTTAGGGGGGAGATTGATCGGTGATCCAATAGCTACGATGGGCTGCAAACTCCGCCCTTGCCCTCCCGTGCCTCTGGTTCACCGGTAGAATAGCCGTTCCTACTGGGCCGTTTGAGGCTCTGCTGGGGCTGAATGTGCTCCTGCTGAATCGATCGATATGTCTGCCTGATGGCACTGATTAGGGGCGGGGACTCCTGAGGGAAGGCACCTCCTTTTCCTACTTGACTGCCTTATGAATTTTATTTCGCTCCGGATTCATGTCACATTACATGATGTAACTATTCAGAAGCTAGGTACTCCCCTTCCTTGTGACCATTCGCTCGATCATAGAAGGCGTGGTAGATGAACCTTTATAAATCTACGTCCGTTATTGATTCGCCCAGTGAGACGGTCAGTTGGAGAGCCTGGTCGGCGGCTGGCTGTATTGCCTAGTCAATTTCGATGTTTCTCTTTTTCAGGTTCCATTTCATGTAGAAAGAAACAGAAACACCTGACCGGTGCCCGATTCAGACAACTGCAGTGTTAACGACACATTTCATGCAAGCAGACCTCGCATTCTCCTTCCCTCTCCAAAATTACAAGAGCATGTCTGAGAGCGAGAATACGTCGTGTTACTAAGTAGCTGGCTTGGCCATCGGTACAGCACCGCCAGGTCCTGGCTGGTTCTGAGTGCAAGGCTTTGCACTTCGCCACCGGTCGACAAGACCACATGATCCGTACAGAGGTACCTTACAGGGAAGTAGTTTTGGGGGTTGTAGATGATGTGCACAACGACGGCTATGATCTATTGATGGTTGTGCACCCCCACCGGCGTCAACTGGTGTGGTTTCACCACAGACCCAGCCTTCTCTATTCACATGCAACGCCGTGGGCGAGTTTATCCGAAGCTTTCCAGCTCTAGAACAGACTGTTGCATATTTAGCGGCTGGTCTCGCGCATGTAAGTGCAAAAGCCCAACCCAAAGGCACACCGCAAGGCTGAGTTGGGCATTAAGCCAAGAATAACGAATGACACCACTCACCATTCACCGTATCTTCAAATGGACTGAAACGATGCCTACCCCTCATTCGACATGTATGAAGGATCCAAGATTTGTATCGATACAACCGCGACTCGGTGGGCTAATTGGAGATTCGGATCCCGACATGGAAGTGCTCGGAGCCGCTGCCGCCGTCTCGCAATTTCTGATACAGCTCATTGCTACTGTGGGACTAGCAAAGAAGTTAAAAGGGTCCTCCAAGTCCCTCAAGCAGTATCAGGAGCGACTGAATAGCCTCAAGGACCTCTGCGAAGACATTCGCAGCAACCCTGCTTTACGGACTGAGGAGGTCCGAAAGGAGACCCAATCCATTCTCCACATCATTGACACCCATAAAAACGCGTCCATTTTGTCAAAGAAAGGACGTTTTCGTCGAGCCATCGCCTTTATTATCAACGAGCAATCATTCAGGGACCTGTTCGCTACCCTTGAAGACAAAAAGACCACCTTGTCGCTTCATGTGCTGAGCATCAATTGCACGGCACTGCATGATATCAATCTCCTCATCGCATCAATGGGCGTAAGTTTTGCAACACATCAGATGGGATTCATATCCATGTTTTGTTCCGACGTCTGATCTTGTCGTTAGCCCATTCCTGACAGTCACAACGAACTGACTCCTCCGCACTCGCCGACACCATCCGAAATGTCGTATGACCATAGGAGGACAAACAATTGGTCGGCCAGACAAGCGGGTCAAAATACTGAACAAAAGGCTAGCTATCTAAATTGCCAAGCAGGGGATAACGTTGATCAACACAACGGACCGACCGTGAGAGGCGTAATGCTCACGCCCACCTATCAAGTTGAAGGAACCAAGATGGAATATCGCGGAAGCAAGAAGACGAAACGTGGTGACCAGATAGCTGGACTCACCTGGGAGCTTCCTCCACAGCCAAACCCAAGGGTTGACTTCATTCCTGTGGTATCGGCTGTTTGGGAGGGACTCAAGCACGAGGGGGTGGCAAATGCCCAGAGACCGGGAGCTCGAGCTGGCGAGCAGCTACTGGGGACGGTGATCACCGTGAAGAAGGACTCGCAGCAAAGACGCAACTCACGACAGTGACTACTTTGTGGCGCGGACGTATTTTAGATCCATCTGTGCAGGCAGTTTGGTCTTCTTGTCCCTCGCGGCAGAACACTTGAGTCAATATGTGCTTGCAAGACATTGGATCACATTCGTTTCTTTTTGTGGATGCGCCTGTCCCTTGATGCTCAAATAACATTCGCTAGACTCCCTAGGTAGTCAAATATGCACTGAATTTCCTCATACTGATGATATCGGGGAAAGCAGGAGAAGAAACTTTATAATTCCTGTTATGTGGCTCTCAGGTGGCGTAGGCGTCAGCAGATTCCTGCGAAATTGTACTCAAAACTCATCACAACAGCCTCTCCGTTCTGAAAGTCTCCCCTCAAGCCAAACCGCATATTGCCACCGGGATCAACCGACCGGTTTCCATGTGATTGCTATTTGTGGCGTTTATTACGATAGCCCTGAATATACAAATGTCGATGATATGGTGGTCTTCATTGCAAGAAGAAGAAAGCCATTTCCAGTTCACCCGCTGCCAGCCTGAGATGGCCCAAACATCTGTCACGGGGTAGTGTGGACCAGCAAATCTACATGTACTCCCCTCATAGCCAGCCCCTACTTCACAGCGCCATTCAGATTGGCTACTAAGATACACAAACATGATCAGTGAAACCCGAAGAAAATAGCACGCCCCTTGACCCTGGTGCTCGGCAAGGTAAACTGCATTGATATCACACCATACCGTCCGTTGAGTAATTATCGTCTAGTTACTTGAAAAATTCAACATTTCAGCGAACTGATTCAAAAGAAATGCCAGTGAGCGCACCTCCAATGTTCTTGTCCATATCATCAAAGCAATGTAGACGCAGTAACATGAGCATGAGCTTACCCACAGGACATGCTCAGTGAGGCAAGGTGTGCACTGAGCACCATGCGAGGGCGGGACATGAAATTGGAATGAAGTCACCGCACATATGTACTCAGGGGTCAGTTGATCGAATCGAGGCAGGGAAAGTTTCATTCATTCGTACGCTATGTCACTCACTCGACCTCTCGGATCATATGCTCCCACCTCAAGGCTCCCAAAGGTTCACTTTGGATGCATGTTCGGGCGGTCGGTTGAGCCTGGCATGTTGTCCTTCTCCCCATGGATCTCCAGGGTGCTAGGATTTCGGGGTTTCATCCAAATTTATGGCGGATGTCAGTGAAAAGACATGTCTGTTCCATGGAATCTACTACATGTAAATGTTCGCGATGAAGAATTACGAGCATCACTCGACTATGCCACGCAGCTCACACTTCTTCCCAGCCGCTTCGCCGAGCATTCTCTATCACCAAGACCATCCAGTCGAAAACTGCCTTGGCCGTTGATCCTCGTAATGCCCCTATCCCATGCGCAAGCCCCGCTCTTGGCTTCTGAGTAAGGAAGGTGGCAGCAGGAGGACTGGTTCGCGCACCTCTGTGCACTCCGAGTCCAGCTTCCTGTGCTGCATGAGCAAGTGACACGACATCTATATGACACTATACAAGGCTGTCCACTCAATTTCTATCAAGTTTTTGGTTGCTGGACTTGGCGCATACTTGAGCTGGAAGCGAGGTGTCGTTGCTTCGTGCAGCGTAGGTTGCTGTGTGACCCACGGGTTCCATTGTGGACGCATGGGGAGTGGACACGAGGCTGCTTCCTAGATTCTGAAAGCAATCTGGACACTTTCGACTGCAGCAATCACCTTAGGTTTTGAACTTACAACTTCTGTACTATTAGATAATTATAGGTATTGGACATGCTTTCTGGCGACGAGGCATGCCGCTGAGGGACCATATTCCAGTGGCCTCAAACATACGAACACTGTAAACAGCCTGAGGGTAAGCAAAATGTGGCTTGTATTTCACAGGGAAAGCAAAGGCACCTCATTGCAATATGAAGGGAGTACGTACAAGGTACCTGGTTCTTCCATGGATGCCTAGCGGGAGGCAAGCCAAGCTTTGCGCTACCCATCGTAACGGCCCCAACAAACGAAAAAAGAAAAAGGGGGGGGGGGTGGGTACGCTTGAAAGCAACAAGTCTCGGTGGTCAGATGACGAGTCTTGATCAGAAGTCACAATACTTTCAGTCACATAATTACCGCTGAGATTTTCCAGTTGCTGGGCGTCATCTTCTAGGTTGTCGATCAGTGAGGATGAGTGTGACATACAGAATGACACACATGGGCGATCACATCTGATTGAAACTAGACGGTCAAACGCAGCCACGAAACGTACACATGTAGTGGTTGTAGCGGCGAGCCTTCAGGTTTTGCTGTTAAACACAGGCCACCTAGCCTTCTGATCAGGATAGACACCGTGGGGGCTGACTTTCTACCACATCATCCAACGGACGATGAGATTTTAATATGTGAACCTTGGTGAGCAGAATCGCAATGGCCCTACAATACCGCATCACTCGGCTCACACATTGTATCACGGACAAACTAGGCCATAGGTGCAGAGAACCAGGATCCCGCATGAAGGCCATTTTATGCGCCCGTCGCGCAACGATATGCGAGGTTCTGACCAACCGGCATGCTTGTCACTCCAATTAAATACGATTGGCAAGCGTAAGCACTATTCTGTCCACCGAGTCCAGATACTTCGCAATTTCTATTTGCGATTCTTTCACGTCAAGCCAGCCTGGGACTGATTGGCGAAGGAACACACAAAGGAATGCGTACCACCCACCTCAACTCAGCGGAAGGCAAGCAGGCGGCTACCATCCGTCAGGCCCCGGATGCCCGTCTGCACGGTGCTGAAGCGAGTGTAGCCACAGCTCTCACTCTCAAAGTGGTTGATGATGGACGCGAGGCTGACGAACTCCTTGGGGCAGTTGGGGCAGTGATACAGCTTCTGCTGGTCTGCACAGGGGTCAGCATCATCAAGCATCATACAATGGCAGAGCCAATTAACGCACGAGCAGGTGACTGGAGGTGCTGGTTCAGGCTGGAAAGCCGGCCAAAGGTTCGGGTGCAGAAATAGCACTCGTAGGCGCCCTCGTAAGGGTTCCAGGCCCTGGCGGTGGCCTGGTATGAGTCGGAGCCGGTCCAGCCGATTAGCTTCTTGGAGATGACGCCTGAGGGATCCTTCTGGCGGACAATTTTGTAGACGGTATCCCGATCCATGGACTTGGCCTTGGGGCAAGCGCTGCTCTCGATGTGGTGCACGAGGCCCGTGGCGGTGGTGAAACCGCGCTGGCAGAAGGGGCAGGTGATGGCGGCGCCGAGGTGGGCGGCGGAGCGGAGGTGCTGCTGGATGTTGTTGTGGTTCATGAACTGGCGGTCGCAGTCGGCGCAGTAGTTGTGGTAGTCGACCTCGTGCTCCTTGCGCAAACGCTCCGTCTCGTACGTCCCGTAGCAGCAGGAGCACTCGTAGTCGAAGTGGTTCTTGTCGGCCTTGTGTTGCCACTGGGCACGCTGCGTGTAGAAGCGTCGCCAGCAACAGGTGCAGTCGTACGACATGTTGGCAGTGAGATCGCGACTGGATTGGCTGCGGGGGTTTGTGTGGTCGTTGACTTGCTGTGGGTTGATGTGAGCCGACGATGGTGGGGCGTGGGGGAGATTGGAGGTGGGGTACCGGGGTATCTACTGGCCTAAGGCCCAGATCACGGTTTCCAAAACGCCGCAGTATTCCAAGCTGTACTGCGCCGCTATACTTAATCTAGAATGAATTTTTAAGCACGGGGTAACATTCTGTCTTTAAACGCGGCCTAGGAAGTACCTTAAGACCCACCACAATCTCCATCCACGCCGTAACCTTTTTCGGCAATAATCTCTCCACAGTGTTGCACCTCTCTCATGCCACAGCGTGCCACATTTCTGAGCTCTATCAAATTTCTCATATTGTCATCAGTTTGTGCTATGTCTCAGTCTACAGTCAGACACCAGAGAAACCTCCAGGAAAGTTGTTGTGCGACATATATGCATAAAGGACCTCGTACTTCCCAATCCTAATATCTCTGCCCATGCAGGTAGCCGGGGACCTTCGAGTAGACTGACCCGGGCATCCTGGCACCAAGCTGCCCCCCTTGCTTGACTCTAATTCTAGCAATTGTCAAGGATGGATGGGGGGTCTCTATTTTCAATCACGATTTTCATGATTCACAATGGAGACACAACTGTATGTAGGGAATGCTATAATCAGAACTTTTCGGACTGTGAGAGTAAAAAAGGGAAGTACCAGAGATTCAACTTAAGCGTTCCAGCATTATACGCTTACTCCCGTCTCTGAAATAATAGCGTTGAATGCTTAGTCTATTAGGCTAGCTAACGTCTATTCAACGGGAGGGAAGGCCCCTATTTATAGTTATTATCCTCCATACAGTGGCAAACGTATGGGGAAAAGGATATCCCGTATTAATAATAGCCTAAATATCTAGAATATTCCAACAGCCCCCCTTAAACTAATTCCCTTTTATTTATTTTATTTTATATATAAGGGATTTAGTTTATAAAAAAGGAATATTTAATTATATAATGAGAAAACCTTATAAAAGGGGAAAAACTTACTTATTAAGTATTTATATATTTAAGCAAAAAACCTAAAAATTTATTATTACTTAAACTTAAACTTATAGCTAATAAAGTATTATATATTAAATTATGGTTTTATATAGGATTTATTAATTATTTTATAATGGCTATAATATATTATAACATTTTTATATATTAAAGTTATACATTATTTTATTTATATTATATACATTATGGAAATACGTTTTTTATATAGAATTATATATATATAAACGCAGTATAAGTATATTATAACTATATATATATATGGTATATATAGGTTGTATAAGTAATGCTTATTTTTTAGGAAAAACCTTTATTATATTAATTATTTCTTTTAAGGGAAAACCTTTAATATTTAGGGTAATATTATATATATATATAATAAAGTTTGCTTTATTTATTTATATATTTTATAAGTAAAGGAAAAAATCTTAACCTTAATTATTAAAGAGTAAATACCTTAATTTATTTTACATGTATTATAATATAAGTAGAAAATCTCTTTATTCTTTAGCTTAATATCTTTATATTATTTTTTTATTAAATTATACTTTTCTTTAAACTTTTTATAATATAATTTATTTATTAATTTTATAAGCTAATTTGTTAAATTTTGCTTAAAATCTATATATTTTAATATTACTTTATTATTTTTTATTGCTTTTCTTATATAATAATATATAATATTTATATATTTAATTCTTTTATAAAATAAGGTATTTTTAGCTAATTTCTTAGCCTTATTATTATCTATATATATAATAAGGGGCTTAAGATTAAAGCTAATATTTAAATTATTATTAAAATATTTAAGTAAATTATATAAATATTTAACTTCTTTTATAGCTTTTCTTAAAGCTATATATTCTGCTTTTATAAAGGAAAGTGTTAATATTTTTTATAATTAAGAATTTCAGCTTATAGGATTTATTTTATTATTATTATTATTATTAATATTATATAAGCTAAATATATAATTAAAAATGCTCTTTTTAATAAATATATTATTACCTTAATTTAAATTTATATAGCTTATTAATTATAAATTATTTTTAAAGTAATTATATACTTTAAATATATATAGGAATTTATATATATATCCCTATATTTTATTTAACTCTTTTATATGCTTTGGTTTTAAATTTATTATATATTTAACGAACTTATTTATGAAATAAGTTAAATTTAGCCTTATTTTTAAGCTAGCATATAATATAAACTCTATTTATTGCTAATATAATTTTATAATATTTTTATTAGCTTAGTTAATATATTTTTTTAATTTTCTATTAAGGATATATAGTATAAGTTAAGGAATTATTTCCTTTTTCTTAACCTTTTCTTTTATATTAAATCTTTTTAATATTTTATTTATATATTTATTTTAGTTTATAGTTATTTATTTATTTTCTTTATTTATATATATATCGCTTTTAAGGAAATCTATTAAATTTCCTTAAAAATCTAGTTTTATATTTTTATATAGTTTATTAATTATTAAATTTATATTATTATTATTAAGTTTTATAATAATAATATTGTTTATATAATATATAAATATAATTTATTTATTAGGGTATATAAATACCCCTTTATTATATAGGTAAATAATAAATTTTAGCTTAGTTAATATATTTTTTAAGTATTTATATTAAAGCATAGGTAATTATTTTAACTTATATAAAGCTTTATTTAGTTTTGCAACTTTATTTTTATATTTTGGTTTATTATATATATATATAGGTAATTTTATATATATTTTAAAATTAATATTAAAATATAAAAACGCATTTTTAACGTTATAATTAAATATAAAATATTCTTTATTTATAGCTATTATTAATAGTATAATATAAGTTTTAGGGCGGCAAATTATAAAAAAAGTCTTTAAATAATTTATGCCTAATTTTTAATTATATCCCTAAATAACCCATTTAAATTTAAATTTAATATTATTCTTATTATTTACTACTTAATTAAGCTTTATAATAGCTAGGTTATTTATAAATTTCTTTTTATATACCTATTTCCCCCTTAAAGCTATACAGCTAAGTAATAAATCCATTATTATATAAGTATTTTATTCTTATAAATTATATATTTCATTTAGCATAAATTTAATCCATAAGGGTTTTTCTAGGTTATTTAATACCTCTTTTAAAGAAGAAGGTTTATTAATATTAGCTATAATTAAGTAATATTTTAATATATTTTCTTAGGAATTTAATATAAATATTGAGTTATTTAATAATATATTTTATATAGTATATATATAATCTTTTAAATTCCCTTGGATTATTATTTCATTTAAAATAGGAGGAGAATTTACTTTCTTATTTTCTTCCCTTTATTCTTGCAATTCTAAGAATATATATATATCATTATTATTATTATTATTATTATTAATATTAATATCATTATTATTTATATATTGCCCTTTTAATATTTGGATATCCTAAATTAATATAGGCTTTTTATTATTTATATCCTATACTTAATATATATTTAATTCTAAGATTATATTTAATAATATGCCCTTTTTATTTCTAGGTTTTAATTTAGTTTTATAATTATTATTCTGAAAATATACAATAGATCCCCATATTTTTAAAATATATAAACTTTCCAAGCATTCAACGCTATTATTTTACAGGTTATGAGCCCGGATGGCTTATTGGGAAGAGCGGCAAACTCTAATTGATTAGTAATACGGAGGTTTCTACCTGGCTTGGCTACCCAGGGTCTTTACTCCAATCTTGAAAATCATCGGAGGTTGTGCATTCAAGTCCCTGAGCGACCAATAATTCTAACCTAATACTTATAAACCTAGTGTACAGCTTAAGGGGGAATGTTAAAATATATAAACTCTTTAAGCTGCACACTAGCAGCGCTTTTTATTTCTTATAAATATTGAAATATTTTAGATATTTAAGCTATTATTAATACAGGATATCCTTTTCCTTATATATTTGCTATTATATAAAGGATAATAATTATAAATAAGGGCCTTTCCTTTTATTAAATAAACATTAATTAGCTTAATAAATTAAGCATTTAATATTATTATTTTAAAGATTATAAGCTTTAAAGCTTACTTAAAATAATAATGCTAACTTAATATAGAAAATATATATTATATAATACCCTTAATTATCATTACTTTTTAAACCTTTTAAATAAAATAAGCTTTATATTTAAAGATATACCTTTTAATAAATTACTTAATTAAGCTAATTAATAAGCCCTTAATTAATTAAATCGCCTTATTTAACATTATAAATTAACCTTATCTTTTAACTTAAAGCTTATATATAAAAACCATACTTTCTTTACTTAAATATTTAATTATTTCTTTATTAATACTTAACTTATTTATATAATTTATATATTATTTAAAAGCCCTTATTAAAAATAATAAAAGCATTTCTTTAAATTTTAAAAACCATATTAAATTAATATTAAAAATATATTATTTAAAAGCCTTTCTTTTTTTCTTTATAATTATATTACTTTAATACTTATATCTTTATTTCTTAATTTATTAAATTTATTTAAAATTTATTATATTTTTTTCTTTATTATTTTAATTATCTTAATAAATACTTTACTTATTTACCTTAAAATGGCATTTCTTAATAAGTATAGTAGTTTATTCCTTAATAAAATAAAAAACTATATATATTAAAGTATTAAAATTTAAGTTTAACTTAAAAAAGAAAATGCCATTAAGAATAATTTTAAAAATCTTTTTTAAGGCTTATTTTTAGCTTAAAATAAAAAAGCCCTTATTAATATTAAACTTATATATAAGCAAAGGCTTATTATATTTATAAAAGATATAAATAATGCTTAAAAAGCATAAAATATACTTAAATCTTATTATAAACTTTTTAGGTTTATAAGTTAATATTTACTTTATAAAAAGTTCTTTAATATTAATCTTAATA